TACGATACAGTGAGTTGGCGTAGTCGATGGTGTGACTTCCACGTAAGATCTTATAGATTAGGCAGTTACATCATGACAAATCTACAAATTTAGGATTAGGTCTATTATTAGAGCAGTACTAATATCATAGTAGACAATAATTCTACATTGGTGAGCCCAACTAAAGAAACGCAACCTATTACAAATAATCCTTATTTCCACCTTAACGTTCTCAATCGGATTTTATTTTTGTACATCAACATTCTAATAGTCCTTTGATTAATGGCCACATATATTATCGTAATGTTATATCTACTAGTTCACATAACTTACTAGCTCAATCGATAATAAAAGTTGATCATCTATATCAACTAATTAGCTTTGATGGTTCGTTAACAAGCTTTAATAGCATTTACATGCTTCAGCGACATAGACTTGTTCAAACATCAAGCTCTAGCAAATATGACCTGTAAATAGCGTAAATATACATTGACAAACAATGCAATCAAGGACTAAATAGTTATCTGGATCTAATTATCGGTGTTCCTTCACCTAACACCTCATCCTGTTTTTAACTATGCACTATCCTGTAACATCTTTTCTTCTGACCACTGCCTGCCTACTTTCATATTTTCGAGTTCCATTGCCAAACAACAAGGATGACACTTCTCCAAAAACAAACGGTGAGTTTCAGCTATAAGCTTCCTGCATTCATAAAGTCATTTTAGATGACTCGTTCAATGGCAACCACACAATTATCTGGATTCATTCGATTGTTCTGATCCGAGCGAGTGGCAAAAACGCCAATAGCATTAAGCACCCTGGAATTAAGTGCCATACTGCATGTTTTATTCTGGATACTTTTGGATCATTACTACTCCTCACGAATGGCGTTATATATGTCGTCCACTGAATAATCTAATTTTTAGAAATAATCCAGGCGAGTTCAACTATCTTACTTAATGATTTTTTGTACTTAACATGTATATATTTTTCAGTTGCTTTTGCCATATATTTGTAAGTGTCCCTAGGCTGAATGCAGTAACTTCTTATGCAATGTTTATAACGCGTCATATTCCTGCCTGAAGTTTCATGAACAGTCTTAACTTTAAAATTATTTTCTGGTCATGTTCATTAATTTTAATTTGTCATATACGCTAACAACCTGCATGTTAACCTGGCCGATACATACGTTGCATTATACCTTCGTGTCTTCTAAATTTAGAAATCATCTGAATCTCCTTTAACGTGTATAAATAAACCCATCATAGTCGTTGTTGCTAATCGTATTTGGGTTTGTGGATTGGTTTATCATAGTAGCAGCCTAAAATGCGAACATAGTTTAGATAATAAGATTAAAAATTTAGGTACTATCAACTGCACTAGTAAAATAACTAAATCCCAGGTAGCTGTTGACTAAACAAACGTTTGAAATAAAAACTCCGTAGCCTACTAAAATTACCACTAAACGAATATTTCTGAATTGAAAATTATAATATAATTAGGCGTCTCGGATTCTGTAACACTACAAATTTCTGATAATTTTGAATCACCTAAAGCAAAAATACCTATTTTTCCACTGTCTAATCCTCAATCAACACTATAACTAGTTAAACATAATAGTTTCAGGATATCGTCATAAAGCATTGTCATGACTTGACAATCACGTAATATGATTGATAATATTAACGAAACTATTAACATAACCGGTCATCAAATCGACTTATAATTATCACTAGTGTTGTTTTTCTTTTATCTTCATTCACCACAGATGACTACAGTATGTTTCTCTATCAGTTGCTCATTCAGTAAATATCTCAAAACCTTGTCAGTCTAATTGATGGTTTAGCGACACAATCATGCATGCAAATAATCAGTATAAGCAGTCGAGCAAATCTCCTGCAAACTGAAAACATCAATGTCGAATTTACCCCAACACTGACTAAGGTTCAAGCCATTATCATAGACATGAGTTGGGAGTGTACTCCCCCTGGTTACAACTTATGTTCTCCCTGATAATCACATGAGCATCACTCACTATTAATCATCTTGTAAAAACTTATTTAGCCAAATACATTTTGCAGCACCACATCACTTAGTAATCTGACATATAGGCTTAACTGATTTCAATAACTTATAACCACTATATCTCAATTAAATCGTATTCCGCCTTATGATAAACTGCATACTTGCAACTAACTTGTATGCATCATCAGCCGGCAAGTATAAATATAAATAAATAGTCTGCCGCAGATCAGAACATTGAGTCTGGAGCATGTCTCTTACGAATACACTCATGTTTAACGATTTGTTCCTAGCTATCTGTCCAAAATTCATATAATTATCACTCATGTATTTAAATTTTGTTTTGATAACCATTCATGTGTATTAGTAGTATTACTAAATTCTATCACGGTCAAGTAAAAATGAGGTTGAGAAAATCTCCCCGTAACTAAATAAACCGTATCAAACTAACTGGAACACTAGTTGGAATTCTTCTCCACGGTAATACTTTTGTTCCTTCAGTTAGCCTACTAATACAGATGCAATTGGAAATCAACTCATATGGACAGCTGACCGGTATAATCGTTATTTGATTTCATAATTTAAACCAAAACTAATACCAATATTAACATTTCTACAATATTCATTACTTTAATATTTCTAAACACAAAATACTTACTACCTATACAGTAAACTATTAACCAACGTTTTATTATTATTATTATTATTATTATTATTATTATTGTAATCCCATTTTTTATAGCTCAAATAATCTTCACCCAAATTGTCATTTTAAGCGTTTTAAGCATGAAGGCAGATTTTTTAAAATTATTACATGTATTTCCCGACCAGATGCTGCCGCTTTCTTTTTGATTTATCTTTCAGCTTACCAATACCCGGAGGATTCTTATTATCCTTGGTAACCTCCGGCGCGCGACGATCCCATCCAATTTCGTATCGAACCAACATCACGTTGATTCTGGTGGGAGAGTAGTGTAGTGGCATTGGACAATAGCCACACAATCCACAAAGCTGTGAACACGAGACTACTCAGAAAATAGATATTCAATATTTAACGCGGAGAAATACCTAACAATAAAGAAGGCGCGAACAATGAATTGAATGAATTAGAGTTGATCGAGTGGCATGGCTCGGCCATGCAGGCGTGGTCCCTCTGAGTGTTATCTTATATCTTCTATTTATATTAAATATATTGTTCCTTCCCTAGCCTGACCTTGTTCTACATCATGTATTGGTAATTGATACGATACAGTGAGTTGGTGTAGACAATGATGTGACTTCCACTTAAGATCTTATAGATTAGGCAGTTACATCATGACAAATCTACAATTTTAGGATGAGGTCTATTATTTGAGCAGCACTAATATTATAGTAGACAATAAATTGTACAGGCCCACCTCTTTAGGTTTTCCAAGAAAATGACCACTATGTGTAATTTACCATTTCGACCTATTACATACGAACTTGGTGTTGAGTGGCTCGTGCTTCACAAGTTTCCTACAACGGTTAACTCGTTAAAACGAAATAGCATCAGATTTACAAATCTATTCAGGAAGTTTCATTAACAATGGAATATCAAACGAAGACTTACACCAAGTTTACGTTTAAAACTCGCATTAACAGTGTTAAGTTGTAGTCTGTCATTTTTTTAACCAAGGAGTACACGAAGTTACTAATAAATATTGGAATTGGTTGTGAGACTAATGTGGACGTCCGGCATGTTTTTTAAAAGCTTTGAAGAACTGTTGTTATTTGAGTCTTATGTAAACATTTTCACTGGGTCATAATTATAACGACGAAACAGTTTGTAATATCTGTGAAGGCTCACTCCTATTGTATTCTAAATGAAAAAATAGTATTGACTTTAGACAAAAACGTGAAATAGGTAAATAAACAAATTACGTGTTTTTAAACAAAGAATTTTCGCAACCGTAACTTATCCTGGGTTTATGAATACTAGCTTAATATCAGGTCAGCTAACACAAACTGCGAAATAATAGAAGTGATCTCGAAATATTGTCAGAGTTGGACATACAGTCTACAAAGAAACACCATACGCAACATAACTGGAATCCATAGGCCGCAAATGTTACCAAGCACGATTCTTGGGCCTCTTTTATTCCCATTATTTACTAACGAATAGTTCAACACTCCTAAAACATGCTGTAAACAGTAGATTCCAGAGTTAAGAAGAACTATTTAAGCCCGAAAATTTACCGTATTTTCAAGTAAGCTTACGTAGAATACTTTGTAGTGTGGCGTCGAGTTGCGGTTGATTATGATCAACAAAACAAGAAGGTTGGGCACGAGATATCAGTAGGCGATTGGAGGTTGTAGCGAGATATATTTGTTGGCGATCTCGTGGTATCGAAAGAATACCAAGATCGTGCCAAAAGAGTACAAGCGGAATCACTGAGCAAACGTAAGCACGTGCAAGGTCACAATCAACGGAAGGGAGAATGTCTTCAGTACAGTCGAACAAACAAGTACGGTAAAACAACCACTGGTACAATTGGTTATAATAATAATTGTTTCCATTAAACCATTCGCGTTCTCTTGATAAAAGTAGGTCACTACAACTTGACTAGGATAGTAGAAATCCATTTCTGTTCAATGCTACTTGACAACGGTGAACAGGAGCGACATTCTATTCAACATATACTCCTTTGGAAATGTTGCAGTTGAAAAATGACTTTTATCTAACTTTTTCAACAGTAGTTGTCGCATTCTATTTACATTCTTCGGCCAACAAATATACCTTACTCTTGAGGTTTGTGTATAGAATAATTTTTTACCCAATTCGAGAAATATTCAAAGCTTTCCAGATGTCCGTATATAGATTGGGCGGAACTAACAATCAGATAATCTAAAGTTAATACGTTTGAATTGTGAAAATTACAGTTCTGTTCAGGCGCGATCTCTGATATTTGAAGGTCAAACTCAAGGATAATGAACTTTCGCTAGTGTGTTGTCTACGCCAAGGTCTAAAAAAGGGAATGATACGGTCGGAAATTTCCTGCGACAGTAACCATTTAGTTCTTGGAGAGGAATCTGGTTTTGGTTTACTCTCACTTAATCTACCTAGTACCACTCTAAGTAAAAATCATCAAGATCATTCTCCTCGTCCTTCCATTAAATCCTTTGGGTAAGGTTAAAACTCAACATCTAATTTTTTATTACCTGCGACATTTTGGCGTTTTATTTTCCTAATCCTAATGTTCTATTTTTAACAGTGACTTTATCGTCTATTCTCGCGACTATAGTCACTAGAGCATGCTCTAGAGCACTCGTGCTCAATATCTTGGCGAAATTCTTGGCGAGTATCCCATATATCATAGACTTGTAAAATTCCGTTAGCAGACATTACTGTAAGCGTATTACAAACATATTTGCTCTTAGTTATTAATCAACCAAAATATTGAGATACTGTCAAATTGCCTCTGTTAAGAACTATAGCTTCTTTTAAAACAGTGGCTTAAGCTAAATAAGGGGAACCAAAGTGGAAATTCGCTAAGATAACACGTGGGGCATGAAAGAGGAACGCGTCGAGATGTTTCCTTTTACGCCTGCCGTGGAGATATAGATCAACATTTCCCCTTTTTGTCGCTGTGGGTTTAAAATATCACTAAAAGTGGGCTTCATTGTTTGTTTTTCACCCCAATTTACGTAATCCACACACAATTATATGCTCTTAGCCCAAACGTCTTCTATATTTGCCCCTATTTTCACCACAAAATAAACATTTATACACAGTGAACTTGGTTTGAAAATTCTAAATAGTTAAAGACATTTGTTTGCAGGAGATGAAATCACAGTTTACAAGGAGAATAATAACAGACATACGCTGGTCACACATTTTCATTGTAAGGCCTAAGTTTCACTGCAAAAAGGGGCAGTTAATAGGCAATACGTTATTTATTAGAAATGTGCTCAAATTGTCGATTCCATATGAAATAAAAATCCGTTTTCAGATAATAATGGGTTCATATTATCCCTTGCAGCGAATATTAGGAATACTTTATTTATTCACAGTATCAAAGAGGTAGATCACAACATTACTAATATTGAAGGGTGTATTTATTTAAATGATGGATTTCTTCCTATTCATGTTCATTTTACTGAGTCATAGAACCTGAGACAACGTTAGCCTTCCGCAGTCCTTCACAACTGAGTTATCCAACTAGTTATTGTTTAATTGTTAGTATTTTAATGGTTGGCTTATAAGTGATGAAAATTGGGATACAAACCCAAAACATCTAGTACCTTCGTGAACAAACCTGTAAAGTATTGTTGTTCGTGTTCACGAGTATAGGTCTAGTATATGAAATGTATGAAGTTACTGCGTTTTTCAATAGTTATTTCACCAGTACTTAGTTTTGTTTGTCCGTTGGTGAGGCAAACTATTTTTTTCATGTTTCTTCTTTCTCATTGTCTTTCAATTTTCAAATATTTTCGTCTGTCAAACCATTAACTGGTCAGTAGTTAGGATAGGAATAGAAACGATATTGATTGTTTCTTGGTTTCTGCTTCCGTATATTCAGTCGAAGTGAAATAAAATTGCCATTATTTTGTGTTTCTAGTTCGCAGTGTATAATTTCACCAATATAGGGTGTTCTCAAATGCTAATGTTAAGATTCAAGGATTCTCATTTAAGATCGTTTAAGACCTTACAGACATCTCTTTGGATATTTTTCAAAGTGTTTAGCAATCTAAATTCTAACTAACCGATCCATGGTGTTACACATATCTTATTGTGTGAGTTGGTGCACCTAAATGATGCTTCATATTTAGTGATGAGTCGTCCGACTTGGGGATAAAGTCAGTAGAGAGCGCGTTTATATAAATTTGTACAATTTGTCATGACGTCTGACAAGAATATTTTTACTTCTTAGAATTTGACTGTATTAATATAAACCAATTAAAATAAGCCATTCAACAGTGAATACTAGTAGTCTAGTAGTTCATTGGGAATTTTAAGTATTGTCTCACGCTTAGTTAAATTCATTCTGAATGGGCACACAGCATCCACTCATATTTGAATTATAGTGGCACGCTTTAATTAACATTTATGTATAGTAAACAAATATAATTCAAAAGTCGTAAGCCAAAAAACTGTAAACACCAGGAGTATTCTTTGTAGTAGAGTTAGTCAGGCTTTACATACTACGTTTCATCTTCAACTTCACTTGATTTGGATAAGTTCTAGAATCTAGATGCAGTCCCATGGTAGTTGGTGACCAACATTAAGTTCATACACTCTTTGTTCCTTCAGGATCCTGGAGTCCATGTGTACCATTAGTTTGGAATCAGGGTTTTTCCAACTCCCCTAAACGGATTCTTCATATCCACTAACCCGGTTAAAGTGCCCAACAGTGGCTTTTCGTTCTCTCAATTAGTAAACAATACCCCCGCCACGAGAAGGCAGTGAGTAAGACTTCCTTGGTAATAGTTTAAACTAACACATCTATATTTCATTACCAATTTAGATTTATTCATTAGAAGAGCTAACTTAAAATCTATATCCAAATTCATATATAAGTAGCTTAAATTCAGATAAATATCACAATAAATCTTTTTGTCTAGAAATACAAAGTCAACTCGTCATATATATTCAATTCATTTAGTACAAAATATCTAAATATTTACTGTATTATAACTTTTTTATTGTTTCCTTTACTCCATTATTTATAGTGAATCAACATTCATAGTGATTATGATAATCCTTCCTTATCTTAAATTGTTTTTTAAGTAAAAAAAAGTTAATTTCTATTCAACAAAACAAACAATAGTCTTTTAGTGAAATCATTTACAGTTATGTCCTAATTTATGGAAACGAATAGTTACGATTGTTTAATTTTGTTAATCTATTCATTTGTTTCATTGTGCTATAATAATCAACTACAAAATAAACAATTGATGGTGTACAATATTAACACAAAAGAATAAAGACAGAATAATTCCAGGTTTAAATAATATTAAATAACAGAAACCATTGTGAATCATTTGTTTTTATGTCTACTTGTGTTGTTTCTCTTGAATCTTGCCATTTTTTTTTCTTCATTCGATTACTTTAGAAGTTATTTTCACACACAGATATACATACATGAATACAGTTATAGACTATTATCCACTTTTTATTTGTTTCATTTTTCGTATATAAATATAAGTAATAGATATAAATTTATTGGTGATGACAATCATGATAGTGATGATGAAATCTATATTTTTTTTAAAAAGGATAGTACTTGTATCTATATTGAAAGTGAGTTAAGTTTCTTGTTGTTAACCATGTTAGATTGTGCTTCATTTGTTGTTTTACTGAGAATACCAATGTAATTCTTAGAATAAGGGTTAAAGTTTTATTGAACTCTTTGTTGTGTTCTGTAGTAATTATAAGTTTGTTTTAGTTGGTTTGTATAAACGATAAATGTTTCATTTATAAATCATTATATGATAACAATTCGGTATGTTTTACATTAGTATATTGTCTTGTTTATGCTTCCCAGAGTTATGTAAGCAATCTTTTGGCGGATTTGTATGATTATGAATATATGGTTGAACTATGATGCAACAGTTTAAACTACTACCACTGTCTGTCATGATATAAATAGCTGGATAATGTGTTTGGTTTTCCCAAGGTTTAGGTGTCGTCTGTAAACAAAGTTATAGGCATATTTAATCATTAATGTAAAAATATCCTGGCAATTTCTCGTTGTATCATATCATCCAATGCACAAATGGTGTACAATGTTATTGAGGTGTAATTGAAATGTTTGTTATTATTAATAATCGGAATTGTTCATTTCTTTTTACCGAATTTATATGAAGCATTCTGTTGAATATGAATACTATTAATACTAATCCTACGTACTTCAAGTTGTAGTTTAGTGTGCTCAAGTTTCTCATCCATGTTTTAAATTAGATTTATTCAACATTTATTTATTTAAATACAAACATTGATACAAGGAGGCACCAAATATATATGCACCACACTTTGTCATTCAATTTGTGTGAGGGCTGGAGTACTGCTCGCACTCCCGAACCGAAGCAGGTGGTTTTCTTTGAGGGCCGATCTCCGAGCCTTTAACCTGGAGGTCTAAACCATAAGGCAGTGGAGCGAAGTTAGGATATACAGTTTCATGGTAGACGGTGAACAATAGTAGGTTGGTACGCCATTGGTTTCCTCAGGATCCTGTAGAACATGTATACTATTAGTTTGAAATGAGGGTTCTCCAACTCTCCTAGGTGAATCCTCTTTATGCACCGACCCGGTTAGACAGATCGATTTCTTAAACAACACTCCCAATGTGAGAATGGAGTTAGTAGAACTTTCGTGACAGTTTCTGTATACACGTAGTGATGTGAGAGGATTTGGAGAAGGAGAGCTGACTCTGCTCACTCTCAGCCATACCAGGGTATTTGGGGACTTAGTTAACATGCATGATATTGTGTAACTGCCTAGGATCCATACATATTGTTGTAAACTATTGTGATACAAAGTTGAGTTGAGCAACTAATATGGGAGAAAATGTTGAAAGGAAACAAAGTGTTGCATAGTATAGTGACCGATGTGTAATAAAGAGTTTTTGCCTGGTTACCCACTCTCACTTTAGTTACCATTAAGCTTCAGTGTAGTTAGGAAGTGCTGATTTATCAAACATGTCTTGACTGTCGTAGTCTATGCAGACTTACAATCCCATCAGGTGATTTCCTACTTCTACTCTGTCTTATTATCTACACTGATAACTAGTTGGTTGCGTATAGAGTTGTCATGTTAAGTTTTGAGAAATGTAGTTGTTTATTAGTCATCCAAACATTTCCTCCTCACTATAGATGATGAAAAATAGCAAAATCATAAAGGATTTTTTATCTTCACTCTAAGATTTCGTTCATCACCAATTCATTAGATGGTTTAAATTATTTTCTTCTCGTTAGCGTTTTTTAGTGTGTTAATTTTCTACGGGATAGAGTCACTAATCTCATGCCCAACCTTCCTCGTTTATCTAAGCTTGAGACCTGTAGTAGTAGTTCAAGAGTTACTCTAGCCGGAGTTGTATAAAAATAGTAGTAAATCTTATTTTACCATGAAGAATGTTTATTCAAAGCAAGAATTTTTTTATAGAGAAATTTCACTTATCATTATGTTTTATGTTATTATTTATTTATTTATTTATTTTAACACATAGATATTGGTACAAGGAAGCACCAGAAACATATGCGCCACACAGATCTCATTTGATATGTGTGAGGGCTGTGGTACTGCTCGGGTGCCCAGACCGAAGCAGGTGGTTTTCTTAGGGGGCCACACCCGAGCCTTCGACCTGAAGGTCTGATCCACAAGGCAGTGTAGCATCGTAAGGAGATGCAGTCCCATGGTGGTCGGTGACCAACGATTGGTTCATATGCCATTTGTTCCCTCAGGACACGGGAGACCGTGTACACCATTGGTTCGGAATCAGGGTTTTCCAACTCCCCTAGGTGAACTCTCCATGTCCACCAACCCGGTTAAAACGTCGGAAATTCACTTTTCGTCCTCGCAATTTCGTAAACAACACCCCGACTGAGAGAAGGTAATGACTAGGACTTCCCTGCCAGAGGCTATATACGCGTGGCCATGAGAGAGCATTTCGAGAAGGGGAGCGAACTCTCCACACTCTCGGCCGTACCAAGGCATTTGGGGGCTTGTTTTATGTTAATCTCTTCAAAATAAAACAACACTTAATTAACTTGTATATATGTTACTTTTTATATTGTGTTTGTGTTTTCCTTGTTAAATAGAAGTGAAATTCGTTGTTCAATAGATGAATTAGATGCTGTCATTGCTACCTATGATGTTAATAATAATGATGATATTGAATCTAAGAAACAACAATTATTAACTTCTTCTTCATTAACTAATATTCCTTCTATTAATACTTCAGTAGATTATTTCAATTATTCAACGTTTACAAATTCTCCATCATTATCAAATCAATTATCTTCATTAAATAGAACAACAATAACAAATATGAATTATGTAACATCTATTACACATAATAGTAATGTAAATGATTATCATCATAATAATATTAATGATATAAATGAAATAAGAAAATATTATTATGGAGATCAAATACAAATAAATAGTCAGTATGATCAATTAGATGTCAACTCTTCTTCGTATCCAACAACAACATCATCATCATCATCGTCATGTACTTTCACAAATTATTGTAATCAAATCGGTAAGTTATTGTTGGATATGGATACAATGGATTGTATATACTAAATGTTAATTTATGTGATATTTCATAATTTTAATGTATTGTTATGGGTTATTAAAGGCATCGTACTTTTTAAGCTACTGAACAATATTCAGTTAGTGAAACTTTATCAGTTGAGATGGTTGGGACATGTGTTATGTGTGCCCAACCATTGACTGCCCTGACATGCGATGTTTTATAGTGTAGGAATAGGTTGGAAGAAAGCTAGGGGTAACCAGACCAAAAACATGGCACAATTCCATGAAGTCACTGACAAATGAACTGAGCCATGTTGGAAGGTGTAGACTATCTGGTTGGGATACGCGAGATGATAGAAACCGATGGTTAGAGACGTTGAATGATATGGCTCAAAATCGTTTCAAATGGCACAGGTGCATACACTCTTTGTGTTCTCCCAAATTCTAATCTTCTGAGTTCTTCATGTTCCTTTTTTTCTCTCTTCGAATTCATTTCATTGGATTATACTCGGTGGATAACATCTTCAAACCATAATCTTTCCGATTACTGCTTATATTTTTACTACCTCTACCAATACAGGATTTGAATCGACAACTGCAACTCTGTGCTAATGTGGTATGGTAACTTGAAGTGATGTACGTACGTTCGTACGTACGAAGTTCTACTTTGTTGTTGTTGTTGTTGACTGACTGACTGAATTTTAATAGTCAATTTATATCAGATATAGACAAATTCGTTTTTTTTTCTTAGAAAAAATTGTTGGAAAATATTGTAAGTTGAATTTAAAACACTTGCTTCTTCTGCAATGGGTTAGATTTCTTAGAAATAAAGCTCGCATCTGCTAGGATCATCCGGTAAGTAATAATGAGGTTGGACACAGTGTATTAGGGAATAGTGGTAAATCAGCCGATGAGGTTGTAAATCTTCATCAACTGAAATGGTTGGGCCACGTGTTACGAATGTCTGAACACCGATTACCATGACGCGCAATGCTGACTAGTGTTGGGGATGATTGAAAGAAAGTTAAGGTCAGCCAAACCAAAACATGGCATCAGTCCATAAAGTCACTAATTTCTAGTCTGGTCCATGTTGGTAGATCCAGATTACTTGGTTGGATCCGCGTGACTATAGTAACCAGTAGTTGGAGATTGTATGTGACATAGCTCAGAATCGATCAGAATGGCGTAGGTGTATACACTCTTTGTCTTCCTTTAAACTATGAGATTAAAATTACCTTATATCTTTCTGATTTTCTCTTCCTGTACTATATCCTTGTATTATTATTATTAGAAGCTTTATTCAACATTATATTTTTGATACAACATAGAATTCTCAGCATAAAGTATTTCAACAAGTTTCCTTTTCTTATACCTTGATCTATTGTGACGATAAATTTTGAATGATGACCGGTTAGATGTTAGGAGTTCGGTAATCCACATTTGATTAATGTTCATTCGTTTTCAATGCATATTGCCAGCCATCATGATGTCGCTGATTGTACCTTTCTGTATCACGTATAGCGAAAGGTTGTAAACTTTTCATAAACGCGCCTGAATAGATTGTGTGCACATAAGACATAATGATGTGCTAAAACAAACAACAAAACACATAACTTGATGAAATATCTAGATCGGAGGAACAGGTAGCCCAGATATTCAAGCAGGCCGCCAAGTATCCTTAGATATATATTTTACACCATTGAGTTAAGCGCTTCTATGAATTCGGTGTTCATGTTGTTTTTGTGCTATGGAGGGAGATATGACGACTTGGACCGTTGCATATATGTGCCTAGTCGTACTTTGTAACTGACTGATTGGGTTAGTTGTATATGTTATCTATAATATTTAGGAAGTCAGATGATAAACTGTAGATTTCTACTAAAGAGAAATTATCTATCACTTCATAAAATAACTCTGGTCATTTATTTTCACAAGAACTTTCTTCATAGTTTTTTTTCTTTAGTTATGGTCAATTACATAGTTTAAATGTCTAGAAATTTAATATGAATGATTAAGGTACACCATTGAATTAGAGATTATTCAATGAATTAAAACAAAATATTTACTTAAGCATTAAAATATGTTGAGCTGATCGAATTACTACCATATTTGACGAATAGTTCACAAAACATTGAACATTATTACAATGATAAACACTGAAAAAAACTCAAACAGAAGATTTAAACAAACAATATCAAATGAATTTCAACTTGAACCCATTGCACAAGTAAGTGACTATCAGGACTCAGTAGCTAAGTGAATAACGCAATGGTGTTTGAAGTGAATGATACTGAGTTCGAGTCTTGAAGTGAACATCAACAAGTGTGAGATGCAAGTACATCCAACTGACGAGTCCCAAATAGGATGAAACGCGTGTCAAACTGGATTCCACTACTAGACATTATTCATCTTTGCATAGAGAAACATTACAGTTATTGGTATATTTTCCTTTGTATTTATACTTTGATAAGACGAGAGATAAATACATCCAAATCATCTCATATGGCTACATATATACAGCCAGTGCCACGGAAGTCCTTCTCGCAGCGATACTGTTGTTTACGAAATTGAGAGGACGCGAAGCGAGTGTTAGACGCTTTAACCGGGTTGGTAGACACGGAGAGTCCATCTAGAGGAGTTGGAAAACCCTGATTCCAAACCAGTGGTAGACATGGGCTGTAGGATCCTGAGGGAACAAAAGGCATATGAACCTAGTGTTATTCACCGTCTACCATAGGACTGTATCTACTAACGTTGCTTCACTGCCTTGTTGGTTAGACCTTTAAGTCGGAGGGTGCGTGTTTGGCGTCCTAAGAAAAACACCTGCTTCGGTTTGGGCACCCGGACAGTATCTCAGCCCTCACACAAATCGAATGATTTATGTGGCGCATATTTATTCGATTCCCCTTTGTAACAATATTTATATGTACAAATAATTATAAATAAATAAAATCCACTCCATATCAGCATAGCGAGAACAAATGATCTACGGAAATTCCAGAGTAGAAATAGTAACAGTATAGGAAGTAGTAGAAAATATTAACTATTGACAATATGATTTATTTATTTATTTATTTAAACATATAAACATTGGTACGAGGAGGCACCAAATAGATATAGGCCACATAAATCATTCGATTTGTGTGAGGGCTGGGATACTGAACGGGTGCTCAGATCGAAGCATATGGTTTTCTTAGGGAGTCATACTCGGAGCCTTCGACTTAAAGGCCTGATCCACAAGGCGATGAATTAACGTCAGGAGATATAGTCCTATGGTAGACGGTGACCAACAATTGAATCATACTCCATTTGCTCTTTCAGGATACTAAGGACCATGTGTACCACTGGTTTTGGAATCAGGGTTTTCCAACTCCTCAAGATGGACTCTTCGTGTCTACCAACCCGGTTAAAGCGTCGGGCATTCACGTTTTGTCCTCTCAATTTCGTAAACAGCAGTATTGCCGCGAGAAGGCAATGAATAGGACTTCCGTGGCACTAGCTGTATATATGTGGCCATGTAAAAGGATTTGAAGAGGGAGAGTGAACTCTCCACACCCTTAGCCGTATCAGGGCATCTGGGGACATATTGAGTAGATAAGTTCAATTGATATTTCAAGTTCCATGTTGCTTATAACTAATTCATCATGAATACGCAGTTGATCTTCACTGATTGATTAATTTAGATTATGATAAGTCTAGTAGTAATTATAGGATTCTTCTGGAGGTACCTGAAAAGGAAATTGGATTAGTGGCGGTCTCAGTGACCTGAGAGCGTGACCGCAGTGCCCAAGGGACAACTGCTTGAGGCCGGTCGCGCACGGCCTTTTCGTGGGAGGTTTTTGACATGTTAGCTCCGTTCTTCAAAGGGCCTTACCGCCGGATACGGAAATCCGTGAGGTAAGGTGAGGTGTGCATTTTTAGGGTCGACCTTTTCTAACCCCACCCCTCCTTGTGGGAAGGCAGCATCGCTGTCATGCTGGTTGTCTGAAGGAAACACCTTACCTCTGTCACACCTCTGTACAGTCAGCAGTACGACATCACCTTCGGACCTCAGGTTTGTTGCTTTTAGTTTTACCGCTCTTCAACCGACCTGTCTGACATGGTAGGACCTTGAGGAACGGTTGTTCCAGCCAGTATAGCTCGCTTGCTTCATCACGATAGGCAAGCCCGACCACCACGTCAAGGTAGCAACAACGGTCGGGCGGTAGCAACAACGGATACTTTGTAAAATAATAATTATACCGTTTTTTATAACTTGGTTAAATGTCTTTAACAATGAAATCTAACAGTTAAGCATATACAGATTAAACTATTGACAGTTTTGAATTTAAGGTTATCTCATTCAATATTGAACGAAAGAATAAGGGAATAGATACAGATTTCTTTTGTCTTTCATCTTTTGTCGATATTTACTATTTAAATCATTTCTTTGTTTTGTTTTAATGATAAAGCTGTGATGAAAACTCCCTTAAATCTAATCTCTAATCTCAATCATTAACTGTAAATTATAATTCTAATTCCTCACACTAGTTTATAATCCTTATTTCATCCTAATTATTAGGTGAACCCTCTCAAAGTCACTTTAACGTCACTCAAAGGTTGTCCATAAATTATAGTCTCATCAATAATATTCTTTATGAACTAATATTAAGTTGATAATCTGTAAAATGATGAAAGAGTATGATTGTTCACTCATAGTTTGATACATCTTAGTAGTAGTAGTAGTAGTAGTAGTGTGGTGTGTGCTACTTATATTGACATAAGTAGTATGTGATGTTGGTCGTGAACAGAAGGTCCGGTAGCAGAGAAACAAGAGGATCGAACAGTAAAGAATGGAAACAGAATGTAATGTGTATGAAAATACAAGAACAATGAAGTGTGGGCCATTTTGAAACAATTGATGGTCATTTTGCAAATTGAGCATTTACTATTTGGTTGTTAGTACTTATTAACAGGTTCTGTAATATTTTTTATCAAATACATTCGATTGTTCCTCACTGGTATTCTTGTTCAGTTTATTCATTACTTGTATATGCACACAATATCAAGAGATCTATTCAAGGAGTTCATATTTCAACAATTCATCACTTGATATCAATAATAGTCTTAGAGTTAACACGAAATAAATGAATTCCATACACTATTTCAAATCAACAGTTAAATCGGCTCATTGGTCTAGTGGTTAAGCGCTTGCGCGCAAGACTAATAGGTCCTGAGTTTGAATCTCGCGAGGCGGGATCGAAGATGTGCACTGCTGAGAGGTCCCACAGTAGGATGAAACGGCCGTCCAGTGTTCTCAGGTTTCCCATGGTGGTCTAGCTTCAATTGACTCATGATTCCTAGATTTCATTTTGTGTTTCTACTCATTACTTACGGTACACTATTATTGTTTGATGTTAATAGGGTGCATATTAATTATACATAATGAAAAATAAACAAGTCTAGACTGATTTATCATTATACAAGGTATGTAATTAACATTCCATTGCCTTTAACCATATTTGTTGGTAGACTTGTCAAACAATAATGAGGTCAATTAAACACTACAAGTAAGATATGGAGTAATAAAAAAGATAACAGAGAATAATTAATCCTGTTTAATAGAAAGAACCAACTTGGAATCTTTAACTGTATTATGGCTTAATAGCCTAGTACACGAAAGTTTAGAATTTTAGAAAATAATTGCTAGATTCAAGTGTTTATTGATAAATCAATACTGTTTATGGTGTTGGAACATTCATTTAATGTGTCTAATCACCAAATATGTATGAGCCACTTTGTCATCCGACTTGTGTGAGGGCTGGAATACTGCCCGGACGCCCAAACTGAAGCAATGGAGGCCACAACCTACAGGTCTAATCCACAATGCGGTAGAACAACGTTAGAAGATGTAATCCCATGGTAGCTGGTGACCAACAATAGGTTGATACGTTATTTGTTTCCTCAGGATCCTGTAGCACATGTATACCATTAGTTTGGAATCAGGGTTCTCCAACTCTCCAAGGTGAATCCTATGTATCCACCAACTCGGTTAGGGAGATAGATATTCGCTTTTCTTGTTGTCGATTTCTTAAACAACACTCCTAATGTGAGAATGGTCTGGTCTTAGTCATTTTGCAAGATACAGACTTCGTGTTTAAAAATATCATGATTATCCTAAAGTATCATTCCTAACTCTTTACTCCTCAATCTCATCTACTCTTTTTGAAGTTTAGATTTTAACCGATTTTCACAGTGTTTCTCACCATATACTTTATATCTTTTTGATTTCTTGTTGTTGTGCTGATATGAGAATGTGACTAGTTGAATCGTACCAGATCCTACATTGATAACTGGATAATTGATTAACAAAATCTAAGCTATATTGGTTCATGATTTGTGCATATGTTGCGGATTGAAGTCAACAAAAGACCTTAATAATCATAAAACGAGTTATGTTCTAATTAAGATGTCTAAAATAAGTTTCAAAGTCGCAATCTACCGTCGATGATCTCGTACAAACTTCGTCCTCTGACTGATAGTTTTATGTGTTTATGCATTTATTCATGCTATTGTTGAATCTCTGAAGCAGTATGATTTATCGCCGAAATTCTAGATAATTTTTACATAGATAGGTGCAAATATGAACTCTATTTTCATCTGATGCTTTCCATAAATCTCCGTTTTTCAGCTATTGAATGTAAGACTGATATTTATTGTTTTACCTTTTTAAAGTCAAAGATTGTTGTTGCTAAATGTTTTCGTCTGTTATTATCGCCACATAAATCTATCTATATCTATTTCTCTCTGTGCTTCATGGTTTACAATCATTTCTTTCTATAAACTTAGATCATCTCTTTCATTTGTTCACAGAACCTTCATTTCCATTGCCTCCACCTGATGCATTTGCTTCAGAGGATTTCCCACTTCCACCATCACCACCACCACCACCACTGCCGCCTCTACTATCAACACCAACATCCGAGGCAACAACAGGCTCAGCCAAACCAGTAACATTGTTAACAAGTCACTTCTCATCAACAACATTTCCACCTTGTACTACCAATTCGACGTTAACAACATTGAATGGTGGTAAACGTCTACAGAGCTTTCCTTCTACTAATGGGTATTCACAGTGTCAGCCGTTTGATGTAAGTTGGGTTTGCTATATTTTTAGGTTTTTTTTTACCCTAAATTATACTTTAAAGTCAGAGCCTTTGCATACCTACTCAATTGGGGAGTTAGTATTGTTAAGGAATAGAGAAAAAACGTGAGAACTGACAAATGTGTTTCATTTATGGAGGTTGGGTATTTGTGGTTGCCGTTTCAAGCGAAGTGAAAAGAACAACAACTGTAAACACACCTCAGTTTAACTATAATCATTGTATGGCTGTTTTTTGCTAAACATACCGACATTAAAACTGGAGAAACAATGAATGTACCGCACGCCACTAGACACGAATTTTTCTTCTTAGTTAAGTGGTTTAGGGTAGTCAGAGGGAACCCGGATCAACCTGTGTTTTGTAATTCATCGGCCTTTGTCAATGTAGTCGGAATAGCCTTGTGGTAGCGTTACAGACTGTCAAGGTAGGCGAAGTTGGTTTTAATCTTAGGAGCATCGATTTCTTGAAGGTCGCAGATATCCTTTACTGATGAATGCCTACCAGCACGAAACGTATGTTTGTCAAGTTTCCCTGTTGAATTCCTATAACCATGGAGTAAAAAGTGTCCAACTAAGTAGGTAGTAATGTAATTTTTCATCATATGAATCAGTCACTAGGTGTAGTTGAAAATCAATAATCAGGAAATATTTGTTATAAGTTAAGAAGGTAAAAATATATTTAACTTCAAAGTTTCTACAATGACAATAATAACAGGTAGATGTTTTCTCAAACCATTCGATAGTTTTAGAAATGATCTTCACCATAGAATGATCGAATATAAAATTTACTGAGAACATGTCAATTGTCTCATCATTGTTTTAAGGATTAATCAGTTCACAATTGATTGATCACTGGGTGATGATCAATGTCATGTCGTCTTAGTGCAGATCGAATTCTATCGACCAAGTTGCAATGTGGCCACTAGTCTAGGTGACTCTACATTTCGTGCACTATGTTGAGATAATATGGTGGTTAACAGGAAACCCTGGACCAGGGTTTCGCGCTATTTGATACTTGTCAGCAAGGTTTACCTGTAATCTTCAAGGAACTGGTTCTCCCTCATGGATTCGATTCCGTGTGACCCAGTTTACATCTAGAACTCTAAACAAAACTAAATCTGAAATACAGTAAGCACATTATCTTTCAATAATCAAGTGAAAAATTAGTCATTAATAAGCAACTAACTACCATATTTCCTATTCTATTCATTTAACGAGTCATATCTTTTCACAAAGAATTCAGGAAATCCGTCTAGAAGTTAGTCCATTGTTATCAACTTCTTCTTCTTCTTTTTTCTTCATTGTCTATTCCTTATTGTCTTCAACTATCTCTAATACTGTCGTTACTGTTCTCTGTTGATCATTTCATTTCAATTTGTTGATGTGGTATGTCATATTGAATGAATTCACATACTTAACAGATTCTACGATAAACATGACTTACTAATTTAATTATTATGTCAATAATGAACTCTAAAATTCAATGAACCAGTAGATCATTGTTTAAGTCATCTGACTTTCAAACAATAGGCTGTTAGTTGAACCTCCTCTACATGTACTTCAGTTTGAGCAACCGATTAGTAGTCATATCATTAGCTATGATATAGTGTAATATGCAACTAAGTACATCAGGTTGTTAACTTAATCAATGAGTTATCATATTTCCTTAATATTAGTTACTTCTCTTTCAAAAGATTAATTTTCTGATAATTATTATTAATCTTTTAATTAATAACATTAGAAAGGACTCCCTAAGTTTACATTAACTATTCTACCTTGACAGTTAAAGTATGATGAAATAGGAAAAAAAAACATATCAAACTTATAATCTTAATTGTTGAATCCATGAGTTGACGTAAGCTAGACACTATCTTGGAAAACTTGGAAGCACTGGATAGCCGTTTCGTCCTAGTATGGAACACCTCAGCAGTGCACATTCACGATCCCACATGCGGGATTCGAACCCAAAACTTCGGCTTCGCATACGAACACTTAAACTTTAGACCATTGAGCCGGTATCTAACGATGTTAATGTCTAACTTCCATCGATCTATGAATAGCTATGCAACCATTCATCCATTGTCTGATGAAACAGCTGTCCAATGCTTCCAAGTTTTCCAAGGTGGTGTCTAGCTTATGTTGACTCATTCAACCGCTAAAAGCTTATAATCAACATTAAATAAAGAGAAATAGAGAGAAACATTTACATTCTATGTATTTGTTTTCTATTTCATTAATCATTCCATTTACTCTATTCATTTTCCTACTAACAATATAAGTGATTCATTATTATTAATAATTAATTCATTTATTTATTTGAACACATAAATATTGATACAAGAAGGCACTAAACAGATATTTGCCACATAAATCATTCAGTTTATGTGAGGGCTGGGATACTCCTCGGGCACCCAAACCGAAGCAGGTGTTTTTCCTAGGGAGCCACACCTGGAGCCTTTGACCTAAGGGTGTGGTCCACAAGGCAGTGAAGCAACGTTAGGAGATGCAGTTCCATGGTAGCTGGTGACTAAAAATAGGTTCATACGTCATTTGTTTTCTTTAGGATCCTGGAGCCCATGTGCACCACTGGTTTTGAATTAGAGTTTTCCAACTCCCCTAGGTGGACTCTCCGTGTCCACCAATCTGGTTAAAGTGCCAGGCATTCCCTTTTCGTCCTCTGAATTTCGTAAACAACACCCTTGGTGCGAGAAGGCAGTGAGTAGGACTTTCCTGGCAGTGGCTGTATACGCGTGGACACTTGAGAGCATTTCGAGAGGGATTGCTGACTCTCCCTATTCTCGTCCGTACCAGGGCATTTGGGGGCTAGGAATTTTACGGTGGATTCACTTTAACTATACGAGCACTGAGTAACTTGAAGCACTGGATATCTATTTCACCTTAGTTTAAAACTCCTAAGAAGTATCATTTCATGGCTTCACAGTCTGAGGTGATCCCGAAACCTTCAAATTTTCAGAATAAGATGATTCATATTTCAGTGTCTTTGTGAAATCAAAATATTTTTCATTAGCAACTAGTTTTCAATAGAATTTTCGAGGTCTTAATAAGAATCTAAAACCCATGGAGTTACCCACATTTATAAAATAATAAGATGGTTATTTACCTACCAACATGACTGGTTGGTTGTCCCGTTAAATCACAACTTGATCGTATTTAGAAATAGTATGTGTTTTATTTATCTGACCTGATGGTTTTGTATTAAAGGTTTTGAGTTCGGTTCCATGTGCTTGAGCTATAAATGCTTACCATTTTTATGGAGTTTCAAATTATAGGATGAAATAGAGCTATTTATTTTCTTTATAGTTTTCGGTAGTTTACTGATGAAAAAATCAACCTATGAATTATAGACTTCCTCTATATTCTATTCAGCTTTCTAACAATACTTTTCGACTGAAATTAGCTTAAAGTAATAACCTAAACTATCTCAAATATTTACTATGAGAATCTATCTGTCCTACTCACTACCTTCTCGTGGAGGGGGATGTTGTTTACGAAAATGAGAGGACGAAAAGCGAATGTCCGGCGCTTTAACCGTATTCCAAACCAGTGGTACACATGGGCTCCAGTATCCTGTGAGAACAAATGGCGTATGAACCAATCGTTGGTCACCGGCTTCCATGGGACTGCATCTCCTTACGATGCTCCACTGCCTTGTGGATCAGACCTTCAGGTCGAAGGCTCGGGAATGGCTCCCTAAGAAAACCACCTACTTCGGTTTGGGCACCCGAGCACTATCACAGCTCTCACACATATCGAATGAGATTTGTGTGTCTTATATGTATTTGGTGCCTCCTTGTACCGATATCTGTGTGTTAAAATAAATAGATAAATATCTGTTCTTTCCTATTATTTTCTTGATTAGCCTAAATGTCATGTAGAATCAACCATCAACTCATATAATACAAATAATGGACATCATACACAACAGTTTCATCATAATATACCTACAACAAATTCACGAAAACCATCAATTCCTCAAAGAGCTCCATCCACTCGATTAACAAGTTTACCGAGTTGGCCTAAACATCATGACATGGAGACATCTACTTCTGACACTATGATAACATCTAATGCTATGGTCACTGGAAATAATGGAATAGATCATTCGAAAGTAAGTATGCTTCCTCCCTTGTGTCTTTCACTGTATATATAATGATGACAAGTTTATAGCCTTTGTAAAATAGCAGAGGTTTAATTATTAAACATAAGAAAATGATATGATACTGGCTAGCATTAGAATCCAGAATACATGTTTCGTCCTATTTGGAACTCGTCAGTTGGAAGTGCCTGCACCTCAAGTTGATGTTTACTCGAACACCTGAACCCAATACCGTTTACTTGAAACGCCATCTCATCAACTTAACTACTGAGTTTCACTGCTAGCCACTATCGTATCTGCTTATAATTCTTGTGACTTCAGGCATTATCGAGTCAATCCACACAGGATGCAAATATGCCAATAAGAGACTGATCAGTTGCTGTCCTTATACATCAATAAGATGTTTCAATCAACCAATACAAAAAATGAAATAGGAAAATGATATTCTGTTTTATATACTGTGAAAGTGTGTTTTCTAATCAATGTATTTCATTTAAATATCACATACTGTACTTGTGAATGATAAAACTTGAAATGACACAAGGGTTCGCTGTGTCAATATTCAAATAAAAATATGTAGAGTACATGTTTCCATCACATTCTAATCAGTACAATCCTTGCTATCATTTAAATTCACACTGAAAATTGTTACTGGATTATGAATAACAGTACGAATTTGAATAGTGTCACCGATTGTATTTATTGAAATCATTGAGTGAGTAATACTTGAGGCTAGATGATCACTTGGTTAATCAGTTTGTATACGTTCATGATATGAGATCGTTCAAACGTGTAATATCTATATCTATCTATTACACACACTAGTGTCAAGGCTTTGTGTTGACTGTGACTAATTGATTTTCACTGTTATTTTTATGTCTAAGCAACACTTTGAATTTTTATTTGGCTTCTTCTAGAATTCCACTATTCATAGACGTTTCAACCCTAAACAAATTAAAGTACAGAAATTAAAGCTACGTAAAAGATTAGGAATAATTCAAGAATCCTTTCACTTAGATATATACAAATATTAGTACCATTAGAATTAACTGAAAGACACTCATTAATCCAGCACAAATCCATGAAATCACTGACAAGTGGACTGAGCCATGTTGTTTGGTGTAGACTACCAGGTTGAGATTCACGAGACGATAAAAACCGATGGTTAGAGACCTTGAATGACATGGATCAAAATCGTTTGCGATGGCGCAGGTGCATACACTCTTTGTGTTCTCCCAAATTCTAATCTGAATTCTTCATGTTCCTTATTTTTTCTCTCTTCAAATTTATTTCACTGTATTATACTCTTTGAATAACATCTTCAAACCCTAATCTTTTCGATTACTACTTATACTTTTACTACTTCTACCACTATGGGATTTGAATCGACAACTGTAACTCTGTGCTAATATGGTGTGGCAACTCGAAGTGATCTATGTACGTACAAAGTTCTACGTTGTTACTGACTGACTTACTGACCAGTATATTTTAGATATTTCTTAGTTTCTTTAGTGTTCAGATCTTGCCTCAGTCTCCCAGCAATCATTCTTTCCTTATTTCGATTGTCTCTTTTCTTTGTCTCTCTTTCTCTCTCTCATCTTAATGTGTGCATTTTCTCTTTTCTTAGACGAAACATTCAGTAGAGTCATCAAAAGAGAATAACAATAATAATACTCACTCAATTGAATGTACCACATTACCAGTACAAGATATAATACGTAAATTTGGCAGTCTACTTATGAGTAATGCAAAAATATCAAATCAATGCAACAGTAAGTTTTTCGTTTGATATACAGGAAGAAATATACAGAAAATATATCTTCTTCATGCCAATTATTCATTTCTACCTGTTTTGTCAGTAGCTTAAGTATCTAAACTATTAACTTGATGGAAATCTTGTACCTCGATAGGAATTCTGACACCATTCAATTTAATATTTCAGATTTTATTGTGATTAGCTATCGTTATAATTCTTCCTATGTACCAATCTGTCTTAAGCTGCTTTTTAGTATTGTTACTACCTTTGTAGGCTCAACATGGTACTTCTGCATCACTCCATAATTTAATAGTTGAATTCATGAGTCAATTGAAACTAGACCACTATGGAAAACCTGAAAGCAATCGATGGCAGTTTTGTCCTATTGTGGAACTCCTCAACAGTGCACACCCACGGCTCCGTCTCGCGAGATTCGGACCCAGGACATATCAGTCTCTCAGGCGGACGCTTAACCTTTAGACCACTGATCCGGCATCCAATTGTGTTAATGTCTAACTTCAACCAATCTAGGTTTTCCATGGTGGTCTAGCTTACATTGACTCATGAATTCAACTATTAAATGTTTGAAATTGGTTAGACTTTTCAACCAAATATTGTAGATTGATGTTCAAATTTTATGGATTATGAATCAATCACGATGTAGACAATAATTTAACGTCTTTGGCGATCCTAATACTCTGCTACTTTGTTCTTTGGACAACTGTCGTAAATACAATTTATCACGATGTAAATCAATGTGATAGTCGTTTTTATTTCTTTAATGGATTAATATTGTTACGAAACTTACTGATAAAGAATTTCATATTACTCTATTTATGATTTTATTCCAGAATCTTGAGAATAGTGTAGATTTGCAATTAAGTGGCTATGGAGTAGTGATCGATGTCTTATTTGTCTGTTACTTTAATAATGTACTACTAGGCGGTTAGAGATAGTTGGTATGGAACTCTACCCGACTTAGGTTGAGTAATAGTTAACATTTGTCAGTAAGGTGTATTTGAAATCTTGAAGGAACTGGTACTCCATGTGAGATTTGAACCTAAGTCATTCAGATTCATGGTTTGAGACGTTATCAATGAACTATTTAGATGACAAATGATATCATATCCACTACTTAAAACCCTCTGACATTTTAATAATAAAAATATAATATTAGTGTACAACTCTTATCCCTTCTGTCTTTACTTTTATTTCCATTAGCAACTTCTAATGTACAAAGTACTTTATCATCTACAATACGACCAAATTCAATCAATGATTGTATACCTCATAACAACAATACTAATAATGTAAACAAATCAATTAATCACAAGTACAATCAACCAACACTATCTACTAATTCACAATATTCACCTATCATTACTGGTCTAGCTACATCAACTGCTCTCGCATCACAAAATAATGCAACACAAGAAGTTGTCATGTCAACTACATCATCATCATCACCATTGTTAAATAGAAATATAAATCAAAGTAGTGTAAGTTGATCAATAATAAAAATACTTTTAGTTTATTTGTTATTTCAATAGTTGAGATCATGAGTCAATTGAAGCTAGACTACTATGGAAAACCTGGAGGCACTGAATGACCGTTTTGTCCTATTGTGGGACTCCTCAGCAGTGTGCATTCATGATCTCACCTAGCGAGATTCGAACATAGGACCTGTAGAATTATGGTCTACTTCGATATTAGTATTGTTCAAATAACAGACCTAATCCTAAAATTGTAGATTTGTTATGATTTAACTGCCTAATCTATAAGATCTTATGTGGAAGTCAAATCATATTCTACACGAACTCATCGCATCGTCAACCAATACATGATAAAGAACAAGCTTAGGCTAGAGATAGAACAATATATTTAATATGAATGAAATATATATGATAGCATTCAACAGGGACCACGCCTGCAAGGCCAAGCCACGTCATCCTTTCAATTCGACTTAATTCAATTCATTGTTCCTGCCCCCCATCGTTGGGTTTTTCTCCTCATTAAAATGTTGAATATCTGTTTCCTCAATTGTCTCATGTTCAGCTTTGATGATTGTGTGGTTAGGGGCCCAATGCCACTACAGACCTATCGGTTATATATATGCTAAAAATTGATTTGCCTTTTTTTAATTAGTATATAAAGATGATAAGTATAATTGAAAAGTAATTTATGTTGATAGTACATTATGTAATATATTAATAGAGTTTGTCACTATGACATTTTTAATACAAAAACTGATTGACCTTAGCTAACAATATAACAGATTTACTGAGGTTAACATTCTAAACCCATAGGTTGCCAACTCAATGGTATCAGATTTATAAGTGTTTATTATAAGATCTTATGGTCTTGAATTCGATGCTGCGGTAGCTTGTGAATGCACACTACTGAAGAGTCTATGTTAGAACAAAACAACTGTCTAATGCTTTTTAGTTTTCAGTGATTTCTTTTAAATAACTTCAATCCGTGAAGTAAACAATGATTCCTTTAATTAGAGAAGTCGCTTGGAATTTTTTTCTATACTCAAAAGTCACAGTTATTTATTAACTTCTGTATCTACGTATGTAGGATCGAAATATTTAGACATGCTCTTCTTATAGATTTCTGATGTATTCAAAATAGGTATTATCCTAAAAGTAGTATGATTACTATGATTGAGTAAACCATTTTATTCCTAAAATACTTCCCCTTTTTTTGTGAAAATGACCAGTTTTAAATGATTTGGTAACATCTTTGAACCCAATACTTTTACTGCTTCACTCTGAACTGAATTACGAATGCTTGGTAGGTTCTTTTAGTGTTGAATAGAATATATGAGAACTTGATGAGTTGAAAGAATAATACACAACACTTCAAAACTAATCCCTCAAAGAGAAGTTGTGAAACTCGGGTAAAAGCTTGATTTTCAACAAAGTTAAAATTGAAACAAAATAACTAAAGTCGTGAATATGATCAATCAGACTATAGCAAAGATCAGTGGGGAAATATGCATTAGAAATACGTTACTGTGGACATCCTTACACATCAAAAGTACCACTTGTTAGCAAAAGTGTATCTGTTTATTTATTTAAATACATAAATATTGGTACAAAGAGGCATCAAATATGTATGAGGGTTGGAATAATGCTCGGACATCTAAACTGAATCAGGTGGTTTTCTTTGAGGGTCACTCTCCGAACCTTTGACTTAAAGGTTTAATCTATAAGGCAGTGGAGCAAAGTTAGGAGATGCAGTCCTATGGTAGTCGGTGACCAACTATAGGTTCATACGCCATTTGTTTTCTCAGTATCCTGGAGCCTATGCGTATCATTAGTTTGTTATTAGTGTTTCCCAACTCCCCTAGGTGAACCCTCTATATTTACCAACCCGGTTAGGGAGATAGATATTCACTTTCCTTTTTGTCGATTTCTTAAACAACACTCCTAATGTGAGTCGGACTTCCGTTGTAGTGGCTGTTCACACGTAATCATGTGAGAGGATTTGGAAAGGGAGAGCTAACTTTCCCCATTCTCAGTCATATCAGGGCAGTTGTGGGCATTAGCAAAAATAACAAAATAAACAAGATAATTTGTGGTCTTTATATCAGTACATTAACGCTATTTATCCAAGTTATAACCTGAAATTGAATACTTGATTATTTAATGGTATTACCATACTTCTCCATTATGTTACAAAAACTAATTGAGTTTGAAATAGATTTCTAAATATCATTTTTATTTAATAATTGAATTCATAAGTCAATTGAAGCTAGACCATAATGAAAAACCTGGAAGCACTGAACGGCCGTTACATCTTAGTATGGTACTCCTTACACGTGCTCATCCACAATCCCGTCCCGTAAGATTCAAACCCGAGACCTATCAGTCTCGCGCGTGAACGCTTAACCCCTCTCTGGTTATAATCATTTTTTATTTTTAAGATTTCGAAAAGAAAATGATAATTGAAAATATCATTTCTCCTTATCTGTTTATTCAATCTAATTTTGTTTATTTTAGTCATCCGATATGAATCATTCCTATCAAATGATGAATATTCCATCGGGGAAATTATCAAAACGGAATGTCTGTGCAAACAATAATATATCATCTACTTTACCTTATCCATTCTCGTCTAATTCTACCAATGTTACCATTAGTACTACCACTACTAATACTATAACTACTATGTCCAATCATCATAAATCGTTTATTGATTCATTATATGTTAATGGAAAGTTTCAAAATGATAAATGGTGAGTTAGTCATCGGTCTTTTCATTCCGATCTGTAATGCTAATAAGTATATAATGGTAAATCATTATGATATATAGTTAGTGAGCTAATGTTTAACATTAAATTGATTGAGTCCATTTTGAAGTATCAGAACAATAGGTTAATGTTCGAATCAACCATTAAGTCTTAAGTTCCAAATCTCGCCACTCATCCTCCTTCTTCTGTTAAATTAATCGATGTGTATCACTAGGCAACATACAAACATTAAAAATTAAACCTGAATGCATAAACTTGTAATTAGTCTAGACATTTAACTTTGCTTTTGTTATCAGCTACCCATGTATGTTGTGAGTTACTTGATCTACTGAGTGCTATGGAATAATGTATGTATAATGTTATTGTTACGTGTTTAGTTCAGTGAAAGTTATATACACTCCTTCCAGTCATTGTTCCTATTCGAAAAATATTTTACACTGTTGAAGAGATCTGATTAGATTTAACATTCACTTGTGTAACCCTTAGTACACAAATAGCTTTGTTCTGGACTGTATGTACTCTAGTTTGGAGGTATATACCCTAAACTGAGACGTTAGCTATGGTAAATTTTGGTGTATTTGTATAAATTAGTTTTCTTCAATGTATATTCAACGTTTCTTCATATCATACGGAACTAAGTATGTTAGAGTTTGCTTCTCCAATTATATGCGTCTCCAAGTCCGATTTCATTAAACGAACTAGTTAACCAATCTATTCTTATCACTCTGATTCACGTTGATCGAAATCTGCTAAAGAGCAAAGAATGGCTTGGTTGTGGATCTTCATGTTAACTGCGATCAATAGTTGGAAATGTTTGATGGTGACTTGGTTTATAGTTGGTTGCAATGACACAAATCCATGGCGAGACTATAATTTATGGACGAACCAATCAAATATAAGATAACAAGTCCTAGATTTTGGCCCGAAATTCATCCGCCCGTTTGGCTAAATGGCGTTTTGATGTTATAGCTGATGTCAGTTCGTGCTGAAAACCCTAAATCTAATTCCTAACCATCAATTGTAAATCATAATTCTGATTCCTCATAGTGCTTCATAACCCCTATTTCCTCCTAGTTCGTAGGTGGACATTCTGAAGGTCACATTGGCGTTGCTCAAAAGTCGTCCATGAATTATAGTTCACCCAAATCCATTCGTTACTTATCCCCCTTGATCCTTAGATGTAAATAATATTTCATACTTTACATCTTTTCTATTCTATCTTCAGCAATATCTGGTATTTCTCGCTATCACTGATTATGTCTTATGGTTTTCATCTCGTCATTTTCATTTCATTATGTTGACATAGTGTAATAACTTAGATCAGCACACATTTGTACTAGGCTTCACGTATAGGTACTAACTAACTGATTGATTGATTGATTGATTGATAGGATGAATTTTATTGAACAATAATTCTTGTTAGTATAGCCACTCCCAGGGAAGTCCTACTCATTGTCTTCTTGCAGCATTAGTGTTGTTTACGAAATTGAGAGGACGAAAAGCGAATGTCCGGCACATTAACCGGGTTGATGGACACGGGCTGCAAGATCTTAAAGAACGAATGGCGTATGAACTAATCAATTGGTCACCGGTTACCATGGGATTTCATCTCCTGATGTCGTTCCACCGCCTTATCGATTAGACCTCTAGGTCAAAGGTTCGGAGAGTGACTCTTGAAGAAAACCACCTGCTTCAGTTTGGGTGTCTAAGCAGTATTCCAGCTCTCACACAAATTGAATGACAAATTGTGATGCATATATATTTGGTGCTTTCTTGTACCAATGTTTATATTTTCAAATAAGATAAATAATAATACTCTAAAGTGTGAGATTCACTAATCCGTGCCACTCTAGCATAGTGTCCATCATTTATTTAATAAAATGAATTTGAGAAATAATTGTTTACAGTCCACCAAACATTTCTATCATTTTTAATTTGTATAACCTTGATGTAGTTATGTTACTGTAACTATAAGATTTGAGTACAGTTAGCCTAACAAAAACAAACAAACAAACAAGAGAACGCCCATTATTGTATCATGCCAAAAACCTAACAGATTTACAACAGACAGTTTAATGAATGAATAATGAAAGTTTCATTTTTTATCATTATTGATACCTCTATACTTACCCATGTTACTCCCAATGAAGCATAGGCTGCCGATTAGAATTCTCCAACTCATTCTGTCCTTGACCTTCCTTTCTAGTTCTATCCAATTATTGTTCATTCTTCTTATGTCTGTCTCCTTTTATAATTATTGTTAGTTTTATGTAAATATGTTAAATAATGATGGAGGTCATTTAAAATAGAATTATGATTATTCTTGTATCTTTTTATGTTTATTTACTTATTTACGCCTGTTACTCCTTGTTGAGGAGCATAGGCCACCCACTAGTACTCTCCATCCAATCCTGTCCTGGACAATCCTTTATAGTTCTTTCCACTTCTTATCTGTCTTTTTCATGTTTGCTTCCAATTCTCGATGCATTATGTTCTTTGGCCTTCCTCTCTTCCATTTATGTTCATTGTAGGGATGTATAATTATTAATTACTGAATAGAAAACAAAATAGGTCAATTCATTATGATTAAATTCTAAATTTATAGTAAGAAGATAAAAGCAACCTACCGTTTTTCAAATGAATGATTACGTTTTTTAATTAAAATCATGGACCGATTGATGTTAGACCCACCATTGAAAACCTGGAAGCACTGAACAGCCATTTCGTTTTATTGTGGGACTCCTCAGCAGTGCGCATCCACGATCTCGCTCGCGGGATTCGAACACAGGGCCTTCAGTCTCGCGCGTGAACGCTTAACCTCTAAACCATTAAGTCGGCATTCAATAGTGTTAATGTCTAACCTCAACAAATCCAACTAATCCGTGTCGGTAGAGACAGGTATCGACCTCGGTACAATGGAAGAGATGGTTAAGGCATGCATTTTAGCTAGTTGTATATTACACTATGGTTTAATAAATGCTAAGTATCATTTTATACTTATGGTTCTCATTCATAATTGGAAATCAGAAGACAGTGGATAGTTATTTTACTTAAATTGAGTTGTCTCAATAAGTACATACTGATAATCTAGAACTTGTAATTGTCAACTATCATGATAAACCATGTTTTTAAACTACCGAATTACAATTCAGTAGTTCATGTTTTCAGTTTCAAGCAATTGACAATATATATCTACTGGGTTTGTTATCATATAGTGTTATCTTTGGTGAATAATTGCTTCATTATCTCGAAATGATTGAGATTGCTAGTTATGATTTCTCAATAAAACTTTAGGGATTCGTCTGATAGCTTGTTGATATGAAAAAAACGTCATTCTAAATACGGGTTCCCATGAACTTTTCAACCAAATATAATGAATGTTGAATAATATCATTGATTAAATCCACGTTGTCGTATAAATTAATGTAAAGCTTACTTTATAATGAATATCTAGATTAGCCAATAAGTTATATGATTGACCGACTAAGGCTCAACTTAGCTGATTAAGTAACGACTAAATGTTTAGAATTATTCAAATTCAATGTAATATCACTAAACCACCTTATACAAACTACCAAACTCAAAGTTGATTACATCAATTTGCACTTAGTTATTCAAGTATATCAACATGAGGGAGAGGTGGAGTTCATGTTCAATTTGTTACAAGTAAATATCCTTATTGTTCAACTACTTATATTATATTTCAGTAGTAAGTTTGTAATAAATATAATCAACTTACTCGAATCCTGATAATTATCTTAGAAATTGATCATAATGAATAACAAATACTAGTTTTATTAGTAAATCAAATTCAAAATTATCTAAAGTAATTTTAAGCAAAGATGGTTAGTGGCTAGCAGTGGAATTCAGGACGCACCTTTCGTCTTATTGCGGACTCGTCAACTGGATGTACTTGCATCCCTGATTTGATGTTCACTCTGGGACTCGAACGCAGTACCGTTCGATTCAAACACCATCACGTGATCCACTTAGCTACTGAGTCCTGATAGCCACTCGCTTGTACAATGGAGTGAGGTTTTAATTCACTTTGTATTGTTTTACTTGTACCTTCCCATTGTTATTTAGGATTGCAATTAATAAGTTTCTTGTTGGCGTATGTGCATCCTGTGCGGATGAGTTTGTGAACAATGTACAACCTTTCGTTGTATACGTTAGGAAAGAGCCCAATCAAAGACATCACGGTTGTTGGTAGTATGCATCGAAAAGGATATACATTATTCACATATCGATTCCTGAACTGCTAACATTTAATTGGCTATCACTGAATATTTATCGTCAGGAAATAAGAAAATGAAATTCACTGAAATACTTTATGCTGAGAATTCTATATTGTACCAAAAGTAGAATAGTGAATAAAGCCATTAATAATAATAATCTATTTAATTACTTTTTTTTTCATTATTTATTTGTTTTATCCAATCATAATTTTTAGTTCTATATCGACTAATTCATCCTATCAATGTACTACATCGACAGTTCTTCCAGAGGAGTATTATCAAACAAATTCATCATGTACAACATTTAATTCTGGTAATAGTAAGTTAATTTATTCATTTATAAATAGATATGTGTTTTGTTTTTACTTTCATCTTTCATTGAATTTAATAATCAGAAGGGGTTTTGTGGAGATTTTAGAAATTTCACTGATTGTAATCATGAGTCAATTGAAGCTATACCTGGAAGCACTGGACGGCCGTTTCATCCTAGTATGGGACTCCTCATCAGTACGCATCCACGATTCCGCACCCCGAGAGATTCGAACCCAGGACTTATCAGTTTCGCGCCAGGCGCTTAACCAACTAGACCCACTGAAGACAATGGTGTACGCTGGTGTAACTTCGTGGATTGGTTGAAGTTAGACATTAACACCGTTGAATGCCGGCTCAGTGGTCTAGTTGGTTAGGCGCCTGGCGCGAGACCGGTAGGTCCCGGGTCCGAATCTCGCGGAGTGCGGGATCGTGGATGCGCACTGTTGAGGATTCCCATACTAGGATGGAACGGCCGTCCAGTGGTTTCAGGTTTTCCATGGTGGTCTAGCTTCAATTGACTCATGATTACAATCAGTGAAATTTAATAGTGTTAATTTCATATGAACGAAGTGTTAGAAAACGTTTGATAATATGCTGAGGTTTCAGTAGATATTTGGAGCTATTTCATGAGAAAAAAAATACTACTTACGGATAGGTTGTTTGTGATGGTCATAAAATAGATTTTTCTTGATTTTTCATTATTTGAGTAAAGATAGATGATGATTAGCAGTGGAATCCAGTTTGACTAACGTTTCGTTCTATTTGGGACTCTATTGTAGGATGTACCTTCATCTCGGACTTGTTGATGTTCGCTCTAGGACTCAAACCAAATACCGTCTACTTCAAACTCCATCGCGTTATCCACTTAGCTACTGAGTTCTGACAGCCACCTGTTTGTGCAATGGGTATTTTGTTCGAGTCCCAGAGTGAACATCAACTCTGAGATGAAGGTACATCCAGCTGACGTGTCCCAAGTAGGACGAAACGCGCGTCAAACCGGATTCTACTACAAGCCACTATCCATGTTTGCTTATAAAGCATTTTACTTAGGGCAATACCTAGGCAATCCTCACAGGATACACATATGCCAACATGAGACTGATCAATTGCAGTCCTAAATAACAATGGGAAGATACAAGTAAACAACACCAAGTGGGTATCATTAGTTATCTGTCTGTTTATTTTTAAGTTCAGAAGTATGAACAATCAGGGAGTGTCAAATACCTTATGCAATGTGGTCCGATTCTGTTACTGTGTTAGGGTCTTAACTTTTAACTAGCTGAACTATGCGAAACAAATAAGCAACTATTGTATAGTAATCTATGTTGCCTAGAACCGAGTAATAGTCGTTGTAGCCTATGGATAAGCATAAGTGAATACACTGTTTCAGACAGGTAATTATATGTGAACATCGAATTTAGCTAAATGTAATAATTCACTTAACCATAATAGCCTTTTCACACAGTGGAGTTCAACCGGGTTTGTTGTAAGATACTAACTCACTGAAGACAATATTGGATGTGTCATTCAATTTCGTGGATTGGTTGAAGTTAGACAATAACGCCGTTGGATTCCGGCCCGCTCAGTGGTCTAGTAAGTTAAGCGCTCAAGTGCGAGACTGATAGTTCTTGCGTTGGAATCTCGTGAGACGGGATCGTGGATGCGCACACCTGAGGAGTCTCACACTAGGACGAAATGGCTTTCTAGAGCCTCCAGATTTTTAATAGTGGTCTAATATTGATCGGCTCATGATCTCAATTAAAATGATTTTGTGTTTACTAATCGGATTGCGAAGTGAAATAATTTTGATGAAAAAAACTATTGTATGTTGACTCAGTTGTCCAGTGGTTAGGCACTTGCCTCTAGATTTGAAGAACAAAGATTCGATTCTCTAAGGAGTTATGGACAAGGACTCTTGAAGAGTCTCATATTTAGATAAGACATTTATTCGTTGCTTCTTGTTTTTCGATGGTTATCTAACTGAAATCAATCCACAATGTAAAATCATTACAGTCTACAATTTCTAGAATTCACTTTACTAAAACAGTTCTTCAATCTATTCGTTAGGGACCAATCCAATTATTTCATTCATTTAAGAATTAATTAATTAATTCGATTAGGTCACCATTATAGTGAAGATTTTGCTTTAACTTAATCATCAAAAGCCATTGTGATTTTCTTTACTTGTTGACTCCCTCCTCTCCAAAAATATATCATTAAATCAGTTTAGCTAATTGTATACTCATTCTTAATGCACCCTTTTATTCAATCGTCTGACCATAATATCTATACACATACAAATTCTTTCAATAAAAGCATATTCTACTGCGAAACAATCAACCTTAAGATTTTCCTAGCGAAATTCAAGATGTAATGTCGAGTAGGTTCTTACTTGTTACTGCCTTACTTGATCAACTCTTAAAGGGATTTTATAGTTGAATTCATGAGTTGATTAAAGACAGACCATTATGAAAAACATGGAATCATTGAACGACCGTTTCGTCCTAGTATGGGACTCCTCATCAGTGCACATCCACCGCCCCGTCTCGCGAGATTCGAACCCAGAACCTATCATTCTCACACTCAAGCGCTTAACCACTAGACCACTTAGCCGACCGGCATCCAACGGCGTTATTTTCTAACTTCAATCAATCCACGAAATTGAGTGACACATCCACTATTGGCATCAGTGAGTTAGTATCTCACAACAGAACCGGTTGAACTTCACTCGTCTCAGCTTCTCACCAGAACTCCAGGAAATACCTCTTGAAGCTAGTCACTAGCGAGTATATGCTGACTAGTATCAGAAGGGATTTTTGCGGATATTATAGTAATATTAATAGTTGAGATCATGAGCCCTAGGTTCGAATCTCGCGAGATGGGATCATGAATACGCACTGCTGATGAGTCTCACAGTAGGACAAAACAACCGTCCAGTGCTTCTAGGTTTTCCATGGTGTTTTAACTTCAATTGACTCATAGTCTCAATCATTAAGATTACTAAAGTATTCCTCTCATTACTCTTTAGTTTTCATTAAATATTAATTTTTGTTTTTGCTTTAACGTTTGAATTTTACAAGTGGATTAATGCAGCAATCATCATTAGAATCATTTAATTAAAATCCTTTATCTTCAATAATCCATTTGTTTACAATAGAAGATATATATATATATGTTCAATGTTTCAATTGGGGAAATTAATTTTAAAATTTATTTTTAAGATAGATAGGTAGATAGATAGTTACTTATCGAGATTGAATTTTGTTTCCGAGAAGAGTTTATGAATAGTTTGTCATCTATATAGGTTAAAATGAATCAGTTACTAGGGTGGTGTGTGTTACTAATGTCGATAGATATCAGTAGTATATATCATTAATCGAAAGTGGAATGTCTGACGGTAGAAGATTAAGAAGATCGATGAAAATCGAACGAGAACAGAGAATGATTGCTGTGTATATGAAAGAACAGTGAAATCTGAGACGATTAATTGGCACTTTCAAAAGGAACAGATTGACGGTGGGGGATAGTCAGCTCTCCCTCTCGAAATGATCTCAATGGCCACGTGTATACAACCACTGCCAGAGAAGTCCTACTCACTGTCTTCTCGTGTCGGTGGTGTTGGTTACAAAATTGAGAGGATGGAAAGTAAATATCCGGCTCTTAAACCAGGTTAGTGGATATGCGAGATACACTTAGGAGAGTTGAAAAATCCCTATCCCAAACCGATGGTGCACATGTGCTCCAGTATCCTAGGAAAACAAATGGCGTTTGACCCTTTTGTTGGTCAACGGTTAGCATGCGACCGCATCTCCTAACGTTGCCCCCCTATCTTTTGGATTAGACTTTTAGGTCAAAGACTCGGGATGTGCCCCCATAAGAAAACCACCCGTTTTGGTCTGGGCATCCGAGCAGTATCGTAGCCCTCACGCAAATCGATCCATAATTTATAGTCTCGCCATTTTTCATATGGTGAAATATAAAACATACATTTGTATATGATAGAGTATAAACTGTATACTAGATAAGTAAACTGACTCATTGTAAACTTGAGATAATCTATTAACTAGATCATGAGATTACAGACTTGATTTTGTTAGAATATAAAGGTTACTGATATCATCAAATCAGAAATTTAGTGTGATTTTTTCCTGTTGGTGTTTCATTAAGTTCTTTTGTACGTGATGATGTTGGTAGCCACATATCAATCTTCTTCCTTTACGTCGGCTTAGGACCGAAAATAACTTTAGAAGGGCTTCAGATGGAGTTAATGTGATGACAACATACTAGCCAACAAATTTTGAGGTTCAATATCATCGTTTACTACCCTGTAAGTGTGAATCAGTGTGTAAACCTCGTTTAGAAGAAAATAGGGTGAGATTATATGGACGACCTTTGAGTGACGCTAAAATAGCCTTGAGAATGTCCACCTACTGATTAGGGCTAAATGAGGGTTTGAACCCTGTATCAAAGATAAAGATTGTGATTTACAGTTGATCGTTAAACCTAAAGATTAGATATAAAGCTTTCATCATGAACTGACATCAGTTAAAGTGCCAAGATTCTATTTAGCCAAATAAATGAATGAATTTCGCGCCGAGATCCAAGACCTGTTATCGTGAATCTGATTGGTTCGTCCATAAATTATAGTCCCTCGGAAAATAGAAAAAAAAGGATTACATTTTACCAATCTGTTTGTACAATTACAACCGATTGCTTGTTGGGTTTTTTTCCTTCTCATAATAGGAAATATACCTAATGGATTATCAAAACTACAAAATCGTGTTCATTCTTCACATTGTACTATTAATAATGATATAAACAATTCCACAAATCATTATATTCACAGTCAACAATCACAACATCATCAACAGTTGAATTCACATGTTGTTCATCAACTTAATAGTACAACATCGTTACAACCTCGTTCATCTTCTGATTGTCCATCGAGTAAGTTAGTTTTCATTAGTATTATGATGATTATCATTAAGTCACTTATCTGTTATATCCTGATGAGAATAATGAATGGTAACTGTTGGAATCCATTTATGGACCAATACTATGCACATGTTTTTATCGTATTATTGTTTAATAACTAAACTATTCATATTCGTGTTCCCCTTATTATAAGCTTTATTTTGACCTATGAACTATTATTATACGACTTACCATTCTTGGATTATGCCCCTGTCTATCGATTACTACCTCCCTTATTCACAGCCACTTTTGGTCAGATCTTGTACAAATGTTGTTTTCTATTTTCTGGTACGATTTGGTCTGTTTGGTTGGTGTATATGAACCTCAGTATGTTTGAAATACATGATTCATATTGCAGAAGCTAAGATTGGTGTTCTGAACTTTGACAGTCAGGGCTAGGCAGGAAGCAGGACCGATAAGACTCTAGACTTGTACTAATTTATGCGTCATTGGTCATAATTCGTTGTTCTCTAATTGGCGGTATCATTACGTTATTAGATTGATAGGGGACACAGGGCACAAGTTATAACACTACCTTCCTGTTCGTAGTAAATAAAATAGAAATATACTACTTTTGATAGTATCTTGTCCTGTTGAACGGAACGATTCCAGTGCAAACGAAAGGAAGTTTTAATAATCATCGCATTTGTCAAGTCTATATTTTATGTACTGGGATATGATAACTGTCACCATTGATTAATAAGCTAAATCTCGTAAAGATCTATTATGATCATCAGTGAGATATAGGATGCTCGTTTCTTTCTATCTGTAATTTCAACTAATTAATCTATTCAAGGTGTAACAATTTACTATAATTTAAGCTTGTATCTTGTTGAGAAAATTATATGATTGTGATCAATCAATCTGGTTATATCACTCTTACAAGAAGCCTGTAGCTCCTTGAATAACTCAATAATGTTAAGGTTTCATACTGTGAAACTGGTTAAAATGGGTTTGAACTTTACTAGAAGGATCCGTCCGATCAAGATCACAGGTATCCCTTACCCAATACTACTAACTAGCACAAAATATAGGACGAGAGTTTAGTTGAATATTATCATCAAAGCAAACAAACTAAATAACTTGTTTTATGTACATGGATGCGTTTTAAGTCCAGTGATGATCATATGTCAGTTAAATTTCCTCTTTTCTCTTTCTGTCTATTATTATGTAACGAATCACTTTATTTACAATGTTCTGTTTAACCTCTGATTTGCATTCATTAAGCTCACAAATATCAGATTCATAATTTAATTAGTCTTTGCCAATCCGGCTTCAACCATATTGACTATGAGATAGAGCTGCCTAACAATACTTTGCAAGTATAGGGGTTGTGGAGATTATTAAGTTTTTGATTGAGATCATGAACCGATTGATGTGAGACCACCTTTGGAAACCTGGAAGCACTGGACGGCCGTTTCGTCCTATTGTGGGACTCTTCAGCGGTGCGCGACTCGAGCCCAGGGCTTTCAGTCTCGGTTCATGATCTCAAATATTTTGCAATGTGGTTGCAATTTAGTAAATGAATTGATGTTGGACATATACATCATTAATTGTTGAGTAATGTAAAGGTTAAGCTCTCTGAATGAGAACTAAAGGTCCAGTACTCAATCCCTGATAGATTCCTGAATGCATACTCTTCGTAAAGTCCATACTGAAACAAAAAGATTGTTTAGTTCTTACTAGTTTTCAATAGTTTATCTCAGTTACTTCAGTTTCTTATTTAACATAAACTATAATATTCCCTTTTAGTGTCGTTCGTAATAATACTCATTCATCATCAGCTTAATTTATAACGTTTTTTTTTTGCAATTTCAGATTCATCTTTTATTCATGTACAATCAATGAATTTGGATCCACAAACATTGACCATATTTAATCAATTCAATATTGGTTAGTTTTATATGAGAGAAACTTTTGTAGAAATGATTTTTTTCTTCAAAGTACTTTAAGTGGGCAATCAGTAATAATCCCCCGAGTTATAAACTCAAATATTGTTCTGTATGTATGGTGGACATGCAGAGTTCACCTTGGAGGAGTTGGAAAACTCTGATTCCAAATCAATGGTGCATATGGGCTCCAGTATCATGAATGAACGTATGAACCAATTATTGGTCACCGGCTAGCATTGGACTGCATCTCCCTACGTCACTTCACTGTCTTGTAGATCAAACGTTTGATCGAAGGCTCCAGGTGTGGTCCCCTATAAAAACCACCTGCTTCGATCTAGGCACTCGGACAGTATCTCAGCCCTCAAACGAATCGAATAATTTGTGTGGCGCATATATATTTGGTGCCTCCTTGTACCAATGTTTATGTGTTTAAATAAAATATAATAATAATGTTTGGACAAATATCACATCTACGTGTGATATGTAATAAGTAATCTGGATAAGGCAACACAGGATTATGAATTGAGAGATTAAACCGTAGCTAATTGTTTACGGTTACTCAACGCCTTTTTATGTAGTTCTTGATATGTTAGTTTCGTATTTTTCATATTTTATGAGCAGCGACGGAAATTCATGATGCAAGGTGAGGTGTGATATTTTCAAGGTTGATCTTTCTAATTTCCACTTTCCTTGCAAATATTGGCTATGTGAGTGAAACGCTTTATTTTTTATCATACCCTAGTACAAATGGCTGTATAACTTTGAACTATGAGTTTGCTTGATTTACTCTTATCATAGAGAAAGAGTGCACCAACCTATAAAACTCGATTGAGTCATTACGATTAGAAAACTTGACTACCACATCAAACAGTTATGATTGGGGCTACCATAAAGATTGAATATAAAGCAGTAGCCTTAATAATCAATGCCCTATACTTTTAAAACATTAGAGTTGTGCAAATTCAAACCTTTGTCCATTTATTACAATTTAAGTAACTGGATAGTGTCTCTAGCTTTCATATGGGATAATTGTGACTGAAAGTTGTATGGTTTATAAAGGTTTACTGAATTAATACGTTGCATTATAACTCTGTGATTAATCTCTTAGATAGACAGGAATCTTACTTGTAATCTTTTTAAAAATCATAAATCTTCTGATTTAAAGTTTTATTCTTTTATATATTTATATCAACATATAAATATTGGTACAAGGAGGCACCAAATAGATATGCGCCACATAAATCATCCCATACATGTGAGGGCTGGGGTTCTGCTCGGAGCCACACTTGGAGCCTTCGACCTAAAGATCTGATCCATAAGGCAGTGGAATGACGTAGGGAGATACAGTCACATGCTAGTCGGTGACCAACGATTGGTTCATACGTCATTTGTTCCCTTAGGATACTGGAACCCATGTACACCATTGTTTTAGAATTTGTGTTTTACAACTCCCCTAGGTGGACCCTCCGTATCCACCAAACCCTGTTAAAGCCGTGGACATTCACTTTTCATCCTTTCAATTTCATAAACAACAGTATTGCCGCGAGAAGGGAGTGACTAGGACTTCCCTTGTAATGGCTGTTTGTACGTGGCCATATGAGAGCAGTTTTCGTGATGGAGAGCTAACTCTCCCCACTCTCAGTTGTACCATAGCACTAGGGGGGGGGGCAATTATTATTTACTCATTTAAAATCAATTTTATAATGAAAATATGTACTAACATAACCTTAATTATATTGCGCAAGATTGGTTGCGTAGAATGTCTTGCGTTGACTTTCTCCTGTCGACCAGCGTCGTCTACGCAAACGGAGGATAAGTTACCTGAGTTGGCCTCCTCAATGTGCATTCACAGATTCAGCTGCTCCTGTGGAGATAGCTATATCGGGGGTACTACCAGGCAACTTAACCAACTAATGAGTGAACATCTACCAGCTTGGTTTATAAAGGACCAGATAAAAACAATTCTCAGTTCTATATTGGCATATCTTATTGATAGAGGTCATGCTGTGTAGATAAATCGAAATCATTTCGAATGATCTATCGTATATCTCCATCATTTCCCAACAGAGTTCGTTCCCGCCTCCTACATGTAGCTGAAGCCATAGGAATTCGTACATATAACCTCAATTTATGTGTACAGAAGAAATTCGTAACTAATTCTCCCAATAGCACTCAAGCTCTGATTTATAATCATTCTTCAATGGATTCAGTAAAAGGATTATAAACGTGAACTATCAATTGAATTATATACATATATATATATATATATCCTTTATTCTTTACATATTTATATGATACAATATAGTTGATGCCAATCAAATACCAGGTTATCATCCTATTTCATCGAATCTGCCTGATTGGAAAATTCATCGATTAGAAAGAAAAAATCGTGATGCAGCTAATATTTATGCAGTAAGTATATGGAGTGTATATTGTTGAATAATTTTCATGTTTATACTCAAATAAATGAATTGGGTGTTGTTTTGTTTTGTTTTTCTTTCTTTCATTGAACACATTCATATTTTATAATAAGGTGATATGAATGCCTCTGCCACCCAAATGCCCTAGGTACAGTTGAAGGTGGGGAGAGTTAACTTTCCTTCTCTAAATCCTCTCACATGGGGCTACGTGTATACAACCACTACCATGGAAGTCCTACTCACTGCCTTCTAACCACTGAAATGTTGTTTACGAAATTGAGAGGATGAAAACCTTATGCCTGGCGCTTTAACTGGATTGGTGGAAACGGAGAGTCCGAATTGGAAAACCCTGATTCCAAACTAATGGTGCACATAGAGTTGGCTCCAGGATTCTGAGGGAACAAATAGCTTATGAATCGGCTAGCATGTGACTGCATCTTTTAACGTTGCTTTACTGCCTTGTGGATTAGACCTCTTGGTCGAAGGCTTCAAGTATAGTCTCTTATAAAAACCACCTGCCTTAATATTGTCATTACATTACAAGTATTTGAAGTAACATTTGTTGGTCGTTCGAGGTAGAATCCAGAAAGTGCTTTTCGTCCTTTGTAAGACTTATCAACTGAATATACCTACATCACAGTATTAATGTTTACACAAGAACTAGAACCCAGTGTCTCTCTTCAAATGCTCTACGTATTATCCACTTCATACAATTATGTTTATTATTTGTCGATGCATTAATTAATTTCATTAAAGAGAAGTAATAAATGATTAAACCAGAGAGAGGTTTTGTGGATATTATAGTAATTTAATAGTTGAATTTATAAGTCAATTGAAGCTAGATACCATCATGGAAAAAAACCTGGAAGCACTGAACGACCGTTTCATCCTAGTATGGAACTCCTGAGTGGCAGTGCGCATCCACGATCTTGCACGCGGGATTCGAACCCAGAACCTATTAGTCTTGATCGCGATCACCTAACCTTTTGACCATTGAGCTGACCAGCATCCAACGGTGTTAATGTTTAACTTCAACCAATCCACAAAATTGCACTACCAACCGTCATTGTTTTAAATGATTAAACCTTAAATTCTATCAGTATAACTATGATTCAATTATCATTGTGAATGTTTCCCATTTTTAATCATTTCAATTTATAGGATGAATTAAAGAAATGGGGTCTTGTACCACATTGGAAACGTGAATTAATTGAAAAGAAACAATTGAATAAAATGGTTTGTCCAAATGATTTCATTTTCTTTCTATTATGTCCTTTATGCCCTATTGATTATCACTTGTCTAAATCTTCAATTGTAACACTGATTTATATGATTTTGGCATTGTGCCAAACCAATGATGGATTAACCAGTACTAGCAGCCTGGAGGCAACTCTAGTTTTTCTCTCATAACCCTGTCCTGTCTATAAATAGATCCTAGCAGTTACTATTCATTTATTCTTCATTAGGATACGGACACTTTCCACGTGAAGTCCCGCAATAAGACGAAACGGCTATCCAGTGTTTCCTGGTTTTCAATGGTAGTCTAGCTTTAATTGACTCATGAATTCAACTATTAGACTACTAAAGTCTTCATTAAATCCCCCATTATGAATGAAATGCTTCTTTGTAAAATGCGTACATAAATGTTATGATAATAACACCATTTCAAGTGTATGTTTTCTCTATCTAACGGTGTTCAGATTCACTTGGTATTGTTTACTTGTATCTTCCCCATTGTCTTAGATTCCACTGCTAGCCGCCATCTATCTCTGCTTATACCAGTGTTCAGATAGTAATTTGAAATAGATGATAATATAGTCATGACTACACTATGAAGACAAAAAAATATGCTATTTCTTATAACTGAAAGTCCAAATTGTCTTTGAAACGAAATCTTTACATTCTGAAGGTTATTTATTATTTACTTATTTGAACTTATAAATATCGGTACAAGAAGGCACCAAATACATATGCGCCACATAATAACAATGAGGCCAGTAGTAGTTAGCATTGATTTGTGTGAGGGCTGGAATACTGCTCGGGTGCCCAAATCAAAGCCGGTTGTTTTCTTAGGGTCTTTGACCTGAGGGCCTAATTCATAAGACAGTGGAGAAACGTAGGGAAATGCATTCCAATGCTAGCCAGTGACCAATAATTGGTTCATACGTCATTTGTTCCCTTAGGATACTGGAGCCTATGTACACGATTGATTTGGAATCAGTTTTCCAACTCCCCGAGGTGAATCATCTATATCCACCAACCCGTGTAAAACATCGGACATTCGTTTTTCGTTCTCTCAATTTCGTAAACAACACCTCAGTGATGAGAAGGCATTGAGTAAGACTTCAGTGGTAGTGGCTGTAGACGTGTGACCATGTGAGAAGATTTAGAGAGGGAGAGTGGACTCTCCTGACCTTCGGCTATTCTGAAAGTATCTAAAACTTGTCTGTGAATCAATAGGTTTATTTGTGACTAGTAATAATGCAATGAAATCTTAATTCGATATAATTTATTCTGTTTCCATATAAGATGTTAGGTCTACATACAATAATTATCATGTTTTTTCTGTCTACACGCATATAATGAACATAATCTGAAGCATACTATTACACTCAACTGTTTACTATTCACTTCGATAATTCACCTATAGACAATTGTAAAGTGTAATATGAATAATACTTATCACAATGGTTGATTATTGTGTATATGGATTGATTATATCAATGAATAAGGCAGTTGAAAAACTCCTTTTTTCTATTGTTTGTTTGAAACTTTTCATTGATGTTCAAGACTTAGATTGATCAGTCTTTTATTGGCATATTTGAATCCTATGTGGAATATTTTAAGTTACAAGCATTGTAATCAGAGATAATGGTGGCTAATATTAGAACTCAATAGCTAAGTGAATAACATGATAGCGTTTCAAGTAAACGGTACTAGATTCGAGTCTTGAAGTGAACATCAACTCTAGAATGCAACTGATGAGTCTCGAATAAGACGAAGCGTGTGTCTTAGGTTTCACTGCTTGCTATCATTCATCTTTACTTACTTACTTACTTGGAATATCAACCAGTAATCTAATCAGTTATATATTTAAATACTGTACAATGTATATCTTTGAATAATATTGATGAATTGAACAGTTGTTTAGATCTAATGTATCTTCCATTTCAAACAATTACTGATAGGCATGATTCATCTGTATGAAAAATAACAACTAATCACATGTATTTTCATTCACCCCAAGGCTTATTCTCTCTTTCTTTCTCTCTTATCATCTATTTCAGTATTATGTACATTAAAAGTAGCCTAATCTCTAGGGTATATATTCAAGCATAGATTAACATGTCAGTCATAGGTAAAAATGGAATTGAATAATTAGTTAACTTGTAAACTGTACAGTTAATTGAAAGTTGTTCTTTTTTTGTGTGTGCTTGACTCCTCTATGTTTTTTTTCACTATTTGTTTGAACACATAAATATTGGTACAAGGGGGGGGAGGGACCAGATACATATGCGCCACACAATAATAATGAGAATGCGAAGAGATAAAGAATGTTAGATGCGTGTATAAAGAAAAACAAAGAACGATAACGGCCACAAGTTAGTGTATGGTAATGAAATAATAATAATAATCAGTCAGTCAGCTACAACGTAAGACCAGGCACATATATGTATCAGTCCAAGTTGCTATGCCGCATTAGCACAGCAAGATGAATAGCGGAATCATAGAAGTAGTTTTTGCTACCTTCACGTGGTGATCGCGCTGGCCTATCGTGATGAAGCAACCGAGCTATACTGTCTGGAACAACCGTTTCTCAAGTTCCAACCATGCCAGATAGGTCGGTTGAAGAGCGGTAAGACTAAAAGCAACAAACCCAAGGTCCGAAGGCGAAGTCGTACTGCTGACTGTACAGAGATGTGACAGCGGTAAGGTGTTTCCTTCAGACAACCAGCATGACAGCAATGCTGCCTTCCCACAAGGAGAGGTGGTGTTAGAAAAGGTCGACCCTAAAAATGCACACCTCACCTTACCTCACGGATTTCCGTATCCGGCGGTAAGGCCCTTTGAAGAACGGAGCTAACATGTCAAAAACCTCCCACGAAAAGGCCGTGCGCGACCGGCCTCAAGCAGTTGTCCCTTGGGCACTGCGGTCACGCTCTCAGGTCACTGAGACCGCCACTAATCCAATTTCCTTTTCAGGTACCTCCAGAAGAATCCTATAATTACTACTAGACTTATCATAATCTAAATTAATCAATCAGTGAAGATCAACTGCATGTTCATGATGAATTAGTTATAAGCAACATGAAACTTGGAATATCAATTCAACTTATCTACTTAATATGTCCCCAGATGCCCTGATACGGCTAAGGGTGTGGAGAGTTCACTCTCCCTCTTCAAATCCTTTTACATGGCTACATTGACAATTTATTCATTTAAAGATCTAAACAATCATGATCAATGTTCTGTCTGTTCTTTTTAATACTGATCATAGTATTGACTACTTTTTAAGCATTCAACATTCCAATATAGTATATATATGATATTGAATCACTGAGAGTAATCGTCACATAGCAACTTAATCCGTAGAATTCAAACAAATATGATAATAACCAACGTTACTCAATGATCAATCAATTAGAAATGACATGGTTTCTCTATTGATTTAGTTGAACTTATATGACCTTAAGTTGGAAATCATTTAAATGAATCCTTCAAATCATAGTTAATATTTATTATGAATGAGTTTATTCTATATTAGAGTTTTTTCTGGTACAATATAGAATTGTTAGCATAAAGTATTTCAGCAAGTTTCTCATTTCTTGATCGAACCTGATGATAACATATTATTGAGTGGTTGTCAGTTAGGAGTTAGTAGTTCAGTCAATCAACATCTAAACAATGTACATTCTTTTCGTTGTTTATTGCCAGCAACCGTAATATCTGTCATTGGACTTTGTTTGCAACTTGTGAATATTATAGTAATTTTAATAGTTGAGATCATGAGTCAATTGAAGCTAGACAACCATTGAAAAACCTGGAAGCACTGGATAGCTGTTTCGTCCTATTGTGGGATTCCTCAGTGGCAGTGCGCACCCATGATCCCGCCCTGCAAGATTCGAACCCACAGCCTATCAGTCTCGCTCGTGAACGCTTAACCACTAGATTACTGAGCTGGTATCCAACTGTGTTAATGTCTAACTTCAAATAATCAATGAAACTGAGCGATACATTCACCATTTTGTTCAGTGATTTACTGTCTTACAACGAAACATCGGTGCAGTGCTTCTAGGTTTTCAATAGTGGCCTGGCTTCAATTGACTCATGATCTCAATTACTAAAACTAGATAACGTGTTGAAATATCTAGATGTCAGGAAACAGGCAGGCCAGATATTCAAGAGGCCTTCAGAGAATAATATTTTCACTAAGTAACTGACTACTATATCATAAGAGAGAAATGTTTACAAATTCATCTATGCGAATTTATTCCTGCTTTCTTATGGTATGGTATGGTAACTCGAATTGATGTACGTACGTACGAAGTTCTACGTTGTTACTGACTGACTAACTGACTATTTCAAATCGTTTTCATTTCATGTAAAACTACTTATACTATCTAGTAAATATTTAAAGTGAATTAAATTATCAGAAGGGGTTTTGTGAAGATTTTAGAAATTTCAATTGTTGAAATCATGAGTCAATTGAAGCTAGACCACCATCGAAAATCTAAAAGCACTGGACGGGCGTTTTTGTCCTAGTGTGGGACTCCTGAGTGGCAGTGAGCATCCACGATCACACATCGAGAGATTCAAACCCAGGACCTATTAGTCTCGCGCGCGATCGCCTAAACCACCAGACCACTGAGCTGGTCGGTATCCAACAGTGTTAATGTTTAACTTCAATCAATCCACGAAATTGCTCCTACGTACACCATTGTCTTCAGTGAGTTGATATGTCACAACAGACCCGGTTGTACTCCAATGGTCACTGCTTCTCACTAGAACTCAAGGAAATGCCTCTTGAAGTCAGTCACCAGTGAGCAGATGATTATTATGAGAAGGGGATTCGCGGGCGAGACTGATAGTTCCTGGGTTCGAATTTCACGGGGAACGTAATCGTGGATACGCACTGCTGAGGAGTCCCACAATAAGACGAAACGGTTCTTCAATTGACTCATATCTTCAACTATTAAATGTTAAATGTTTTTCAACTTTCATTGGATAATCAGTTTGTATGTTTGTTTTTTTTCTTGTATAGGAAACAAATCCTCATCAATCACAACATTACAATAATGATACATCATTAACAACAACAACAACAACAACAAATGAATTAGCTGAAAAACTTCAACGTCGTTTAGATAAAGTTACTAAAGCAACGATTGAATAATTTCATCATTGAATTCTGTGTTAATGACGTAACCAAGGTTTCTTGTTATGATTATTATTCTTAGGGTATTACATAATTCTTAACGGTGTTCACTAATTATTCTTTATTTTCTTGCGACTGATTGCTCTTCAGTTTTTCTTCTTTAGATTATAGTTTCAACTTATTCTGTTTCTATGGTGCCTTTTATTTAGAATTCAGGTAACTGTGTCGTATTATTATTATTATTATTATTATTATTATTATTATTACTGTTAATAGTAGGGTATAACAACTATTATGAAGTGTATACCTGTAAGAACTATTATTATAGTATGTGCTACTGATGTTGACAGATATAAGTAGTATGTATATGGTTAATAGAAAATAGAAATGCTTGACGTCAGTAAGTTGAGATCATCGAAGAGAACACCACCACCACCACCACCAACAACAACAACAACGAATGATTGATATGGAAACGAAGGAATCATCAAATCTAAGCCAATGAATGAATATCTCTAGAACTCAATTATTTACTGTATGATCCAATAAGATTTCAATAAGACATTCTATTAATTTGTGTATTCTTATTCAATACACTATTCATACTTTATGAATCCTATTCATAATCGAATCAAGATCATTGATGGTGTTTCTTTTTGTTTTTCATTTCTCTTTGATATTTCAATGATATTGAATATTGATCACTTGTTTGTTTGATCGATTCTTGGATTTGAACATGATTGATTATTGATTTGTTTTATTTCCTCTTGAATAAATCTTATCTGGATACTATTGACAATCATATCAAATCATTAACTCTATATTATTACTTCTATAATAAATCGATAATGATAACCAATCATTAATAAATATTCAAATAATGACAATCATTTTAATGATTAAAAAAAACTTTACTCTTTCCATTCTATGTATCTTCAAATGACGTACATTTGTTTATGTGTTTAGTTAGTTGAGTTAATTTTGTTAATGATTGTAATATTCTTCAAAGTTTATAATACATACTGGTTGGGGACCGCAAGATGATCGCAACCGATGGTTAGAGACCTTGAATGACATGGTTGAAAATCGTTTGCAATGGCGCAGGTGCATACACTCTTTTTGGTTTTCTTCTGATTCCTCCTTGTCTCGTTTTTCTTTTCCCAAGTTTATTTCACTGGATTATACTCTTTGAATAACATCTACGAACCCTAATCTTTCCGATTACTGCTTATACTCTTACTACCTCTACCACTAAGGGATTTGAATCGACAATTGTATCTGTGTGTTAATGTGATATGACAACTCGAACTGATGTACGTACGAAGTTGTACGTTTTTACTGACTGACTATAATACAAACTAATTCAATGATAAGTTATGTGATATTGTACATTTACAAATGATTAATTACTGGGTAGAGGTGATCAATATCATACGCGCCAGGTACTTCTTAGTGTACATTAAATCCTATCGATCAAGTTATAATGTGGCTAGATGATTCAATTATTGCATACACTATTGTTAAGATAAGATAGTGGGTGAAGGTAGTCAATAGGAAATCATGGACCTAGGTTTTTCATTTAAACACATAAACATTGGTACAAGAACGCAACAGATAGATATACGCCACATAAATCATTTGATTTATGTGACGGCTGGGATACTTCTCGAGTGCCCAAACCGAAGAAGGTGGTTTTCTTAGGGAGCCACATCTAGGAGCCTTCGACTTAGAGGTCTGATCCACAAGGCAGTGGAACAAGGTCATGACATTCACTCCCATGGTAGCTGATGACCAACAATAGGTTCATACACCATTTGTTCCCTCAGGATCCTGAAACCAGCCCATGTGCATCATTGGTTTGAAATCAGGGTTTTTCAACTCCCCTAGGTGGACCCTCCATATCCACCGACCCGGTTCAAGCGACAGACATTCGCTTTTCGTTCTCTTAATTTCGTAAACAATAGTATTGCCACGAGAAGGCAGTGAGTAGGACTTGTATGCATGTGGTCATGTGGGAACATTTCAAAAGGCAGAGCTTATTCTCCCCACTCTCAGCCGTACCACATCATTTGAGGGCAACTTTATCTATGACTATCATGTTGGGATGATCCAGAAAACTTCTCGCAAAAGACAAGAAAGCCTCAAGAAACACTGAGAAGCATTTTATCCAATCAGCGTCCACTTGAAGTTTAGCCAGAAATATCAAGAAAGTGAAAAGTCACATGTAGGGTTTCTGATTGGCTAACGACTACTATGTTGAGTAGCATTCCAGAAATTTCGGGGAACTCAAGGACATCTAAAATACTATAAAAACTCTAATATTTTCTTTACTAAAAAGAATCATTGGAGTAAATTGCTTCTCGTGTATTTTGCGCCTTTTCTCCCGTGTTCAGATCGTTGTGTCGTTCTAACTTGGGCGAGGGGGGTTTACGAGAATAGCTTAGGAACCGAATATAGCGTTCAATTAACAAGACTTATCATTGATAACTTAAACTATTAAGCTGTTATTCAGTAATCTTCATTCATGACTAGATGAAAGGATAATTCAATTTCATCTATAATACCTATTTCACTCTTTGTATAATTGATTCTTCAGTAGTCATGTAAGCTTGTCAAAGTTATTTGTTTTCAATTTTTCACCATAAAATTATATTATTTGATAATCATGAAAAATTGAAGAGCCTCAGGAAGCTTTTCATTCTAGTTTAAGACTCTTCTACAGTGATCATAAATGATTCTGAAAGGAATCAATACGAGAAGACCATTAGGTCTCATAGATGGATGGATTGACTTGGAAAATTATTTGTTCCCATTAAAAAGATTCAGCTCACAATCCCGTGTGTAAGATAGATTTCAACAGTATGTTTGAAAAGAAAAGGGATGATTTTTTTGTAAGAATATTCTAAAGCAATTCTAATTGAAGTGTTAAGTTCTTGTAGTAAAATTCAGTATTTTACAATATAATCCCACAATAAGCCCCCGAATGCCCTGGTACGGCCGAGAGTAGGGAGAGTCCGCTCACTCTCTCGGAATGCCCTCACATGACCACGCGTATATAGCCTCTACCAGGGAAGTCCTACTCACTGCCTTCTCGTGGCATGGGGTGTTGTTTACGAAATTAACAGGACGAAATGTGAATGTCCATCGCTTTAATCGGGTTGGTGGACATGGAGAGTCCATCTAGGGAGTGGGAAAACCCTGGTTCCAAATCAATGTTGCACATGGGCTCCAGTATCCTCAAGGAATAAATGGCGTATGAACCAATCGTTGGTCACCGGATACCATAGGACTGTATTTTCTGATGTTGCTCCACCGACTTATGGATCAAACTATTAGGTCAAAGGCTCTGGCTATGACACTCTAAGAAAACCACCTGTTTCCGTTTGAGCACCCGGGTAGTATCACAGCCCTCGCACATATCAAATGAGATTTGTGTGGCGCATATGTATTCGGTGCCCCTTTGTACCAATATCTATGTGTTATAATGAATAAATAAAACTAATTGTTACTTTTTAGGGTAAATAGATAAATGAAAATAAATGACTACTTCCTAATCATTAAATTTATAAATCAATCAGCCATTTCTCTCATGTTCAGATCGTTGTATCGTTCTAACTCGGGGGAGGGTTTTACGAGAATAGCTTAGGAACTGAATATAGCATTCAATTAGCAAGACTTATCATATAAGTGAACGTTCACACTGTTACCTTGGCAACAAGTCTATCAACTCTACAATCATAATTGAATATATATATAGTATAATCATTACTATATTATATCATTATTTTACAAAATAATTATCCATAATACATACAACTTGGTAACAGAAAACAAACTATCCATTCACATCTATTATGTGAAAATAAATAGTGTACAATATTATAATTGATTATAATAATTAGAAGAAAAAGTAAAAGAAGGGATCAAAATAATTGACATAGAAATGCATTTCAATGAATACTCATCAAGTTACATAATACATTGTGTGTTTTCAAAAAAGAAACAATAAAGGTATTCAATAGAATATTCAAAAAGCAAAAGTGGACTTCTTCTATTATTTGTTACTAGTACAGTGAAGAACAACACAATTTCTAGATTAAACAAACTATTTCTGTTTGGTGTTAATATACTACTCATATATGTCGATGGCTATCAGTAGTATATCCCATTATGTGTATACATATTACAACGATATGTGAATTATAATTGGAATGTTTATTTTTCTATTCAATTTATATGATAAGAATGTAAATACATGATTATTGAATAAAATTAAGTTGGATTAATGAACAATGTAATTCCATCTGTGTGTAGTTCTTCTCAAGTTCATACCGATTACAAGTTTGGATAAAAAGAGGAAGGTTAAGCATGAGCGTTAGCAATTCTATCCGTAGAAAACTAATTTGCTCCACACAAAAAAAACAAAACGCTAATGGAACAATGACCCTATCACTGTATACACAAATATACTATTCATGGGATAAAGATGAAAGAGAGAGAGATGACCAAAAAGAAATAGAGTTTAATGTAGTTGGTTAATTCAATGAATATGATTCATTGTGAATGAAGACGATGTTGTTGAAGATGAAGAGGATGAAGATTTCGGTCCAATTCTTAATTCTTTTTCATTAACAATAATCTGGAAATAAGTACAAAACATAACAACTGTAAGATGGATTTTTTTTTATTTTAACACATAGATATTGGTAGAAGGAGGCACCAAATACATATACGCCAAACAAATCTTATTTGATCTGTGTAAGGGCTGAGATACTTCTCAAGTATCCAAATCGAAGCAGATGGTTTACTTATAGGGCCACACCCGAGCCTTCGGCTTGAATGTTTGATCCACAAGGTAGTAGGACAACGTAAGGAGATGCAGTCCCATTTTTCCCTCAGGGTACTGAAGACCATATGCACCATTGGTTTGGAATGGAAGTTCTCCAACTCCTCTAGGTGGACTCTCCATATCCACCAACCCGGTTAAAGCGCCGGACATTCACTTTTCGTCCTCTCAATTTCGTAAACAATAGTATTGTTACAAGAAGGCAGTGAGTATGACTTACCTGGCAGAGGCTATATACACATGGCCATGTGAGAGCATTCCGACAGAAAGAGCGGACTCTTCCAACTCTCGGCCGTACCAGAGCATTTCCGGGCCAAGATTGATATGCATTCTAGGTTGTAGAATAGAAGGAAACTCCTCTCTTTGAAAATAATTGAGAGTTTTATTACTAATCATAATAGATCTAGTAGTTTATTAAGGAGTATTCGATAATTCTTTGAAGTAATCTTTAAAATATTTCGATCAATCAACGTTTTCATTTTGTTAATTGTTGAAAGATTTCAAAATCATTCTTGAAAATTATGATGGGTACTTTGATTATATCTGATTGAACAGTTACAATTAGTGATTGTCTATGATCATAGAGTCATGAATAATCTTATCAATCACCTTGTTCTCTTTAATACAAACACATTGAAAGTGATACTTCTTCAATACTTTGTGGAGGTTTTTGCCCCCAAATACCCTGATATGGCTGAGAGTGGGGTGGACCCGCACTCCCTCTTGAAATACTCTCACACGGCCACGCGTATACAGCCTCTGCCAGGGAAGTCCTACTCACTGCCTTCTCGTGGAAATACTATTGTTTACGAAAATGAAAGGACGAAAAGCGAATGTCCGCCGTTTTAACTGGATCCCAAATCAATGGTGCACATAGGCTCCAGTATCCTGCAAGAACAAATGGCGTATGAACCAATCGTTGGTCACCGGCTACCATGGGACTGCATCTCCTTACGATGCTCCACTGCCTTGTGGATTAGACCTTCAGGTTGAAGGCTCGGGGTGTTGCCCCCTAAGAAAATCACCTGCTTCGGTCTGGGCACCCGAGCAGTATCACAGCTCTCACACATATCGAATGAGATTTGTGTGGCGCATATGTATTTGGTGCCTCCATGTACCAATATCTATGTTTTAAGATAAATAAATGAATATAAAGGTTAAGTAAAGTAAAATTTACCTAAAATCAACTCTTAACAATGATAATGATATATTTATAAATTAAATAGATAAACTTACTTCTTCTTTTAATAAATTACTTAAATCAACTCGATAACGATCTAATGCATCACGCATAGCACGATATTTTGCTTCATGTACACTTGACATTAGATTGTAATAATATGTAAGAAGTACCAGACAAGTTGATAAGAAATCACTATATATAAAGAGAAAAAAAGAAGAGCAATAGACAGTGTCATGAGAATATACCATTAGTGATAAAACAAAACCTAACATATAAGTAAATCAGTAGTACAACTAGATATCATACCCTAAAAGTAAAATGAGATGAAATAATCAGGATAATATATTGATGATTAAAAAGTATCATTTCACTTTGAAACTTAATATCTAAGAGAATACCCGACTGTTGTTGCTACCTTGATGTAGTGGTCGGGCTTGCCTATCGTGATGAAGCAAATGAGCTATACTATCTGTAACAACCGTTCCTCAAGTTCCTACCATGTCAGACAGGTCGGTTGAAGAGCAGTAAGACTAAAAGTAACAAACCTAAGGTCCGAAGGCGAAGTCGTACTGCTGACTGTACAGAGATGTGACAGCAGTAAGGTGTTTCCTTCAGACAACCAGCATGACAGCAATTCTGCCTTCCCACAAGGAAGGGTGGTGTTAGAAAAGGCCGACTCTAAAAATGCACACTTCGCCTTGTCCAACGGATATCCGTCTCCGGTGGTAAGGTCTCAACAAGTACGGAGCTAACACAAAAATTACTCATAAAAAGGTCGTGTGTGACCGACCTCAAGCAGTTGTCCCTTGGGCACTGCGGTCAGGTCTCTAAGACCACCTGTAATCCAATTTCCTTTCCAGATACCAGTAAAAAAGCCCATCCGTGGTGTGGGCAACTGGGAAGTGAAAACCTTTATGTTGGGATATTCAGGAAAATATCTCAAAAATTATTCTGTTAAGTCTAACGCTATTCTTAGACTTGAGATGGTGTCATTTTCTTATTGGTCAATATTGTACAATGTTATTTTCTATTTTATGGTACGATGTGGTCTGCTTGATTGGTATATAAGCAGAGTGTGTTTGAAATATAACGATTCATAACTCAGAGGCTGAGACTTGTGTTCTGTACTAAATTGGCTGGGCTAGACAGGGAACCGGGACCAATCAGAACCCTAGGCCGTTCTTACGTGTTTGCGCGTCTTTGGTCCGATCGATAATTCGCTGTCTTCTAATCTGCAGCATCACAGTATAGCACTTTCTCATACCTCTAACAGCACTCAAGACCACTGTATTCATAATCTAAGAGAAGATAATGAATGAATGAATTTCTACTAATCATTAAATTATGATAATTATGAGAATCCCAACAAATTGATGCAAGCCTATTTACATGATTTAGTTAAATAGACGTTGATTTCATGAAGAGCTGTCACAATTTGATATGACTATTTTGTTTAGATTTGTCTCAAACTAATTATCAAAGAATAATATAGAAGTGTAGTATAAACGTTAAGCCCCAAAATACCCTGGCTTAGCCGAGAGTGAGGAAAATCACCTCTCACTCTCGAAATGCCCTCACATGGCTACACGTATACAGTCACTACCACAGAAGTCCTACTCACTGCCTACTAACTACTGGAGTATTGTTTATCAAATTGAGAAGACGAAAAGCGAATGTCCGGCACTTTAACCGCGTTGGTGCACAAGGGCTCCAGGATCCTGATAGAATAAATGGTGTATAAACCAATTATCGGTCACCGGTTATCAAGGAACTGCATCTTCTGATGTTTTTCTACTGCCTTGGGGATCAGACCCTTAAGTCGAAGGCTCCGGGTGTGGCCTCCTAAGAAAACCACGTGCTTCGGTCTGAGCACCCGGGAAGTATCACAGCTCACACAAAATCAAGTGATTTGTGTGGCGCATATGTATTCAATGCCTTTCTCTGTAGCAATATTTTTGTTTTCAAAGAAATAAATAAATAAACATTAATATTAAAGCAAACAAACTATCTGGGATCAAAAAAAGTATATATTCGTCATTACAGGGTTGTGGAGCTTGTTAGGTTTTATTGAAATCATGAACCCAACAATTGTAGATCACCATTAAAAACCTGGAAACATTAAAATGTTGTTTCGTCCTAGTGTGAGAAATCTTCAGCAGTGTGTATCCACTCACCGGAATCAGACCTAGAACGTTAAGTCTTTCGCGAATGCTGATATGAGATCCAACGGTATTAATGTCTAACTTTAACCAATCCATAATGTTGTACAACCATTTTCCATTGTCTTTAATGGATAAACTATTTCACATTCAACACGGTTGAGCTCCATTGGTTACAGATTCTCATTAGATCTCTACGAGTAATATTGTAGATATAAAACTTAAAGCCTAATATCCCTTTCACCAACCAATCAACAACCCACCCACAAAAAAACCCACTTACAAAAATAATTCTTTCAATCGATTAACTTTACTGATAGGATAAAATGATTGATTTTCCACTTTTAAAAATGCTTGAGCATAAGCCATTGGACCAGCATTCACTGTAGGTAATAATGCACCTTGTAATTGCATATCCATTAATAATGGTATTTTATAAGTAGATATTTTTGAATTATTTCCATTAATACTACTATTTATAGTATTAGTAGCAGTGGTAGTAGTAGTAGTTGTTGTTGTTGATGTTATGACATTAGGAATGTTTGAAGAAGTATTTGTTATTACAATAGGTGAATGTAAATTAAGCATATTGATAGAGACACGTTTATCTTCATTCAATGTTGGATTAGCTATTTTTTAAAAAATAATAATAATGAATAATTAGAAATATTGATACAGGTATACTGTGTAAATAGTCATGAAAGTCAAGTAAAACCGACACCTATACATTCGATCAAGATCATAATGAAACAGTAAATTATCAATATAGTGTTGTTGAGATGATTAATTTTTTGATTGAGATCATGAATCGATTGATGTTAGATCATCATTGAAAACCTGGAATCACTGGACGGTTGTTTCGTCCTATTGTGGGACTTGTCAGTGACAGTGCGCATCCACGATCCCGCTCACAGGATTCGAACCCAGTGCTTTTTTTAGTCTCGCGGGCGAATACTTAACCTACTAGACCACTGAGCTGGCCGGCATCCAACGATGTTTATGTCTAACCTCAAGCAATCCACGAAATTGAGTGACCATCTTTCATTGTATTAAGGTAGATAAATGCACACTCCTGAAGAGCACTATAATAGGACGAAACGGTCATCCAGTGCTTCCAGGTTTTCAATAGTGGTTTAACATCAATCGGTTCAAGATCTCAATCAGAAACAGTAAATCACTGATGAAAACAATAACTGAAGAAGATACACTATTATGAATTGATGGAAGTATTGATTGATGAAACTCTTATTCAGTGATTTGATTGTATCGAGGTTGTAAAGAAACCTGAAGAAAGAGAATTCGATTGCATATGCGCTAGAAATTGAGTACAGAAAATAATTATCTGACCTAAGATAATACACGAGTTCCGTGTACCTCTAATTTTAGTTCGTGAAGAAAACTTCCTCTAAGTAAATAACTTCGATTAAATATGATTGTTTAGATGTTCACCTTGGAAGAATACAATCTCATTGATTACAACTTTCATATTGACTCAAATCATGAAGCTTCAAGTATTATACCCAAATATTTAGTTCATTTATTGAATTTTATCATGTAGATTTGCATTAGCTGGACCAACATGATATTGAAAAAAACGTCCCAGAGTCGAAAAATAATAGATACATACAGCTATTCAGATATGAAGTTCTCAACTACGTTGAAAAATTTAACGAAAAAATTGAATGTAGGTAAAGACTTTATCAGTCATCTAAAAATGTGAAGTAAATGTGTGAGGACGATCCATCGAAGAACTCAAAGAACCTCAGAAAGAACCGAACACATTCCATCCAATCATCTTTTGGAAGAATATTCCAGAATCCCTATTGGACGAATGCTGTTGCGTGAGAACCAACAAACCAGAGAAAAAGAGTCTCAGGAAATTTGTTTTGGAGAAACACAGACAATTGTTCACGGAAGAACTGGAGGAATGCAAAAATGTTAAAGAGGAGGTACTTGTAGCTGCCGTAGATATCGAGGCTGAGGTTCACACAGTATCGGCAGACGCAGTTTCCGAATTCCCGGTCACATTTGAAGCCATTAAAGAAGCTAGTGAGAAGGATAATGCGTTGAAAATCCTTTGATAGTTGTCAATTCGTGCATTTGTAGTAAGGCCATTCAACTACTGTATTATTTATCTGCTCATTGTAATTTAGACACTTAATCCACTATGTAAATTTCTGTGTATGATTAATGGAGTGATTTGTTAATTGTAGTGTTTCTATTAAGTCTAGACCCAGCAAATCTAGTCCTGAGTTCTCTGTGAGATATACCGTTGCATTCGTTTTTGCGTTTCCTTTTGAAACTGTACAACAAACCTCTCCAACAATATTTAGTTTCCTTCCAGATGCACTATGAGCTAACTGGGTTGTTGGGAGCACCTGTGGTCTTCCGATAAGCTTCCAGGTTCTTCGGTTAATAAGTGTGATGTCGGAAGCAGTGTCAAGCTGCAGGCGGGCACGCTTCTTATTTATATCTAAGTTTACATACTTTCGTTGGCGGTAAATTTGTGCTCGATTATGTGATACCAATATTTTGTTAGTTTGAGCACTATATCTGTATTTCTTGGAGTATGATTTCGAAGAATTTCATTTATGGGTTCGTTTTCTGTAGCTTGTTTCTTTATGGCCCTTCTGATGACATTCGCTACAACAATGTTCTTTATATAGGCAGAACCTCTTGTAATGCCATCCTCCACATGACCAACATGGAGATGAGGGCTGATTGTCTGTGTGCGATAATTTTCTTGAGCAGGAATCTTTCTTTTCGCTTACAACATGAACGTATGGCAATAGGCTATTATTTTCAATCATGGAAGTGTCATGTTTCAAGTTTACCAATATCTGGCACTCCGTGGTTACTTCCTGTAGTGTTATATTCGGGCATTGTTCAATTTTACTCAAAAAGTCTGGTCCTAACATCAGAATCTTAGAGAAACTGGAGGCTGCACACAAACACGAGACACTTAATCTGATCCGTCATTGCTGATAGTTTGAACCGCTCACACCCACGGTTTACTAAACCCGCATGCTTCACACAGTCATCATTACCTGCTTTCGTTATCTTGAGATATTGATAACGAATATTATACAAGGATGACTGTTCAGCAAAGATTTGCGACAAAATATCAATCGTTGCATCAATAGAAAAATCTCTTGGGTTCTTTGGAAGGATGAAGTTACTGTAACGTTCATGTTCAACCGTGCCAAGTTTTCGCAAGAGTATTCTGACCTTGGCGGGTCATCAAGTTTTCTGAGGTCAACCTTGAACAAATCTTCATATTTCTTGAACCGGGTTTCAAAAGTAATGCCAGCCAACTCATCGAAATTAAATTCATGGATAGAATTAATAATGTGGTCGGCATGAGATTTGAAAGAATCATCTGTAACTCCTTTTTTATTTAGGTTCATTTGCTGGGTTAGCGTCTCTATAATATGAATCTGGAACTGTTCGAAATATTTTTCTTGATGCTCCAGCAAGGCTTCAAAGTGTTCAAAGGTAAATGACATCTTGATAAGACAACCCGTCGCCAGTTGTTAGATCTAGAGCTTAGATTCCTAATTTGCCGCGTATATCTTGAACACTCGAACGCTAGAACCTTCCCAAGTCGCAAATGAGAAGACAGAAAACTAGTGAAAGGATTGTTATCTCAGACAGTGCCAATTATGGTACAAAAATGTCAGTTATTTATAGTTTTTAATAAAAACGAAACCACAACTATAGTTATCCAATCCGCACACAAGGAGTTATTAGCATTCTTCCAATAGGGAAGCTACACGTAGGGATTCTGGAATATTCTTCCAAAAGATGATTGGATGGAATATGTTCGGTTCTTTGAGTTCATCCGTGAACCGTCTTCACAATTGTAGGCTTAATGATTAATATTTCCAACTCGTTTCTCTCCTTTATATACCACGACGATCATCTAGTGTCTTCAGTAATAATAGTCAAACTATCAACATGATTTCAAATTCTTTGAACACATTAATACATGTAATATGGATAATCATTCAGAACTAGCTTAATAAAAGTGTAAACTGATATTAATCAGAAATCATTTATAGGTCTTGGAGGAAAAAATACCAAAATTTGTTAATTGGGTCCTTAACCTTAAATATTTTTTTGGTTTTTTCTTTTAAAATTTTTAAAATTTTTTTTTTTTGGTGGTTTTTTTTTGGTATAAAAAGTTTAAAAAATTTTAACTCAGAGGCTATGACTTGCGTTTTAAGGGGGAAGGGCAGGGCCCTTTCCTTAAAAATAAAACACCGTTACAACAAGGTCAACTGCATTTAATTGGGTTAATGGGTCTATTTTCTAAGAATAAAGTAGCATTTGCTCATTTCATTCGGCAGTTCAATACACTTTCTCACTTATTCTTATGTTCCCGCTCAAGTAGTCAGTTTGGGGGAGAGGAAGGTTAGTGCAAACGATACAATGTTTTATGGACTGTGTTGTTTGTTTGTTTGTTTTACCGAAAAGTAAATCAATCAATAATGTTACGTTTTACCTGTAGTAAATAGATTGTATACATGAACAAATATCAAATTACACATTATTTCAGTTTTAATCTTTTTTTTAATGATTTCAATGGTTGAGATTATGAGTCAGTTGAAGCTAGACCATTACGGAAAACTTGTAAGCACTAGACGGCCGTTTCGTCCTATTGTCGGACTCCTTAGTGGCAGTGCGCATCCATGACCTCGAACCCAGCGAGATTATTATAATTTGAAACAGGAAGAAAGAAATACTATTTGCATTGACAAAGTTACAACAATGAAAATGAGAGAAAAGAAGAATATATTCATCACAAAAACAAGCATCTATCAGAGAAAAGACCCCCCCCCATCCACCCACTAGTAACTCATTTACTAAATACAGATTTATATTATTGAAATCATGAAAATATTCAAGTTAGACAACCGTTGAATATCTAGCATTTTGACTCCTCAGTAGTGTGTATCTATCAATTCGCAATGGGAAATCTGATCCACGACCTTCGGTTTCGATTGACTGAATTTCAATATGTACATGGTGTAAAACGTTCATGTGAAAGATCGACTTCTGATTTCAATAATATTAATCTGTACTTGATAAATGAGTTACTAATCGGTGCTTTCTCTGGTAGCCTCTAGTTTTTGTTATGAATATACTCTTTTTTTTTAACATATCCATTGATTGCATGAGCAATGCCGAGGAATCTCATCTTAGTACGAAATGACCATTCAAAGTTTTCAGGTTTTTAATGGTTATCCAGCTAAGATCAGTTCGTGATTTCAATGAAATTCGATTATCTCAACAACATTATACTAACAGATTTATATATTAGATGGTTGAACACAGTGAAAAGGCAATCCTGAACCTAGGTGCTGATCAAGTTTGATTAACACCATATAACTAGACAAACAACAATTGTAACTACTCAGTGATTGATCATTTGTACAGACTTATACATTCAACATTGAGTTACAAAGTTCGGTGTAATAAATGGAGTAATTGTAATGATGCTATGAAATGGAGGGGAACCTAAAATCTGTTATTTCAAATCTGACTGTTTTAACCAATAGGTGACCATCACCAACATCACTTTACAAAACTCCAATAACTTCTAGTTAACATAACAATGACTATTATTCCATTTGACGGTAGTAATCTTCATTCAGTTGTTATAATAATAAACAATAACTTTACAAAGTTTTAAACATCAAAGCTCAAACAATCATATCAGATTCATCTTGAAAAACCCTCAGAAGAGCGAATATAGAAGAGATGAAAGACGCAAGGGCAAAGCTGCACAATCTTCGAGAGTGATGGATCGCAGGAGAAATACGGTAACCAAGTTTCAGGTGGACCCAAGGAAAAAATCTTACACAACAGACTTAAAAGGCGGGAGGTGTGAGGATGGTCCACGGGTGAACGCGAAGAACCTCAGAAAGAACCGAACATAGTCAATATGTTTGAAATAACAATATTCGATAGAGAGACAATGTTAATTATTTCAACTTAACTTCAACAACACTGTAATGATTGAGGTTAACACAGATGAGATATTCAAATGAAATGATCTTTTTGTTCATTAATCTTAGCTCTGTACTTTGATTCAAGGAAGCCTCCAAATACCCTGGTACGGTCGAAGGTGAGGAGAGTCAGCTATCTTTCTCTCTCTCGAGACACTCTCTTATGAAATTGAGAGGACGAAAAGCCAATGTCCGGAGCTTTAACCGGGTTGGTGGATATTGAGAGTCCACCTACGGCAGCTGCAAAACCCTGATTCTAAATCAATGGTGTACATGGGTTGGCTCTAGTATTCTGAAGAATAAATGGCGTATGAACCGATTATTAATCACTGACTACCATACGATTGAATCTCCTGACGTTGCTCCACTGCATTGAGGATCAAACCTTTGGGTCGAAGGCTCCTAGTATGGCCCCCACACGAAAACAACTTGCTTCGGTTTGGGCACCACGGGGCAGTATGATAGCCCACACAAAAATCAAGTGACTTGTGTGGTGCATATCTATCCATTGCCTCCCTTTGAACCAATATTTATGTATTCAAATAAATAAATAAAAATTCAAGGAAAATTATACAGTCAATCCCTTAGAATATAAACTTTCTAATCTGATATATAACTAACCTGAATAATGGCAAATGGTCAGATTATTACGTAGAGTTATTACATGGCTCATTAATTCCTGATTTTTACACTGTATAAACAAGAAATAATATAAAGCCGACTTTAATAATAATAATAATAATAATAATAATAATAAATGGATAGTCATGAACAAAAACAAGTACTTCATTATGTGTCGATAGCTAATCACACGATGTCTTTCGATGCTCTCTCCAACTATCAAATGATACATCTTCGAAGGTTTTGGAAATAGATGTAATAAACAGTGGCATATCGTCTAGTGGTGGATAATTAACAGATCAATATTAATAATCACTTTATAGTCGAACGTATATATTACATATGGATTCCAACAAAAATATCAAAATAATAAAGTATATCAGAAGGGTTTTGTAGATATTATAGTAATTTCAATGGTTGAGATCACGAATCAATTGAAGCTAGTCTAACATCGAAAACCTAAAAGCACTGAACGGCCGCTTCGTCCTATTGTGGGACTCCTCAGTGGCAGTGCGCATCCACGATCCTACCTCGCGAGATTTAAACCCAGTACCTATCAGTCTCGCGCACGGACGCTTAGCCAATAAACCATTGAGCCGACCGGTATTCAACGGTGTTAAGGTGTAATTTCAACCAATCCACGAAATTGAGCGACACATTCACCATTGTCTTCAGTGAATTACTATATAACTGCTTCTCACTAGAAGTATTGACCAATGAAGTTCAACCAGGTCTGTTGTGCTTCCAGGTTTACCATGGTGGATTACCTTCAATTTACTCATAATCTTGACCATTAAAAATTAATAAACTATAGTTTATTGTTAAATGACTTTAGAAAGTATATGGAAATAACAATCATTCGATTATTTCTTTAATTTAATCCATTCAAACAACTCAATTATAAACTCACTTGGTATTTTTTGGCTTGTATCTTCCAATTGGGGCAATATCGAGGCATATGCACAGTATGCACATATGCCAATAACACACTGATCAATTGCAGTGTTAAACCTCAATGGGAAGATACAAGTAAAAGACAATACCAAGTGAATTTAAATTCACTCCATTGCACAAGCAAGTGGCTATCAGGACTCAGTAGCTAAATGGATAACGCGATGGCGTTTGAAGCGAATGATACTGGGTTCGAGTCCCAGAGTGAACATCAACAAGTCTGAGATGCAGGTACATCCAGCTGACGAGCCCCAAGTAGGACGAAACACGCGTCCTGGATTTCACTGCTAGCTACTATCCATCATTGTTTACAAAGAAAAAACTCAATTACAAACCTTTAACAAACTTTGAACCTCAAATTAGATCTGTCTAGATGAGTAAACTGTGTACAACTAAAATGATAAATCCTCAAGGTTTGTTAGTAGTGTTTTACGATCGTTGATGTACATTTCTCAAAACTGATGAAAATGACTAGGTTTTTAGTAAATGGATATTGTGAATATTATTAGAATTTTATTATTATTTTGATTTCGTTCGAGTGATCTGAAAGTTTAGAGACTGTAAGATGCCTTAAAAGTCCAAAGTTTGACCCTCTAAGGGAAATACACATGTTAACTGTCAAAAGGAAAATCAGATGCTTCGTTATTCTTGAATTTTAATGGTTTCTTAATGCAAGTCAATAAACATGACGCAAAAATACAAACAATTAAGTTATCAGAACGAACTTATTTAAGTTTTATTTAGTTATAACCTAATTCATCAAACACTGCCCCAAATGCCCTGGTATGGCCGAGAGTGGGGAAAGTCCGCACTCCCTCTTGAAATGCTCTTACATGGTCATGCGTATATAGCCTCTGCCAGGGAAGTCCGACTCACTGCCTTCTCGCACCAAGGGTGTTGTTTACGAAAATGAAAGGAAGAAAAGCGAATGTCCGGCGCTTCCAAACCAAATCAATGGTGCACATGGTCTCCAGTATCCTGCGGGAACAAATGGCGTAAGAACCAATCGTTGGTCGCCGGCTTCCATGAGACTGCATCTCCTTACGATGCTACACTGCCTTGTGGATCAGACCTTCAGGTCGAAGGCTCAGGGAGTGGCCTCCTAGGAGAACCACCTACTTCGATTTGGGCACCCGAGCAGTATCACAGCCCTCACACATATCGAATGAGATTTGTGTGGTGCATATGTATTTGGTGCCTCCTTGTACCAATATCTATGTGTGAAAATAAATAAAAATCATCAAACACACACTGCAAAGTTCCCTGAAATTCAACTGCAACTCAATATTAGTACAATAGTAAATAAACAAGGTAAAAACACAAGAAATCCTCATGGTACAAATCTGGGCTCTTTGAAACTGATCATGTCGAGAAAATGACATAATTATTATTCAATGTCATAGAATAATAGTCATAACCTGGCTGAAGATGGAAATATACACCAATGACCTGGTCCTAAAGGTAGACCGTTAAAGAGTACTATAAGACAATGAACAGTTGTCTAGTGTTTCTTTATATTTCAGGATTCTCCAAATGAATTCAGTTAATAATAAAAATCATCTCTGAAAATTATTGACTAGGAATAAAAACATTTGACTTGTGAAGATAATTGAATCTTGAAAATACATCAGTATCAAAGATGTCTATAAGAAAAAGTAACATTTTATGTTCTATTTTGACTTACTTGAATAGCATCTATCGCTGAATCGATTGGAGTGAAATCAATCTCTGTTACTTGTATAATTTCAAGTCGACGACGTATATGCGGGAATGTTGCTTCAGTAGTTAATATTGTACGACGTTTCCATTGGATAGTTAAATCATCACTTTGTTTTGGACCTGGTGTTAATAGGCATTCTTCCGTAGATAAACCTATTCAAAAATTAATTATATAAAGAAAAACAAACAATAAGTCAGTACAGTAATCTCGATAAATATGGAGTTCATAATGAGATATACATAATGTTAGTTGATTGAAAATAGTCGATAGGAATTAATACTCCCTGTGGAACCTGAACCTACATAAATCTGAGACCTCAATATTGAGTTATTGAGGCCAAGACTGACCTGTCATAGGAATGCAATGATTATTCACTGATTAGTGACCAATTTCATGTTTGTTTATTTCCTAAATCATAATCGGATTCTAGAAATCAAATAACGAATTACTAAAGAGTCGAAATGCGAAAGTCAATTTCATCTCGAATAACTTTTGAGTGCCAATGTGTTAGGTATGCTGAGGAATAATGTGCCAATCATTATCATGTTAAGTCTAATGATGTCCTTGGACTCTAAATAGGCATTCCCTATTGGCCATTGTTTATTTCATTCGTTAAATATTGTACAAATGTTGTTTTCTATTTTTATGGTACGATGTGGTTTGTTTGGTTAGTATATAAACAGAGTATGTTTGAAATATAACGATTCATAACTCAGAGGCTGTGACTTGCATTCTAGACTCAACTGGCTGGGTTAGACAGCGAAGTAGGACCAATCAGGGCACTAAGTCGTTCACTACATGTTTTCCGTGTCACTGAATCGATCAATAATAATACGCTGCTCCATTTAACCTGCAGTCACACGTTACAACACAATCAATTCATAGTCTTTGAAGATTGACAGTCTTATATAACAAATCTTATTCAACATTATTAAGACACACTATATCTATCACTCATAAAGAAAATATCAAAAGTCTGGATCCTAAATTCTATATTATTTATTTCAGAAAGTAATCATGAAAGGTTGTTGAATTTGAATTAGCAGCAGTTATATTGTTATTGAATGCACAACTAACCATATTAGTGATATGGACTAGTGACCATTCAACCTGTGCACCATATTTTCTTATTAACCGGTAGATTCAGTCGTTAACATCATAATTATCTGAATCATTATGATGATTCGGATCAGGAAATAGTTTACTAAACAATTTAAAAACAATATAATTATTCATATAGTGGCATAATATAAACGATTTTCATTTCCCATGATACGGAACAAGTTGTTACTATGATCATAAGATATGAGCATGCAAACAATTGATGAAATATAATTCCTTAATTTTATTTATTTATTTGAACACATAAATATTGGTACAAGAGGGTACCAAATACATATGCGCCACATAAATCATTCGATTTGTGTGAGGGCTGTGATACTGCACGGGTGCCCAGATCGAAGCAGGTGGTTTTCTTAGGGAGCCACTCCCGAGCCTTTGACCTAATAGTCTAACCCACAAGGCAGTGGAGCATCGCAAAGAGATGCAGTCCCATGGTAGCCAGTGACCAACAATTGATTCATACACCATTTGTTCCCGCAGGATACTGGAGCCCATGTGCACCACTGATTTGGTTTGGGATCCGGTTAAAGCGCCAGACATTCACTTTTCGTTCTCTCATTTTGTAAACAACACCCCTACTACGAGAAGGCAGTGAGTCGAACTTCCCTGGCAGAGGCTGTATACGCGTGGCCGTGTGAGAGTATTTCGAGATGGAGTGCGGTTCCACCCCACTCTCGGCCATACCAGGGCATTTGGGGGCAATTCCTTTACTAACTTTGTATATATTCATCGACCTAATCATATGGGTGAACAACTAGAAATAAGTCAGATACAATAGTGCTGTAGATGCATATTATTTTATAAGTGAGTCCATGCAGATAGAATTCAACGAGGTCAAACATATCTATAAAGATAAATTAGTGTATAGACAGATACAGACCAGACACATAGATGAAAAAAATAGATAAAGAGTGATATGGGTAAACAGGGATAATCAACAGAGTTACAATGAAGCATACAAAGGTCAGAAAAAGGTCACATAATAGATTGTATCAGCCTGTCATAATAGTTTATAATATGATCGTCACTAATTTGATTATGTCTCTATAATTCAAGTGAATATGGATCAATACATTATTATAGATTGGATACTCAATCGATATGGTATACATAGAGTGGAATCACTTCATTCCTCTTAATAAACGATTCACAACCATATCAGTCAGTCAGTAACAACGTAGAACTTCGTACGTACGTACATTAGTTTGAGTTGCCATATCACAGTTGTACACAGATACAATTGTCGATTCGAATCCCATGGTGGTAGAGGTGGTAAAAGTATAAGCAGTAATCGGAAAGATTAGGGTTTGAAGATGTTATTCAAGGAGTATAATCCAGCGAAATAGATTTAGAAAGAAAAAAAGAAAGGGACATAAAGAATTCAGAAGATTAGAATTTGGAGGAACACATAGAGTGGATGCATCTGCTCATACCATTTCAAACGATTTTCAGCCATGTCATTCAAGGTCTCTAACCATCGGTTACTATCATCTCGCAGATCCAAACCAGGCAGTCTACACTGACATGACTCAGTCCACTTGTCCGTAACTTCATGGATTTGTACCATGTTTTGGTCTGACCGCCCCTAGCTTTCTTCCAACCTACTCCTACACCATAAAACATCGCACGCTGGGGCAGTCGGTGGTTGGATATACGTAACACGTATCCCAGCCATCTCAACTGAAGTTTTATTACTTCATCAATTGATTTGCCATCATTAAATAGTACCCGTTTTCTAACAACTGCCTTACTTACTCGATGGTCTCAGGATATACGAGCAATGTTTCGAAGACACCAAATATGGAAAAGTAAAGAATAGGTCAGAGAATAATTTGTTTAATACAAATATTATTATCAATTCATATACACATTAAGTTCATAGTAGAACGGAATTAACATAGTAAATAGTTAGTAAGTCAAATATCTATCAGTTTATCTACGTTCTATAGTCACATATCAGTTGTAGACAATTGTTAAGATTAAGATATCTTGGAGTTGTTTTAACAAATGAATCAGATACTGTTAGGAACATAACGTGATGAGTTGTAACCGATTGATAATTATCAGCACGTAAACCTCCTTCAAAGTCACTTCAAAACAAACTATTATCAAAGTACATATTTTTATCGTATAATTGTTAAGTAACTAAACTATCCATATCCACAATTGATTGATCACTGGGTGGAGATCAATGTCATGAGTGTCTAGTCCTTATTAGTATAGATCGAATGCTATCGATCATGTTGCTTGGATCCGGCTCGAATAGCTCGGTGGTAACATCTCTGACTGTGAAGCTGGGTGAATCCTCCAGGGAGCACCAGTTCCCTCAAGAATACAGGCACACCTTGCTGACGAGTGCCAAGTAGCACGAAACCCGGGTCCAGGGCTTCCTGTTGACTACCTCAACCACCATCTAAATATCCATATTCATATCCCTCTTATCATGAGCTTTATTTCGACCTATGAACTATCACTATATAATTTACCATTCTTGAATTATGCCCTGTCTATCGATTACTACCTCCCACATTCACAGCAACATTTGGCCAAATTTTGTACAAATGCTATTTTCTATTTTATGGTACGTTGTGGTCTGTCTCGTTGGTATATAAACCAAGTATGTTTGAAATACATGATTCATATCACAGAGGCTGAAATTGGTGTTCTAGACTTAATAGGCAGGGTGAGGCAGGAAGCAGGACTCTAGGCTGCTCATACGGATTTACGCGTCATTAATCCAATCAATAATTCACTGCTCTCTAATTGGCGATATCGTTAAATTATACATTAAAAGGGCACACAGACCACATGTTATAACACATAGCAACCAACACCACATACGACATTTACGAAGTTTAATTTACAGAGTTGATAGACGCAGAACAAACAAACAAACAAACCAATAAAACATAAACAATCAAAAAGATATGCAAATTTCTTACCTGGTTGTCTAGAAATGGTGCTTCAAACATAAATTGTCGTACATCATGATGTTTTTCATAAGATCTTAATGGTTTTTTATCAGAATCTTTTATTTCTTTATATGGTTCAACATAAGTAATCTATTGATAAATAATATAGAAAAATATATAATCATATTGAAGGGTATGAAGAATTCATGTATAGGAAATGTGTTAATTTATAGGTTTCACAAAAATAGTTCTAAAGTTATTTTAATAGTTGAGATCATGAGTTAATTGAAACTAGATCATCATGGTAAACCTGTAAGCATTGGACAACCGTTAGGTCCTATTATGGGACTCGCGGGGCGGGATCGTGGATGTGCACTGGTGAGGAGTCCTACAGTAGGACGAAACGTCCTTCTAGTGCTTCCAGGTTTTCAATGGTGGTCTATTGGTCTCACACTCGAACGCTTAACCTCTAGACCACTGAACCGGCATCCAACGGTATTAATGTCTAACTTCAGCTAGAGTTCTAAAGTTGTTCAGTATAGTATAAACAATAATTCCTCCTGTTCATCATTTTCATTACATCAAGACTGAAAGATGGAGCACACAGGACAAATCGCTATTTTTTCTGGTAAAGCTGTTTCAGTGCAGCAATTTACACTGTGAACACTTTTTCCTGAATGGATAAGCTATAAACTAGTTAAGAGTAAATACCGTTAAATATGATGTAATACGTCAAAAAATATCTATATTCAAAACAGTAGGTTAAACTTATTTTCTCTTTCTTAACTAACCTCATTAACTAAAGATATCGAGCAGATTTACAACAGCCAGTCACACAGAGGCAAGGTAGAATCCAAGTTGCAAAACCACATCAGTACAAAGAGATGGAATAAGTAAGACAAACACCATAGTAATAGAACTGATGATAGGATTAGTGGTAGTAGAAAATATTAAACAGATGATGTGATTTGAGAATGTATTCATGGGACAGAGAAGTATAAGATAATTTTAAAACTCAATATCTAGGCGAAGAAAATATAATCATTGCATTTGTGCTATTACAACAGATTCTGGGACATTTCGCCCAACGTCTGCAATTGTTGGCCACGACAATCGCGCGAGCCAATATCAGATAGTCTGGACCCAACTGCACGGTTAAGTCAAACACGTGGTGAGTTCGCAGATTAGTGCCACGTTTTACCTCAGACGAACCTAGTTTTATTCGAACGTGTTCCTGCCCCCAAAAATATCGAGCATCCAGGTCGGCGGTGGATATAACACTGACTGATAGCCCGCGGATCCATGAATAGATCGTTCGTCCTAGTTTGAGACTCCTCAACAACGGTTAACCCTATATATTATCATTTTCATAGAGTTTAGGCTTTGTGCCAAATATATGGTATCAGTATGATAACAGTCTAGATATATAGCTTCTGTTAAAATTGAGATACAGTAGAGTGATTGTCAGTGATATAAGCTGGTAGTTGAAGGTAGTCGACAGGAAACACTGGACACAGGTTTCGTGTCATTTGACATTCATCAGCAAGGCGTTCTTGTAATCTTGAGAGAAATGACGGTCAATGGAGGATTCGACCTCGTGCTATCCAGTTTCACAGTTACAGATGTTACCATTGAGTTGCCCGGGTCGCAACTGATCTTATTGTAGGACTGAGATGTAATTATAATTGATTGAATACTGGGATTGTATATCAATTATTTTTTAGTCCAGGTCAAATTCTGTCGATCAAGTTGTAATGTGGCCATTAGTCTAGGTGACTACTCGAAATCGTATGAACTATGTTGTTATAGGTAGTTTGTACCTCTGAATATTCCTTTATACACACCATTCCAGCTCTTTTATAAGAATCATCGTTTCAATATTTAGTTTAAGTTTAATCTAGTTTTATTCACAAGGGATGGAGATTTGAGGTAACGCATATCTGAGTCATTTCTACTATATGGGACGGAAACTTGGAGAACTACGAAAGTCATCATCCAAAAGATACAAGTGTTTATGAACAGATACATTGGTCAGAAACTATTAGCAACAACCTAATGTAGGAGAGAACAAACCAGATCCCAGTGGAGGAAGAAATCAAGAAGAAGAGCTGAAAGTGGATAGCACAGACATAGAAGAAAGCACACAACTGCGTCACAAAGCAAGCCTTTACTTGGAATCCTCAAGGCCAAATGAGAAGAGAATGACCAAAGAAAACATTATGCCGAGAAATTGAGACAGACATGAGAAGAATGAACAACAATTGGATAGAACTAGAAAGGAAGGCAGAGTGAGACAAAGTGGGTTGGAGGATGCTGGTCGGAGACCTATGCTCTACTGGAAGTAACAGTCGTAAGTAAGTAAGTATATATGAGACAAACTGTAAGTTGATTATGGCAGACTAACATGAACCTCTCTTTTTCTCTTTCTCTCTAGAACATTATCAGATCAAAGAAGAATAGAGATGTGTATAAGAAACAAAAGAAAGAAAGAAAGAAATGAAAAGTATTGTTCATTCTATATTACTTACTTGAACATAAGCTTTCATTGGATCTAATATTGATCGATTAATAAAATTATCAGTTAATAATTCCACTGATTGTTCACCATATTTATGACGATATAATTGTAATAATTCATCACATTTTTCATTTAATTTTTGACATGGATTTGAACGATATATAAATGATTTGCCAGCCATTGATTCAAATAACTATATATGCATAGAGATAGATAGAGAGAGAGAGATAAGAAAAGTAGTTCTTTTCTTCTATAGAAACTCTATTACATAATGCTTACTGAAAGTCAAGTTGATTTAGAATGAATAGTTGAGATCATGAGTCAATTGAAGCTAGATCCATTATGGAAAACCAAGGAAGCACTGGACGGTCGTTTCGTCCTATTGTGGGACTCCTCAGTGGCAATGAGCACCCACGAGCCCACCCGCAGGATTCGAACCCATGGGCCTCTAGTCTCACGCGTGATCGTGGATGTGCACTGTTGAGGGGCCCTACAATAGGACTGAACGTATATTTAGTGCTTCCAAGTTTTCAATGATGGTCTAACATCAATCGGTTCATGATCTCAATCAAAAACTTAATAATCTGAGCAGATGGAGAAAATTTGTAGCTCAGGTGGATGATTTTGATGGAGTTTAGTTCTCTGAGCTGGATGGTTTAGTCAAACCAATGGGAGATACAGTCAATATAAAGAAGTAAACAATGACAAGTTTAAGGTTAACAAGAACCAATCAGCATCGAGGTGTACAGGAAAAGTTGTGAAATTCGAACACTTCACCTCTACCTGAAGTTTGTTTTGATGATGTTGTTTAGAAGAAGGATGAAAACTCCACGACTAAACCATCCAGCTCAGAGAACAAAACTTCATCAAAAACTTGATGAACTCCAAAACCCTATACTGATAAAATTTATATATTGTTAATATAATTTATTATGGGCAAAGTTTTGAGTATTTGATGAACTTTTAGGGTTTCATTAGTACAATATGTTTAAACTAAGTATTAATTAATTAATCAATGAACCGATCATAAGTAAGCAATACTTTGACGAAACATATAATCATGTATGTGAGGACAGTCCATGGATGAATTCGAGGAAGCCTTAAGAAGTTCAGAAAGAGCCGAAGATAACCCATCCCCGTCACCATTTGTTATAACTTGTCGTTTTGAATGCTAATTGTCTTAGCTCTTTTAATACTACTTTTTATATCTGGTCGTCATCGTGTTTTTGCAGTTAATAAATTATCACTTATACCAGTCTTTGTGTTTTTACTTTCGCATTGTGGGAATTGCAGAGGTCCCTCGTTTCAAGTATAAGGTATAAGCATTCCGGCATTAAAAATCAACGACGATCAGATATAAAAAGTAGCATTCATAAGAGCCAAAACAATCAAAATTCAAAACGACAAGTTATAACAATGTACTTACAATTATTGTGGAAAATTATGTTCTATAACCAACAAGGCAATGAACCAATTTCTAAACAGTATACTTATGTGTGATAAACATTAAGACATCTTACGTGAGTCATAGATGCAGCAAGTAGATAAAAACAAAAAAAATGCGTTTCAATATTCAACCGAACACCAATGACCTCTTTAAGGTTAATATCACTTCTAAGAAAAGCAACTCGTACACTTTCATTTTCTACCCTCATTAGCGCTCACTAATCCATGGAAGAGATATATCTATCTCATAGATTACTAGACTTATATATATATATATATATATATATATATATATATATATATATATATATATATATATATATATATATATATATATATATGTCAGTGTCACTACAAAACAGAATTATGTCCCCTGAAGATGCCACAAATATTCGGAGTTTGACAACGCTTTAACCAGTAACACCTTCTAATATGAAGCGTACCCACCAAGTGAAATCAAAAGACAGAAGCGAGGAGGTTCGAAGATATATTTTATAGGCTATTAATGTATCGAGCATGGTCTGATCTAATCTGGCTAGCGATTACAGGGGTTGTTGAGCACGACGTTCCCACTCGTGATCTGGTGCGGATGCATGACCGAGCGCCTTCAGCTGGGTGAGTCCATTAAAACTAATATGGTCAGCATCCAATGTCGAAAACTTACAAAGCTATTTATATTTTAGGAATTTATTTACGGCTACACTCCCAATGGATTACAAGTAGTTCAGTAAGTCAATATCTGGAAATTCGAATATGGAAGAAGTTATTTTGTACCAGACATTTACGGTAAAACAAAAACGATGGAAGTTCAGAAGATAAATTTATGTTGAATTTTATTCCGTATGACATATCGTCCATCTAATATCTGTTTTAGATAATATCGACTAGTGGGATACTTAAATTGTTCACATTTCCAAGCACTCTTGGTGAAATGGCTCAGAATTGATCATAATGGCGTCAGTGTATACACTCTTTCTCTTGCCTTAAAACAAAAACAAACATAACTTACTTGACCATGAAATGTAACACGATAATATGCGGCAAATAATCGATGTCCATAAGATTCAATTCGATTTATTGCTTCATAAGTTCGACCAATATGATGATAAATTTGAGCTAAATTCATATATTGACATTTAGATTCATATACTGGTAAAATTAAATTATACACAGGTTGTATACATTCATATAATCCAGCAGATTCTAGTGCTAATGCAGCTTCATTCAAATCTGTTAATAAATTCTCCTTAAAGAAAAGTGAAGATTAAAAACAAAAAAAGATAAATATCATATCTATTCTATAAATTTCAATGGTTAAGATCATGAATCAATTGAAGCTAGACCATCATGGAAAACCTGGAAGCACTGGAAAGTCGTTTCATCCTACTGTGGGACTCCTCAACAGTATGCATGATCTTAACCATTGAAATTACTATAATATTCACAAAACTCATCTAATATTCTACAAATATTAACGACATAATGATTATAGAAGAGTAATCTGTACAGGATATAGATATAGTAACCAAGACTAGTTGGAATTCATTAGAAACTATCCAAAAAGAAAGAATAACACAATTCCCCTTACAAATTGAATTAAAATAATGGTAGATGAGAAAACAATTAATGTTTGGAACTGAAACAAGTAATGAGAGATACAATACTCAGATAGTAACTTAGATAGGATATATAAGATGAGTACTGAAGCCGATGGTAATCGTGAAATTTTGAATGTATTCTTGTATTAGGACATTCACATGTCATTGTAAGCCCCCAAATGCCCTGATATGGCCGAGAGTAGGGTGGGCCCGCACTCCCTCTCGAAATGCTCTCACACGGCCACGCGTATACAGCCTCCACCAGGGAATTCCTACTCACTGCGTTCTTGTGGTGAGAGTGTTGTTCACGAAAATGAGAGGACGAAAAGCGAATATCCGGCGCTTTAACCGGATCCTAAACCAATGGTGCACATGGACTCCAGTATCCTGAGAGAAAAAATGGCGTATGAACCAATTTTTGGTCACCGGCTACCATGGGACTGCATCTCCTCACGATGCTCCACTGCCTCGTGGATCAGACCTTCAGGTCGAAGGCTCGTGATGTGGCCTCCTAAGAAAACCACCTGTTTTGGTCTGGGCACCCGTGCAGTATCACAGCCCACACACAAAAGTGTGGCGCATATATATTTGGTGCCCTCTTGTACCAATATTTATGTGTTCAAATAAATAATAATAAATATCATTGTAAAGATTAGAAATTAGGGCTAATGAACGACCGTTCAGTACTTCCAGGATTTTCAACTGACTTTCCATTGATCTCAACCGTTAAAAATTAACCATTAATCTATTATTCAACTTTGTAAAGAAAACATATTAGTAAAGTACACCTATTAGAGACTAGTAAATGATCGAATATAGTGTTATTGCATTTTACTTGTCTAATAGAGTGAATTATGAATCTAAATAATGTCAGAATGTTATGAGCAATGATTAATCTAGTAAAAATAATCATTGACCAAAGTTTCTACACCACAAAAGCGAAGTATGATGAAGTTAGTAAGATAAATATTAATGTAAGAGTATTATCAGGGATGACCAATTTAGCGGTATTCAAGTATAAAATAACATGAAACTCAGGGTCTAAGAGAAGAAAAAGAATAGTTACACCTGGGCTATTACGACAGATTCTAAAACCTTTCCATCAACATCGCCAACAACTAGTTACGACACTCAAGAACACCTAACTAGGTATTCTGTACTTACCTATACAGCTCAGTTCAACAAACATAAATTGATGCCATGTTTTGATTTAGCTGCCCCTTTAAGTTTCTTTCAACCTATTTCTGCTACTATGTCAGCTAACACGAGTCGTCGAAAGCGGTAGTTAATTAGGCTTACATAATAAATGCCTTGACCACCTCCACGAATAAAAATTCACCACCTTATCGATCGATTTGTCATCTGCAGCTAGTAGTACACTTCGTTTAACTTTGCTGTAGCTCACTCGGTAGTCATAACATACGCCAGCAATGTTTTGAAAGTATGTATGACCGAATACTCATAACTTATAAACATTCTCTGTGTTAAAAAGACCCCCCCCCTTGTAACACTTTCTGATATTCTAGTTTGAAGATTTTTGGAACGTGAGAATTCGTGTAAATGATCGACCATGCAAAAAAGATGGACGCAATAATACGTACGTAGATTATTCACCTTACTCATTAAAACTTAAGTCATTGGCTTTTTGTTAAAAAACGACACACAAAGAAAATTCACCTAATTATCAATATAGTATATGGCTTATTTACTAACTTACGCATGTTAACTCTCCTAGGGGAGAACATAGACCGCCCAAGTAGGATTGTTCGTCGAACTCTATTCTAAGCAATCCTTTTCAGTAGTATATAACAGATTGTATAAATAAATTTACAATAATTATATGAACACTTCATTGTATTTACTAAACGATAAATAAACGTATATTTTTCAATAGTTAAGATCATGAGTCAATTGAAGCTAGACCATTATGAAAAACCTGGAAGAACTAGACGACCGTTTCGTCCGATTGTAGGACTCTTCAACAGTGCACATCCACGATCCCACGTCACGAGTTTCGAAGTTGAAATTAGACATTAACACCATTGGATGTCAATTCAGTGGTCTAGTAGTTAAATGCTCACGTGCAAGACCGATAGGTTCTGAGTTCGAATCTGCTGAGAAGTCCGGTAATAGAACAAAATGGCCATCTAATGCTTTCAGATTTTCCATAGTGCTCTAACTTCAATTGATTTATGATCTGAACTATTGAAATTACTTATAATATCCACCAAAAAATAAACACAATCCCTTTCTGATATATTTACTTGTGTATAAGAAATTTCTAATACTGTAGAATCTGTTTTTAATCCATTTTCTTCTATGTAAATATTAGATGAAATTGTTTTAAATGCATTACATCCTTGAGGAAATTCACCTAAAACAACAATTAAAAAAAAACGGATGGAAGGGGGTCATTATTTTCATAAGTAAAGGAATGAATATATGAATTAATATTTAACTATAAACATTCTATCACTAAGTTATGGTGAATAAGAGATTTCATTCTGATAAAGTTATGTATGAGCAAGCCTTTATATATTAGTCATTATGCATGTATTAAACTTGAGAGTTTGATGTAGAGATGGGGATGTTAGATCTCTAGAAGTTACTTGGAAAAGGACCTAATTTTATAATTTTATTTAGAAAATTTGAATTTCTTTGTTTTCGCGCCAAAGGCACTCTTGTCACGTTCATGTTATATTTCCCACTTGGGAATATATCTTAAATGGTTTTTGGTCACTGAGTCTTGTTTTCTCGTTCGCAGATTAAGTGAACTCGTGATAGCTTCAACTCTGGCAGTTATGAAGAAGCCTTTATATATTAGCCATTATGCATTTACTAAACTTGAGAGTTTGATGTAGAGATGGAAAATTGAATCAAGAGAGGGTGTTACTGCTGAATTGGCATTTGTCAACTGGACATACGTGCATGGACTAATCAATTGTAGTGTAATATACATTCATGAAAAGATCTAAACAACGAATATATATTATTTATAACTGAGTATTGTCTGTCAAATGTCAAATGACCAGCATAAACTAAGAACACAGTATTGGTTATTCAGATGGTGTTGTTATACTTGTATCTTCCCTTTATTATTTAGGATTGCAATCGATCAGTCTTATGTTGGTATATGTGCATCTTGTGCGGACTGCCTCGATAGTGATTTAAGTTACAAACATCTTCAAGCAACGACAGATAGTTTGACGCGCGTTTCGTCCTATTTTGGGACTCTTCAGTTGAATGTTAGTTATTCTATGATTGGAAATAGAGTCCCAAAACATTTTAGGGTAATATGACTTAATACATTTTACTTTAAGAAAATCTGTAAAAAAAAAGTGTTCATTATTTAGTTACCATTAAAAATTCACTTAATAAACATCTCAAATGCACATTAACCAATTAGTTAACCAAATAGTTAATTGATTCCCCTATACACGACGGGTATTAGAAGATGAGTGTGCATTGAAAGAAAGTAATACATGCATCATAATCAAATGGTATACACAAAACTTTCAATGAATTCGATGTAAATCAAAAGTTCCGATTTAGATACAAATGAGTCAATTGCAATTCAAAATTCATAACACAGAAGTAGTAAAGTGTAAAAAGATTGAAGAATTACCGAATAAAAATTAATGATATTAACAAACGAAATCCACACCAAGGTAAATAGAAGAAAAGGATTTTATTAGGTAACAATATGAATTTGTCCCTAAATACTTTGATATAGTCGAGGGTGAAGAGAATTCGCTATCCCTCTCGAAACGCCTTCACATGGCCATATATAACACAGTCATTACCATAGAAGTCCTATTCACTGTCTAATCGTGAAAGGGATATTGTTTACGAAATTAAGAGAACGAAATGTGAATGGCCGATGCGAAAACTGGGTCGCCTCTATAATGGCCACAAGTATATAACAACTGTTAGGGAATTCCTATTCATTGCCTTCTCGAGGTGGAAGTGTTGTTTACGAAATTTACAATACGAAAAGTGAATATTCGGTGCTTTAACCAGGTTGTTGATTTAAGAGCATCCACTTAGGATAGCTGGAAAATCCTGATTCCAAACAAATGGTTTGGGATCCTAAAAAACAACCTGTTGTTAGTCACCAGCTATTACGAGACTGTATTTCCTAACGTTGTTCCACTTTCTTATGGATTAGACCTGTAGGTTAATGCTCTGGGAAGTGGCTGTCGGAGGAAACCACCTATTTTGGTTTGGGTGTCCAGGCAGTATACCAGCTCTTACAAAATTCGAATGATAAAGTCTGTCGCAATATATCTATGGTACCTCCTTGTACCAATGTTTACTTGTTTAAATCAATAAAGATATGCAGTCAGTCAGTAACAACGTAGAACTTCGTACGTACGTACATCAGTTCGAGTTGCCATACCACATTAACACAGAGATGCAGTGGTCGATTCAAATCCCATAGTGCTAGAGGTAGTAAAAGTATAAGCAGTAATCGGAATGATTAGGGTTTGAAGATGTTATTTAAAGAGTATAATACTGTGAAATAAATTTGGAAAGAGAAAAAAAGAGACAAGGAGGATTCAGGAGATTAGAATTCGGGAGAAAACAGAGAGTGGATGCACCTCCACCATTGCAAACGATTTTGAGCCATGTCATTCAAGGTCTCTAACCATCGGTTGCTATTATCTCGCGGACCCCAACCAGGTAGTCTACACCTACCAACATGACTCAGTTCACTTATCAATGACTTTATGGACTTGTGCCATATTTTGGTCTGGCAATCAAGATATACATGCATATACACAGATAAGATGTTTAAAATGATACATATATTTATACTAAATAATTTTCATTGTAGTTTATTCTAAACAACATGATAATTCACTAATTTAACTAAAAGGATCCAATCTGATCCAATTTTTTTCTGTTTGTTTCAAGGAAATATGATCAAATATAAAAAAATGATCGAATATTACATGGTTCTCCGGTTAATTCTATACTAAAATAGATCAATTCAATTATGTGAACACATGTCTAAAGTAAGTATTGCTGTAGTGTGTATGAAATATGTTATAGTGTTTAATGAATGATCTTAGTGCTTAATTTAAAGAAATTGGAACAAAGGTAGATCTGAACAAGTTACTATATCATATCAATATAGATAGATGAAATGATGAATAACTATAGTAACAGTATAAGTAGAACTAGAAAACATTAAGTATAGACAATATGATTTAAGAAGAATGAATGATTGTTTTCAGATAGAGGTTTTGTGAAGATTTTAGTAATTCACTAGTTGAATTCATGAGTCGATTCAGTGGTCTAAAGGTTCAGCGTTCGTGTGCAGACCCTACGTTCGAATCCCATGAGCGAGATCATGGATGCACACTATTGAGAGAGTCCCATACTAGGAGGAAACGGGCGTCCAGTGCTTCCAGGATTTTCATGGTTGTCTAGCTTCAATGGACTCATGAATTCATCTATGAAAAGAATGAATGAATTTGATGAATGAAATGTATAAAACAATTTTAAAAATCGAAGGTTTAATGGGATAAGAGTAGTGAATGCATCTACCTCATTGTGATCAATTCTGAATCATGTCATGCCAATACAATAATCTTTTAGATCTATTATCAAACAGTCTACACTAACTGATATATCTCAAACGGACAACTAACAAATTCATCGACGTCAGATTTGAGCGACTCTAGCTTTCTTTCAATCTTCTCAAATTACCATTATATATTGAGGTAAGGAGTGGTTGAATATACATAATACATATCTTAGTAACTTCCTCCATCAATGAAGATTCATAACTTTATCTTATACAATGAGTACAGATCAAGATATGGAATAATGACTAGTTGATTATTTGAATTAAAAGTCTTTCACATATAAACAACATTCATTCTTCTATACACATATTGATTAGTTTAATATCACTTTTTAATATAGTGAAAATATAAATTCGATGGACAAGAAAAGTATTTTCTTTCTTTAGAGTGTTTTATCTTTTTCTTTGATTGTTTCTTTTTTAGTAATTGGAATAGTTGACATCATGAGTCAATTGAAGCTAGACCATCATGGAAAACTCGGAAGCACTGGACGACCGTTTCGTCTTATTATAAGACTCACTCAGTAGTGCGCATCCACAATACCGCCCCCGCCGCCGCCGCCGCGATATTCGAACCCAGGACCTATCAGTCTCGCACACGAGTGCTTAACCATTAGACCACTCTGAGTCGGCATGCAACAGTGTTTTTGTTTACATACAAGTTAAAATTTGAGAGTATGATATTTATTATTTTTTTTGCTGGCTTGTTTTTGTTTTAAATGTCATTAAATTTGACAATAGAACACTATGATCTCTAACCATCATTTAATCTTTTCATTTACATTTCAATCTATATGTAATACAAATATACATAGATTATGTAATCACATATGTAAACATACATAAACATTCCATTAGAATCTCTCTCTCTCTCTCTCTCTGTCAATATCAAGAAGATCGTATCACCCCCCCTTCGCTACCTATCACATCAGACATACCCTTTGATTCAATAAACAAACATACTTCATATGAGATGGTCAACGTACAAAATAAAATATGCATCTAGTGTACATGTAAACAGAATAGATGCATGCTCGTGTGTGTGTGTGTGTATGTATGTGTCTGCAATTGAGTATAAGTCAGTAAATGAGTAGTCTGGTAATATAAGTACTGCATCTATGCAAATAAATAATCATGTAATAGATGTGTGCGTATGTACACACACACACACAAACAAACAAAAGGATAAACAAACAAACAAATGTACAAACTAATTTTGCACCAAGTTTAAATATTAAAACAAAACTAACTTACAATCTAAAATACCTAAATGAAAAAGTAAATATGATTACATTATATTAGACAAAGTTTATTCTTTTTCTTTCTCTCGTTTTCTCGTTTACAATCAATAAATTCAACACAATAAACATTTGACAAAACAAAATAAAACAAACAAAAACAAAAAATCTAAGAATTTGCGCAACCATCTTCCATTGTACTAAGGTAGATACCTGTTTCTACTCCGACACGGATTAGCTCCATTGATCACGGCTTCTCATTAGAACTCCGAGAATTTTCTCACGAAGCTAGTTACTAGTGAACACATGGTAATTATCAGTTTAGGGGTTGTGGAGATTGTTAAGTTTTTTAATTGAGATCATGAACCATTGGATGCCGTCTCAGTGGTCTGGTAGGTTGAGCGTTCACTGTGAGAGACTGAAGGCCATAGGTTCGAATCCCGCGAGCGGGGTCGTGGATGTGCACTACCACTGGGGAATCCCACAATAGGACGAAACGGCCATTCAGTGCTTCTAGGTTCTCCATGGTGGTCTAACATCAATCGGTTCATGATCTCAATCGAAAACTTAACAATATCCACAACCCCTAAACTGATAAAAACAAAGAAAGGCAGAGAATTTTTTTCTTTCTCTCAAATTTTCTAGTTGATGCTTATTGTTTATTGAAATAGAATTGTCCTTCGTCTCACTATTCACAATACGTTCACATATATATGTGAGCATATTGTGATGTATCACTGAAATATTGAACATCTCAATCAATATATTGAATATTTTGATTACACCATAATGACATAATACAACTCGTGGCAATATCGATCAGTGAATTCAATTATGAAAATATTACAATTACTAAACATCACCCCCACCCATTGGTGATTAGATTCAAGATGAATTCCTTGCAGTCCTAGTGAGAAACTATGACCAATTAAGTTCAATTGATATTGGATATGAGAAAGTTATCCATTTCAGATCATGTATAAACGGTTGCACAAGATCATGGATAGATTAAAGTTAGACATTAACATCATTGAATGCTAGATATTCACGTGTGAAATCGAATGTCCTGAGCTCGAGTTCCATGTGTAGGATCGTGGATGTGAACTGTTGAGAAATTTCAAGGTTATTCAGTGATAACAATCAATTTTCATTCAATGAAGAACTGAAGATATTGATTGAGATCATGAGTCGATTGATGTTAGACCACCATTGAAAACCTGGAAGTACTGGATAGTTGTTCTGTCCTATTGTGGGACTCCTCAGTAGTGTGCATCCACAATTCCGCTAATGATATTTGAACCCACGGCCTTCAAACTTACGCGTGAACGCTCAACCTAGTAGACCACTGATTCGGCCAATATCCAACAGTGTTAATGTCTAACTTCAAACAAACCACCAAATTTTGCGACCATCTTCCATTGTACTGAAATAGATATTTGTCTCTACCCGACACATGCTTTCAGGTGATCTAACATCAATCAGCTCATAATCTCAATCAATAACTTAACAATCTCCACAACCCTTATACTGATAAGAATTAAAGAAACAATAGTAGTAACGTATTAAGCAAACAATGTACACATCAAATGAGAATTGTAAAGATCAAAAGGGGAAACGAAAATTTACCAGATTAAATTGTTTCATATCTATGAATAGAAATTAAAAATAAATCGAATTATTTGAAAGCTACTTTAAGAATTCATTCATTAACTTAGTTATTATCTTTTAATTGATACAATTGGAATCTTGAAAGGAAACAGAAAAGAGAAAGGTTAAAGTATACATTGAGTTAAGAATTGGAAGTAGATATCAAAAGGATTGGCCAGTATAGAGTATGATGAAGAATGTTGGTTGGTGATTGGTCTACACTCCTCCACGAAGAGTAACAGGAGTAAGTAAGCAGGTAAGTAAGAAAGTAAGATAAACTGAGTTCGAACGATTATTTTGAAGGTAAACTCATAGATACATCTATATATATATTGGTAAAAATGTATATACAAATTTATAAGTGAATTACCTTTACGTTTTAAATATTCAGCCATTAATGCAGCAATATGTAATTTAGTCATAGCTAATTCTGTGAAACTTCTTGAATTCATATGTAATTTGACTAATTCTTCTAACCATGTACTATAATCATTAAAAAATAAATGTTAATTAGAATAGGAAATGCTTAAAAAAGGTATATGTTCAATAGAGAAAAGAAAAGTCATTTACATTGACAATTTGGGCATCCTTCCTTCGATTTGAGCACATGGGCAATATCCCAGTCCTTGCACAAATCGAATAAAAAGTCATTTAAAAAGATAATCGTTGGCGATTTGGGCATCCTTCCTTCGATTTGAGCACATGGGTAGTATCCCAGTCCTTGCACAAATCGAATAAAAGGCCATCTAAAAAGTTATACGTTGATGGTTTATTGTTAAATCATATACTAATGACAACATTTGAAGTTAGTCATAATATTTTTTTAGTTTTCAATAGGTGTGTTGATCTCATTACTTTCGTTCATTTCCTCATTCATTTAGTTGATGAATCTTCTATATTAGCGTTAATCTCATTAGAGAATTTAAGTCAAGCATGAGAAATAATCTGCAACTGTCTTCTATGAACTATGTCTATGTAGCCCAGCCTGATATTATGAATAAAAAATACAAATGTAGTCAAAGAGATTGAATGAAATTTCCAATGAAAATTATACTCACCTACTGAATGAGTGAAAAGTGACAGACGTGTTCTTTACAACAAACTAACTAAACAAACTGTTTCAGTCATGATAACATATTCATTATTGCCTAAGTCCCAAAATGCCCTACTACGACCGAGAGTGTGGAGAGTTAGCTCTCCTTCTCCAAATGCCCTCACATAGTCACGCCTATATAGCTACTGCCACATAAGTCCTGCTCATTGCCTTCTTGCCACTAGGGTGTTTTTTACGAAATTGAGAGGGTGAAAAGCGAATGTCCGGCGATTTAACTGGGTTGGTGGATACGGAAGATCCACCTAGACGATTTGGAAAACCCTGATTCCAAAACAATGGTGCACATGGATTGGTGCCAGGATCCTGAGGGGACAAATGGCGTATGAATAAATCGTTGATCAACAGCTACCATGGGACTGCATATCCTTATGTTGTTCCACTGCCTTGTGGATTAGACCTTTAGTCTAAGGCTCGTGGTGTGGCCCCTTAAGAAAACCACTTGCTTCGATTTGGGCACCCGTGCAGTATATCGGCCCCCACAACAATCGAGTGATTTCTGTGGCGCATATCTGTTTGGTGCCTCCTTGTACCAATATCTATGTGTTTAAATAAATAAAGGGCTTATTCAGTAGAATCAATCGTATTTGTACTAGTGGTACTATTGAAGTAGAGACGAAGCTCTTGACTGATACGTTAATGAATAATGGTTATTCATTGAAGTTCATAAACCGCTGGAAGGGTTGCAGTACGACAATTTGTCCTTACACTTAACCTACCCTGATAATACTGATTTCTAAATAAGCAGTAGTCAATACCCTGTAATCACTTAAAATCCAATCCAATGTGTATTACCATGTCGAATCACTCAACTTATTAGCTACAAAGTGATCATTGTCTTTATTTAAGCCATATAATAACGGTAATTTTCACTTTTTGTTTTGGTATCCAATCATCTTGTATCCATGACTTACTTATTATTTATTTATTTATTTAAACACATAGATATTAGTACAAGGAGGCACCAAATACATATGCACCACACAAATCTCATTCGATATGTGTGAGGGCTGTGATACTGCACGGGTGCCCAAACCGAAGCAGGTGGTTCTCTTAGGGGACCACTCCCCGAGCCTTTGACCTAATAGTCTAACCCACAAGGCAGTGGAGCATCATAAGGAGATGCAGTCCCATGGAAGCCGGTGACCAACAATTGGTTCATACACCATTTGTTCCCGCAGGATACTGGAGCCCATGTACACCATTGATTTGGTTTGGAATCCAGTTAAAGCACCGGGCATTCGCTTTTCGTCCTCTCATTTTCATGAACAACACCCTTGGTGCGAGAAGGCAGTGAGTATGAATTCCCTAGCAGAGGCTATATACGCGTGGCCATGTGAGAGCATTTCGAGAGGGAGAGCTGACTCTCCCTACTCTCGGCCGTACCAGGGCATTTGGGGGCTAAACCTTCTTTGAATTGTATAACATTTTTTAAAAAAAACAACTTATTTCTAAACATACATTCAATTGAAATCTAACCAATATCTACTTAGTTTAGAAAATGTCATATGATAAGTAATACATAACCAATTACAATCATTACCAACCATCCTGAACTTAATTGATTTAATTTGTAATGATATTTTGTGATGTAACATTGTCCGACTACTATCATGTCTGATTCCATATTGATTTTAATGGATAGTGATTATTACATATACATATAGATATTGTTTATGTATTACAATACATTGTTACCTAGACTGTAAACTAAACTATCATGGGAAAGTATATGAAAATGTCAAGAATTCCTAGTTTTAAGACCAATAATATTAAAATATTTATGTAGTGCTAACAAATAAGCCTTAGAACAAATTGAACAATTTCTTTGATAAAAAATGTCAGAGTTCATTTAAACTTCAGAATAATATCTCGATGAAACACTTTGTCGATTGATCCCAAATACCTTGGTACGACTGATGGTGGAGAAAATCAGTTTTCCCTCTATAAATACTATCACATGGTAACGAGTATACAACTACTCCTACAGAAGTCCAATTTAATGCCTTCTCATAGCATTACTTAGGAGATTTAGAAAACCCCAATTCCAAACCAATGGTTTGCTCCAGAATGCTGAAGGAACAAATGCTGTATGAACCAATTGTTGGTCACCGGCTACCATGGGACAGCATCTCCTGACGTTGTTCCACTGCCTTGTGGATTAAACCTCTGAGTCAAAGGATCCGGGTGTGGTCCCTTAAGAAAACCACGTGATTCAGTTTGAGCACCCTGTAGAATCACAGCCCAAATACAAATCAAATGACTAGCGTGGAATATATGTATTCGATACCCGTTTTTAATAATATTTATATGTTCAAATAAATAAATCAATATTATCAGAAGGGGTTTTGTGGAGATTTTTAGTCATTTCAATAGTTGAAATTATGAGTCAATTTAAGCTAGGTCATCATGGAAAACCTGGAAGTATTGGATGGCCGTTTCATCCTGGTAAGAGACTCCTCAGCGGGACGAAGTTAACATTAGTTTATCATTATTATAATTTAAAACATGATCTGTGTGGTGTTGTCTATTTAATTTTTAGAAAGGTAGTGAATTCGAACTCTCATAAGGCAAAAGCATAGTCCATAATCTAACAAATCACAGCAAAACTCTATTTAACTATGATTAGTTGATAATTAAACTGTAAATTTATTTGATAATTTCTTTGATTATTGGTTTCTATAGAAATAGTCCCATAGATTTTTTCAATGGTTAAGATCATGAGTCAGTTAAAGCTAGACCACCACGGAAAACCTGGAAGCAATGGATGGCCGTTTCGTCCCAGTGCGGGACTCCTCAGCAGTGTGCATCCACGACCTCAGACCATGCGAGATTCGAACCCAGGACCTACTGGTTTCGCGCGCGAGCACTTAATCACTAGACCACTGAGCCAGCACTCAACGGTGTTAATGTCTAACTTCATAGATTGTTGAAAGTTTAGAAGTTGTGTAGAAAGTTAGTATAGCGAGTGTTGAAAATGAGTTACAAAAATGTTATCCAATAAGTCATTACTTATTGGAATTTTGAAGGCTTTAAATTAAGGGTTTATTTGTGAAATAATCAGAATTGATGATTTTAGTTTTAAGAAACTGTTATGTCCCGACAAGAATAATGAATGATAACTTTTGGGATCCATTTACGGACCGATACTAAACGTATATCTCTATTGTATAGTTATTAAGTAACTACACTATGCATATTCATATTCCTCTTATTATTAGCTTTATTTTGACCTATAAACTATTATTATACGTCTTACCATTCTTGATTTATACCCAGTATATTAATTACTATCTCCCTTATTCACAGCCACATCTAGCTAATTCTTGTACAAATGTTGTTTCATATTTTATCGGTACGTTGTGGTCCGTTTGATTGGTATATAAACTCAGTATGTTTGAAATATATATTGATTCATATCGCAGAGGCTGAGATATGCGTTCTGGAATCAACTGGCTGGGCTAGACAGAGAAGCAGAACCAGTCAGGATTCTATGTTGTTCTCACGTGTTTACACGTCTTTGATCCGATCGATAAGTCACTGCTCACTAATTGGCGGTAACAAGATATAATAGAAACATAACTACAGCTAATACAATATAAAGCTTCAATGTATTATGTACTCATTCAAAGTCAAATAGTTTAATAATTCAAACATTGATTCATGTTGACTTTGTTGAAACAACAGAAGTACGGGAGGGGGAGGGTAGTAGTAGTAGCAACAAAAGAATGTTTTTTTTTATTTTGAAAGTGAAATTGAATGTACTTTCATGAATTGTATTTCCTATGACATTGGATCATCATTTCAAAGTGCATACAAAATGTCTATTAAGATAAATGCAGATAGTTTAGTTAATAAATGATTTTAGAAAGTGCACACTGATGTACTCTGTTGATATACCAAAATTGTTACATTCAACCAGGTTTCTCTGTATACATATGCATAAAATGCATACATAGACATGTAAACATAATTTAGAATAAACAACGGTACAAAGAGGCACCAAATATATATCTATTGCGTCACATTTCATTATTCGATTTGTGTAACGGTTGGAATATTGCCTGGATGCTCAAACCGAAGCACGTAGTTTTCTTCGAGAGCCATTTCTTGAACCTTTAACCTACAGGTCTAATCCATAAGGAAGTGGAACAACACTAAGAGATACAGTCTTATAGTAGCCAGTGATCAACAATTGGTTCATATACCATTTGTTCCTTTAGGATCTTGGAGCCCATGTAAACCATTTGTTTGGAATCACAGTTTTCCAAATCCCCTACGTAGACCCTTAGTAATGCTATGAGAAGGCATTAAGTAGGACTTCTGTGGCAGTGGCTGTATACGCATGGTCATGTGATAGCATTTAGAGAGGGAGAACTGACTCTCTCCATTGTCGGCCGTACCAGGTCATTTGGGACCAGTCGACAAGGTGTTTCATCGAGATATTATTCTGAAGTTAAAATGAACTTCGACACTTTTTATCAAAGAAACCGTTCAATTTGTTCTGAGGCTGACTTGTTAGCGCTACACAACCAAAATGCCTAGCTCAGTGAAGTTTCTAATTATTTTATGTGAAACAATTATTATAGAAACGATTAATATTTTAGTGTTGTTAGTCTTAAAACTAATAATTCTTGATAACAGGTTGATAAATCATTTGTTTTCCTAGGATCCTAGAGCCCATGTGAACCATTGGTTCTGAATAAGGATTTTCCAACTATCCTACGTGGGTACTCTTAAACGAACGATCCGGTTAAAGCACCGGACATTCACTTTTCGTGTTTTCAATTTTGTAAACAATACCCCCACCTCTAGAAGGCAATGGGTAGGAATTCCAAGACAGTAATTGTATACGATTACAATTCTCCAGTTGTCTCAGTATATTTACCATACTGTTTTATGTTAGAGCTACTCTTTTGATTGACTTAATATATCGAAAACTCTACTCGGAACCCCTCTGGGGCTATTACCAAGCCCAGGTAAAGGAGGAGGGTTGGGTATGGGGGTTAGCGACCCATCCCGTAAAAAACTAACTCGCTAAAAAAAACGCTAACCAGAAAAATAATATATCGAAAGCTACTTTTATGAAGAATCGATGTCGCCAAGAGAACAGCATGATAACAGTCACTAGAAGAGGTTATCTACCACAATGCAAAAAATCTAATGAAAATGGTAAGATTTCGCGCCGAATACTATATCTTCAAATTCATATCTCCAACCACACTCATGACCTCATACAGCACAAATGGCATGATCGTTAACAATCTTAAGGAAGAGGTTTTGATGTATCTTTACATCGTACATGTTTCGAATTTCCTCCCAATTCCAAGTATTATTTAAACAATAACTTCTAATTTTTGCTCCGAAATACTGAATACTTTTCAAACATGATTATTGAACAGTTATATATATTTTTCAATAGTTGAGATCATGAGTCAACTGAAGCTAGACCACTATGGAAAACCTGGAAGCACTGGATGGCTGTTTCGTTCTATTGTAGCAGTGCGCATCACGATACCGCTTCGCGAGATTCGAACCCAGGGCCTATCGGTCCTGAGACTTTTCACTTCCGTTACTCAAACACACTAAAGCCATATAATTTGACGCTTGGCTCAAACAATCAAGTAACATGGCATAATCGTCTGTTGGATTTCTACAGCAGTTGAGTGTAAATAATGATACAGAGTTTTATCCCAAAACTGATCTATCTAATAAATACCCAATTTTTATGGAAATATTAACCATGAATTTTTTAAAGAAGGAGACAGTGAGTATTGACTACTATGTGAAGGTTCCCAAGCCTTCAAGTGATCGCGTACATTATACATTGACAAAGTTGCATAATACCGATAGACAGTGTATTTGTTTATTTCGCAGAGGATTCGAGAAAAAAACTTTATAAATAAAATGAAAAGAAACTTACCGTCTTAATGCTGGATTACTACTGTACGATTTAGCTAGTGCATATTGTAAGTCAACTATACGCTCAGGGTCATCACAATGTCGACGCATTTCAGCAGTAGCAGTTAATACAGTTAATATACGATGAATTAAATCGTCAATATCATCTAAGAATAAACGAATATTTGAATCAGTCCAAAACAACTTCCCAGATGATGACGACGATGTTGTTGTTACTGTTGTAGTTAATGACTTTGTCGAAGTTGATTCTGAAATTCTTTGCATATCAGTTTGTGCTAAACTATGCAAAAGACTTAAACTTGCTTCAAAACCGGGACTTAGTTCACTTACAAGTTTTGATATAGCAATAATTGTCTATCAATAAAGAAAAAGAGAGGTAGAGTGAAGAAAGATTACAATTGACTACTCTATTGTCAACATAATCAAATATTCCAGATCAATGAATTGTTGTGAACATATAAACTAAGATTCATTGACAATCCATCATATTTGCATCATAGTCAAATTTTATTTTAATAAAATTAAACTAAAACAGGCTAAGGATTGATGAACGATTCTTTGATGATGTAAGAGTAGTTTGAAAGAAAGTTAAAGATAATCAAAGAACGACATGACATTAGTCTGTTGGTAGATACAAACTATTTCTTTTCGGGTTTGGATGATTATCATGACCTAAGATTCGATACGTTGGGCGACATTATTCAGAATCGATCACAATAAAGTTAGATGTTTTCGCTCATTTTATTCCTTTACTTCTATTTTTAAAATTATTTTACATTACATTCTTAATCTCTTCTCGACAACTCTTTTGCATATTATTTTATACTACTTATTTAAATTCAGTAAATAGTTGTGTTCACAGCAATTTCCTTACACTCATGTTGTAACGCAGGCTTATCGTCTCATATACTGAAATATTTACATAGACTTATAACGTTTATCGTATTTATCATCATAATTACTTTGCCTCAATCGCTGTAACAGTTATCTACAGTTTTGTATATTTGTTTAAACACAACAGTTTCCATATTGTTTTACTTTTGGTTCGGGTTTCGCATTTTGATAAACTGTTATCAAGTTTAGACACAGCTTTCTTTGCACTATCGAAGCTCTCTTTGTTTCATTTAAAAGAATGCATTAAACGCCACAGACACTTCACAGGTTGAGAATCTCTATTGTAGACAAATCGTTGTTTTGTGAACTTTGGTTTTGCGCGTAACTCAGTTGAGTGACTTGGACGCCTCGATAGACCTAACATAACATTTTATTAAAGAAATTCATGTATTCTTCTTAAATCACGTTGTCTATGCCTTATATGTTTTTCAGTTCTACTGATACTGTTACTATTGTTACTAATCAAACGTTTTTCTTGATCATTTTAGTTGGCCGTGTTAATGTGGTGGGGAAACTTGAAGCGAAATATATATGTCAAGTTTCTATGTTTCTTATGAATAACAAACTGACTGAATCTATTCTGTTGAACCCATCATCGATTAAACAACATAGAGAACTTCAAAATCACACCCGATTGAAGTTTCACAGCAAACATGATCCGGTTGAACTATATTTAGAAAAATAACGATATTTTAAATCCCCAACTGTAGACAATGTTTCGTATAAAATAATGATTGATCTCATTGTCAACATGAATACATTCCACCAGTTATAACATTTCACAAGAACATTAAAAATCCATCTTTAAGTTGACAACTAATAGGAAAATGGTTGTTATCCAGTTATAAACTAAAATATAAAATGTTTCATCATTTTCCAATTATAAACATATATCAGAAGGTTTTTTCTGTAGACATTATAGTAATTTCAATGGCTGAAATCATGAGTCAATTGAAGCTAGACCATCATGGAAAACCTGGAAGCACTGGACGACTGTTTCGTGTTATTGTAGGACTCCTCCTCAGCAGTATACAGCCACGATCCTGCCCCGCGAGATCCGAACCCAGGACCTATCAGTCTCGCGCGAGTGCCCCACAAAAAACTCTTCTGATGTTCATCAACATATGCTTATTAGTGACTGCCTTCAAGAGGTATTTCCTGGAGTTGTAGTGAGAAGCAGTGACCAGTGGAGTTCAACCAAATCTGTTGTGAAATAGTAGCCCAATGAAGACAATGGTGGATTTGTCTCTCAATCTCGTGGATTAGTTGAAGTTAGACATTAATACCGTTGGATGCCAGAAAGTTCAGTGGTCTAATGATTAAGCGCTCAGGCGCGAAACTGATGAACCATTGGTTGAATCTGACGAGAAGGGATCGTGGATGAGCACTGCTGAGGAGTCCTAAAGTAGGACGAAACGGCCATCCATTGCTTCCAGGTTTTCCATGGTAGTCTAGCTTCGATTGACTAATAATCTCAACCACTGAAACAAATATATATATCGTATAATGTTATATTCACTTACCTGTAAATGTACACGATGAAATCCAACTTGTTGATGTGTTTCAAAACTACACTTCCATAAACGATATAAGAAACCGCATGCATCTAGACAAAGTCTACTTATCAATGCTTGATTATTCATATTACTATTATCATAATCATTACTATGATTAAAATGGCTAGTATTTGATATAATCTGATTTGTATCATTAATTTCAATATTTTTCAATCTAGATAGTATTGGAGGTTTATACTTGATAGATGCTGTTGTGTCAGACGACGTTGTATTAATATTATTAGTTAGAAATGATATTTGAGATTTTTATCCGATAGAGTATTAGTATTGGAATCAGTCGAGTTGGAAATAGGGCATGCGGTTGTTGCTGTTGTTGTTCGTGGTGGTGGTGGTGGTATTGATGAAACTGATAATGATGGAGAAGAGATAACCGATGATAATGAAAGAAAACATTGATTAGAACATCTTAAACCAGCTAAACAAAGCATGCTTAGAATATCGGTTGATTCAGAGAAGAGAGTCTAAAATTTAAATTCAAAAGAAGAAAAGAAAAGCCATAAAATATTATAAAAATAAGTAATTTGGACGAAACTATAATTTATGGACGAACCCATCACGTATAAGATAATAGATCTCGGATTTTGGCGCGAAATTCATTCATCCATTTGGGTAAATGGAGTTTTGGCATTATAGCTGATGTCAGTTCATGATAATAAAAAAACCTTAAATCTAATCTCTAATCATCAACTGCAAATCGTAATTCAAATTCTTCACACAGGTTTATAATCCTCATTTAGTCCAGGTTATTAGGTGGATACTCGCAAGGCCAGGTTAGCGTTACTCAAAGGTCGTCCATAAATTATAGTCTCACTGTAATTTGTTGATAAAATATAAATTATCTGTGTCGATAACCATGCTATAAGAGAGACCAGAAGTATAATGAGTGAATTGACTGAAATAGAGAATGTGAACCATTTGAATTTCAACTCAGTAATTCAAAAGTAGTAGCGAGCTTATCGTGATTGTATGTGTAGCCTTTGATGAAACAATGTATGTGTTCTGTTCAGAAGTTTCAGTTTGGGAAGAAACATTTATTCGAAATTTTTACCATGAACTATATATCTCTTGAAAGAAAGTTACGGGCGGCTAAACCAAAACGTGGCATCAGTCACTGAAGTCACTGACTTCTAGTCTTAACCATGTTGGTAGATGCAGTCTACATGGTTGGGATTCGCGTGACAATTGTAACCAACAGTTGGAGACTATGGGTGAAATGGCTCAGCATAGATCACAATGGTGTAGGTGTATACATTCTCTGTCTTCCCTTAAACTATGAGATTAAAATCGCTTTATATCTTTCCTTCTTCGTGTACTATATCCTTATACGCAATCTTTTTTTATATATATTAACACCACTGAATTAACTACTTCTATGAATCTGGTGTTCATCTTGTTATGCCAATGAGTAAGGTATGGCAACTTGCACCAATGCATATACGTGCCTGGTCCTACGTCCTAACTATCTGACTGACTGATTCTTCACATCTCAGACAAATCTACTTACTACTACAAGTGAACAGTTTATAACATGAAAAGTTAACAAATCATATTTGTAATGACTTTCATAAATTTACTAGTTCAATGCTGATGAGATTTTTCTTATTTGTTGTGTGTTATAATTCAGTAGTTTCGAGGTTAAGTGTTCGCGTGTGAGACCGATAGGTCCTGGGTTCGAATCTTGCAAAGTGGAGATCGTGGATGAAAACGTATTTCTGTTTAGACACCTGGGCCGTATCATAGCCCACACACACACACAAATTAAGTGACTTGTGGGGTGTATATGTATTCGGTGACCCTTTGTACTAATATTTATGTGTTCAAATAAAATAATAGACATACTCGTTACTAGTCATAACACTATAATCATATTAATTTATTTGAACACATAGATATTAGTACAAGGAGGCACCATATACGTATGCGCCACACAAATATGATTTGGTTTGTGCGAGGGATGTGGTACTGCCTGGGTGCATCGTAAGGAGATGCAGTCCCATGGTAACCTGTGACCACCGATTGGTTCATACACCATTTGTTCCTCCAGGATACTGGAGCCAACTCATGTGCACCATTGGTTTGGAATCAGGGTTTTCTAACTCCCCTAGGTGGACCCTCCAGGTTTCGAATTGTGTTCACATTATTATTATTATTACTCTTATCATTATCCTTATCTCCTCTTACCCCGTTTCCAGTCTAGTTGACCTTTTATTTTTTATATATAAAGGCTCTTAACAAGTATATTTTGTGTGATCAGATTGTTCGAAATGTATTGCGCTAATATATCACATAGTTCTGATAATCTTCGTCTTCTAATATCATTATCGAAATTTATCAAAGGGACTAATTGTTTCAATTTTTAATGTTTGAAAATACAATTGAATGGTCATTTCCCGCTCTAATTGATGATAATACGGAGAAACTGGATAGGTATGTAAACTATTTTTTGTTTCATGTCCTTGATAGTCAACTAATCAAGATGAAAGTTTTCTGTCATCTAACTCAACAGAATGTGTATAGTTTATCATCAGTCAGTGAGCTACAACATAGGACCAGGTATAAATATGCATCGGTCGATTTTTTTTCTAATCATTGAAGATTGTTAGGAAGTTGTAGTGTCAGTTACTAAATTAAGCCCACATAACTTATTCTAGTTTTTGGATAGGCCAATTTATCCATTCTTCTTGAGTCACGTTTAGATCTTGTTAGTTATTCACTTATCAACGCTGACTTTTTATATGAAAGTATGGGAAACCATACACTTTTTAGTAAGCTGGGATTTGACTTTAAGTAGACTGTATTGTAGTGAATGAGAACATACAAGCGGGGATAACCAAATAGTATTTCAATACACAAAATTACAGAATCTCTTAGTGAAATCTAAGAATTATACAGTAAATAGTTCATTTGTAAAATATCAATCAATTTTCTCAAATTCGATTGTTCCTTTGTAAATATCAGTCAATCGTCTCAGACTTCAATGTTCTCATTCTTTCTTTCTCGACTTTCTACTGCCAGACATTTTATTGCTGACAAGCATTCTATACTACTTATGTGGATATAAGTAGCATACATCATAGTATGAATGATTGCTGTCGAAATGTACACATCCTGAATATTCCCGTATATTATTATCAATTTAATCCATGTTACTGAACATAACGGAATTAAATAAGCTGAATACGACAATGGATTTCGTATATGTATATTTTATGCACTCAGTGATCTGAACAGGCAATCAGGGAGACGAAACAAAGAAAAAAGAGCGAAGCGAAATGACGCGCGGTGGAGCGTTAATCAATATTTATAGTCACACAAAAACAAGCTACAGATATGTGGTGAGTAGAATAAGATGTGCATACCCATACGCACATATAAAAAGTCAGTGTCGATAAGTGAATAACTAACAAAGTCTAAACGTGACTCAAGAAGAATGGATAAATTGGCCTATCCAGAAGCTAGAATAAGCTATATAGGTTTAAAATAATAAGCGACACTACAACTTCCTGATAATGTTAAGTGACTGAAATAACATCGTGTACATCAAATGAATCTTATTTAATGTTTCGTTAAGCGATAAATGAAACAAGTATACTAAACTTTATAAATAGGTCTATAAATTTTAGTCGGTATTAAGAACTAAACAACACGTTATATAACTATTGATCAAGAGCCTTAGTCTGTTAGCCTAATTATGTTCTACAGAGAGGTATTGACTATTTGAACAGCCTGACAACAATTAATCTAGTGGTTAAGCGCTCGCTCGAGTGCGTAACTGATAGGTCCTGGGTCCGAATCCCACGAAACGAGGTCGTAGATGCGCACTGTTGAGGAGTCCTACAATAATACGAAATAGCCATCTAGTGCTTCCAGGTTTGGATTATTTTTCCGGTAAGCGACAGTGTAGATAGGAGGACATTATGGAAACTTCTTCGACACTACGGAGTTCCTCAGAAGATTGTCAACATTATCCGGAACTCATACGACGGACTACAGTGCAAAGTAGTGCATGAAGGACAGCTGACAGATGCATTCCAAGTAAGGATCGGAGTCAGACAAGGCTGTCTACTATCTCCCTTCCTCCTTCTTCTGGTGGTCGACTGGATTATGAAGACCTCGACATCTGAGGGAAAACACGGCATACAATGGACAGCTCAGAAAAATTAGACGATTTGGACTTCGCAGATGACCTAGCCCTCCTATCACGTACACACGAACAGATGCAGATGAAGACAGCCAGTGTAGCAGCAGTCTCTGCATCAGTATGCCTCAGCATAAACAAAGGGAAATCCAAGGTCCTCAAATTCAAAGCGGAAAACAGCAATCCAATCACTCTTGATGGTGAAACTCTGGAAGATGTAGAGTCCTTCATATACCTGGGAAGCATCATCGATGAACAAGGAGGTTCAGATGCAGACGTAAAGGCGAGGATTGGCAAAGCAAGGGTCACATTCCTACAATTCAAGAACATATGGGACTCAAAACAACTTTCAACCAATATCAAAGTGAGAATCTTCAATACGAACGTCAAGGCAGTTCTACTGTATGGAGCTGAAACTTGGAGAACTACAACAACTACAATCAAGAAAGTACAAGTATTTTTAAATAGCTGTCTACGCAAGATACTCAACATCCATTGGCCGGATACCATCAGCAATAGCCCTCTGTGGGAGAGAACAAACCAACTTCCAGCTGAAGAAGAAATTAGGAAAAGACGATGGAAATGGATAGGACATACATTACGCAAATCGTCAAACTGCATCACGAGGCAAGCCCTAACTTGGAATTCTGAAGGAAGGCGGAAAAGAGGAATGCCAAAGAACACGTTGCGTCGGATAATAGAAGCAGATATGAAAACGATGAATTACAACTGAACGGAGCTAGAAAGGATTGCCCAGGACAGGGTTGGATGGAGAATGCTGGTGAGCGGCCTATGCTCCTCCATGAAGAGTAACAGGCGTAAGTAAGTAAGTAAGTAAGCTTCCAGGTTTTCCATGATGGTCTAGCTTCAATTGAACCATGATCTTAACTATTGAAATGGATAGTGGTAAGCAATAGAATCCAGTTTGAAGCGTGTTTCATCCTATTTTGAGACTCTTCAACTCGATGTATCTGCAACATGAAACTGATCAATTGCAGTCTTAAATAACAATAGGAAGATACATATAATCTAAGTGTTTCACGTACAACCAACAATAAACATAGATAATAATAAAAATGAATCAGAAACTATAGATTAATTACCTGTGAATTTTGATTAATAAATACACGTAATGCAGAAAATGTATGACGTATTACATAATCAGATGGATTATTAGATAATATACAAATATACGTTTCAATTAATGAACAAAATACTGGATCATTTGGTTTACATAGATTCAATTCTGACTAGAAATAAAATTATAAAAAACAAAAAGTAGAAAACTATTTTAGAGAGAAAAAAAACATTGATGAGATAGCGAAAATTAAAAAAATGAATCATTTGTAAACCAAATATGAGATATAGGGGTGAACTCATCGTGATACTATCTAAATTAATAATTGACTGACTACTAGGCAAGACTCGAATTGATGGACGAGTCAATCAGAAGCGTTTTAAATATATTTTAAGGTTACGGCGCCAACGTTCAGGGAATTTTGTACAAAACGTGATAATTGAGCGGCTATAACAAATAAAACGGCGAGACTATAATTTGTGGAAGAATCAATCAGATATAAAATAAAAGATCTCGGTAATACAATATATACGGATGTTTGGAGAGCGTAAAGACTCCTACATAGGCTTGGTTATATGCATCGTGTCGTTATCCACAAGTAGCATTTCGTGTACTCAACAACTGGAGTACATACAAACAATATTGAAGCTATGTGGTCGAGGCTGAAGGAGTTTTTGAGACTTTATCATGGCTCCTAAGATCGATTATTCTGTAACCATATGAATGATTTTCTCTTCTATATGCATCAGGATTTTAGAACCTCTGAACCTCTTTCTAACCTTGACAAGTTTTTGAACCACATATAGGAAGTGCATCCACTTTATTTCCTTGGTTTTGTATGACATACTTTTACTCTATACTGACTATTTGCTGATTAGCTAATATTTCTCAAGGTCACTTAAGATTCGATCAAAGGTCGTCCATAAATTAGAGTCTTGCCAACTACTATTCAGTCCTTCATTTCGATATTTTATTGAAGACAGGTATAGTATAATTACGACTTTAAGCAAGTCATCATCATATTTGCAATAAATTTTAATGATCAATCGTTGAAGGTATTCGACAGGAAACAAATCGGTATGATGAAAAATCTAAAAATTGTATTAAATCATATAGTTTATGCAGTAAATAGTGAAGGGTAACGGATAACTCATAGAGTTTCTATCATGTTTGATATAACTAAAGAATTTACACTTCAGGCAGTAATATATCATTAAATAAAATGCTCCACTTGAAGCCTCTCTCTGGTGCTACTGTCGGTCTCAAGCTCGGATAAAGGAGGAGGGTTGGGTATGGAGTTAGCGACCCTATCCCGTAGGAAAATATCTCACTAGAATAACGACATTTGATGATAACAACTTAGCTACTGAAAATTATTTAAGTAGCTCATATTATTCTGGATCAAAAGTATGAGTGATCTCAGTTTCGGTGTACAATGGACGTAAACAACGAGTGTGAAAATTAAGTAACTGTTCTGTAAATATTTCATTCCATTGGGTTTATATTCGTATACTTATTAACGTTGACCAATGGAGTTCAATACGTTTTCTCTGTGAGACAACCGATGAAGGGTTGAGCAAGATCACAGACTGATTGAAGTTACACATTGACACCAATGGGTCCCGATGCATTAACCTAGAGGTTAAGCGTTCGTACAAGAGACCAAATGTCCTGGGTCTGACTTCGACAAGCGGGATCTTGGACATGCGCTGTTGAGGAGTCACATACTAAGACGAAACGGCTGTTCAGTGCTTCTAGGTTTCTTCCAGGTTTCTAATGGTAGTCTAGCTTAGATGGACTTGTGATTTCGACTGTGAAAATTTTTATTTATTTAAAACGAAATGTATCACTGAAAATGATGAAAAAAACTTACTTTAAAAACTGTTGTAAACGTACTCAACAAATCTAAGATGATCAAGCTTGATTCAGTTGCCAAATTTGCTTTTAATAAAACTTTCATTTCTATAACAAAAATAATATAAATGAGAAACTAGATGTTAAATTCACTATTATATCCCGATGAGAATAATGAAAGGGTAAGTTTTGGAGTCTATTTCTGGATTATTACTATACGTATATTTTTATCGTTAAATAACTAAACTATTCATATTCGTGTTCTTCTTATCATAAGCTTTATTTTGACATATGAACTGTTATTATACGACTTACCATTCTTGAGTTCTGCCCAGTCTATCGATTACTGTCTCGCATATTCACAGACACATTTGGCTAGATCATGTACAAATCTTGTTTCCCATTTTATTGGTACGATGTAGTTTGTTTGATTGGTATATTAACCGAGTATGTTTGAAATACATGATTTATATCGAAGAGGCTGAGATTGGTGTTCTGGACTTAATACTTGGGCTAGGCAGAAAGCAGGATCGGTAAAGACTGTAGACTGCTCGTAGAGATTTTATGCGTCATTGGTGCGGTGGATAACTTGCTGCTCTCTAATTGGTTGTACCATTAGGTCATACATTGATAGAGGCACAAACCCGCAAGTTATAACACTCACAATCTAGATATATGGATTTTAGTTATGTTTTCTTGTTTATTACTTATACAATATGGTAACGTATTGTTACGATAAAGTGAAATTTTAAAACATAGTTGTAAAACCGTGTATTAAAACAAGAGTGATCCAATAAAAGAACTTACTTGGTATATTATCATGTCCTTCTTCAGGGGTTAGTTCATTAACATTTTTAGTTAACAGATCACTTTGTAAATGTTTACTCTTTTACGAGAAGCAGCATTACTAGCTAGTGCATTGCTCATATGAAGGAGATGACCAGTACCACCAGTTCGTCCAACACTACTGTGACTTATGTGTCTAAATTAAACAAAAAAATTAAGTTCAGATAAACAATTAGGTCGCAGATTTGAATTAACTGTACTTTAAGTACTGATAACAAAATAAGTAGGCAATACTCAAAGAATAAAATAAACAGTTGATACATATTCGATTTCACTTCATTCAGCACTCGTCAGTAGGGTGTCGGTCTGCAATCTTATGCTCCCCGTTAGATTTGTCATTGTATCATCCAGTTTAATATTCTAACACATTAGCAATAACCTATTTCAGCAGCAACTAACTTCGCGTAAGACGGAGATCTTTACAAATGATTAATAACTGAGTATTGATTAGTGTCATATTCATCAACCAGAGAAATTTCAAGCATCAAGATGTTACAAATATATAAGTCAGTAGGTACCGTTAATCATCAGAAACACGACAGAAACGGTATAATCATTCTTCGTCTCAGGTTGGGTGGGGTATGGCCGATCCGCATACGTTTGACTGATTTACATCTTACTCGATTCTCAGAATACAAAAATGTAAAGCACTGTGAACTAAAATGACTCATATCTTGTTAGTTTTTTCCACGTAAAAGAGTATTTTGATTCCAAAACCAATTGTTAGGTCTATCGAAGCATCCAAGTCACTCAACTGAGTTACGCGCAAAACCAAAGTTCACAAAACAACGATTTGTCTACAATAGAGATTATCAACTTGTGGGGTGTCTGTGGCGTTTAATGCATTCTTTCAAATGAAACAAAGAGAGCTTCGATAGTGCAAAGAAAGCTGTGTCTAAACTTGATAACAGTTTATCAACATGCGAAACCCGAACCAAAAGTAAAACAACATGGAAACTGTTGTGTTTAAACAAATACACAAAACTGTAGATAACTGTTACAGTGATTGAGGCAAAGTAATTATGATGATAAATACGATAAACGTTATAAGTCTAAGTAAATATTTCAGTATATGACACGATAAGCTTGCGTTACAACATGAGTGTAAGGAAATTGCTGTGAACACAACTATTTACTGAATTTAAATAAGTAGTATAAAATAATATACAAAAGAGTTGTCGAGAAGCGATTACGAGTAGTGTAAAACAAACTTAACACCGATAGAAATACAAAAACAAAAAGTTCTTATATAATCTTACTCATATTGTTGAATACAATGTTTACCACGATAACGTAGATGTTGAATAGAAAATCTATAAATAGTAATATAAAGCAATGAAATATAAAAAACATAGTTGAATTCATGACATGATTGAATGTAATTTTAATAGAGTGTTATCTTGTTTAACAATATTTCAGTAGTTAATATCACTTTAAAACAAAACTCATGGAAGAATCAAATTTAAACAGATCACAGGGATGATTTGTCCAATAACTATACAAATAGAGCCTTTTAAATTTTTGTGATACTTAAGAACTTCATAAGATTTTGAGAGATAATTATCGCGATAAAAGATTGATGAAAGAAACTGAATTGATTAAGTAGATCAATAAATTCAACAGAATTGAAAACCTCAACAACGATATTCAACCAAGACAATTGTCAACTTTTCATATATGCATCGGTCCAAGTTGCCATACATCATTAGCACACAAAGATAAACACCGAATTCATAGAAGTAGTTACTTCAACGGTAGTAATATATAAAAGAAAGAATGTTTATAAGGATATAGTACAGAAATAAAGAATTCATTCGCAGAAAGAAAGATATAAAGCAATTTTAATCTCATAATTTAAGGGAAGATAGAGAGTGTATACACCTACACCATTGTGATCGATTCTGAGCCATGTCACCAATAGTCTCTAACCATTGGTTACGATAGTCACGCAGATCCCAACCAAGTAGCCTGCATCTACCAACATGGCTCAGACTAGAAGTTAGTGACGTCAATAACTTATATAATTAGCACTGACCAGTGCTTCTAGGTTTTCTTCTTATTATTATCGCGCCGAGAATACTCATTTTTGCCTTTAAATTGTATGTTCCACTTGGAAGGACCTGAAATGTTATTGATTAGTTACTTCTTTTCATACTCTATTTTGTGCTTACAATAGTTTGTGGAATATACTTTTCCCTTCATCTGAACATAGTCTTCTCTTTCTAGTTAGCACGTCTAAGACGCAGTGAATAGCTTAAGTTATCTTGGTGTTATTATCTCAATGATCCTTCATTACCTTCAACAATTTTAGATGATCCTATAATAATCTTTTCCAATCTAGCATAAACTATGAATATAAGATAAGTATACAACTATGACATTTTAAACGTTTGTATTAAAAAACATCATCAAAAGAAAAAGAAGGCTGTGATACTGCTCGGGTGCCCAAATCGAAACAAGTCGTTTTCTTAGGGGCAACAGCCCGAGCCTTCGACTAAAGGTCTAATCCACAAGGCAGTGGAGCAACGTAAGGATATGCAGTCCCATGGTAGCTGGTGACCAATGATTGGTTCATACACCATTTGTTCCTTCAGGATACTGGAACCAATCTATGTGCACCATTGTTTTGGAATCTCAATGTCCACAAACCCGGTTAAAGTGTCGGAAATTCGCTTTTCGTCCTCCCGGTTTCATAAACAACACCCCCGCCACGAGAAGTCAATGAGTAAGACTTCCCAGTCAGACACTATATACGCGTGGCCATATGAGAGCATTTCGAGAGGGAGAACGGACTCTCCCCAATCTCGGCCGTACCAGTTTACTTAAATTTTATACTGATGATATCGTTCAGAAGAATGATGAAATCTCCACAACCAAATGTTATCCAGCTCTCAGAGAACAAAATTCCATCATCAAAAAAAAAAACATAAACAAGATTTACAAAAGATGTTAACTTACTTTAATATATTCAGAAAATGTAATCTTTCTTGTATAGTAAAACTATGAAATAAACATTTTAAATGTACTAATGTTATAGTAGACATAATATGTAATATACAAATATATAAATCACGTTGACAATTATCAGTTAAACGACGTGGTGCATCTATATTATTTAATTCATATGGACGACGATGAATATGTGAACGTATAATAGGTTGTTTAATTAATAATAATTCAGGAATAAATGTCTTTTGATGATTAGATTGTATATTTTGATGAAATGGTAAATGATTATGATAATGAGAATGTTGATGAACATTGTCGGAATTTCTATTTAGAGAAAAAAAAAAAGAAAGAAAGAAAGAAAGACAAATGATTATTCAACACAGAACTTAGTCTTTCTTTTTTGGATGAAGTTTTGTTCTCTGAGTTGGATAGTTTGGTCTTCGGAAGAATGATGAAAGTTCCATGATCAAACACTATCCAGCTTAGAGATGTTAGATCCCTAAAACTCATTTGATAAATGCTTTAATTTTGTAATTTTATTTTAAAAATTTGAATTTCCTTGTTTTCGCGCCAAAAGCGCTCTTTTCACCTTCATGTTGTATTACCCACATGGGAGAATCTTAAACACTTTAGCAATGTATATACCATAGAAACACCCTTTCCGTCAGTCCATAAAAATCCCCCCACAGAATCACTGGACAGCGTGACCATTAAAGAACTCGATGTCTTTGGTCTACTAAATAAGCTTGACATAGGTAAATCCACGGGGCCCGATGAATTGCATCCTAGGCTACTGAAGGAATTATCTAACTTCGTTGCGAACCCTTTAAGTATATGCTTTAATCTATCCGTAACACAGGGTCGTTTACCAAAAGACTAGAAGAACGCCACAGTAGGTCCTGTCTTCAAAACAGGTACGAAACATAAACCTGAGAATTACCGCCGCGTTAGACTAACTAGTGTAGTTGTTTAAATCTTAGAAAAGATTATTCGAAAGGAGCTGTTTCGCTGAGTCGTTCCATATAGTATTTAATCCTACTGATCTCAATAGAAAAGAAGGCCTAATTATACATCACACTTGGACTATCTATCCAAGTTACCATGTCAGATATTACTCACATTTGTACACTATTACCGTACAAATAAATTAAACTCGATCCTTTCTCACTATAAAGGTCACACATGTTTTCATCCCTGACCTTTCACACATAAACACACACACAAACTGATACACATAACACTTATGAATTACCTAGACAGAAATGACATGACGTTGATTTATTCAGACCTGTTTTTTGATTGATCGAGTGTAATATTCTTACTTTGTTCCGTCGTTCTATTTAAACTTGGATTAATTTTGATCTGGTTATTTATACGTTGAAGAAGTGGCTTACACTGGAGTCACGAAACGCCAGAAGAAAATTTAATTTTTCTAATTATTGGGATATTACAAATAAATTATCTACTTAATGGTTGAGATCATGAGTCAATTGAAATTGGACTGATTTGTGTATGAGCTATGATACTGTCCGGATACCCAGATCGAAACAGGTGATTTTCTTAGGGGGCCACACTCAGAGCCTTCGACCTAAAGATCTGATCCATAAGGCAGTGGAGCAACGTCAGGAGTTACAGTCATATGGTAGTCAGTGACCAATAATTGGTTCATACTCTATTTGTTCCCCCAGGATACTGAATCGCATGTATACCATTGGTTTTGAATCAAGGTTTTCCAACTCTCCTAGGTGGACGAATCTCCATATCCACAAACTCGGTTAAAGCGCCGGACATTCGCTTCAGTACAGTAAAATGAAATTACCAAGATGAATACAAAATATAAAGTTGAAATAGTAGGAGAACCTTATTTTTGAGCATAAAAATAAGGCTAAAAACTCTTATTTATATTAATATGCAGAATGGATAATAATAATAATAATAATAATAATAATAATAATAATAATATTCAAATACTTACTCCATCTCTGAAACATTCATTTCTAATGGAATTCCAATAGAAGGATTAGATATAACAGATTGTGGACTCACTGAACTCATTGATTTTACATCATTAATACGATCTGTATAAATACCAGCTAATGTAAGAACTTGTTTTGCCCAATCTTGATCGTTATCTATAATTAATCATATTGAATAATAACACTATATATATATTTCATACAAGTCTGGAATTATTTACTTGAGAACTGAATATTCTATAACTGCTAAGATGGGATGGCTTAGTGATTACAGTATTCGACTTCCAAACTGTTCTAACTACTTTGATCTAAGTATCTGGATAGTGCCGCTGGGTTTCGTGCACAAATAAAGTATGCCGGTCAATCAGTCAGCTACAACGTAGGACCAGGCACATATATGGATCGCTACAAGTTGCCATATATCGTTAGCACACAATAGCATGAACATCGGATTCATAGAAGTAGTTACTTCAACGGTAGTAATATATAAAAGAAAGATTGCATATAAGGATATAGTACAGGAATAGAGAATTAGTTGGTACAAAGAAATATATAAAGCGATTTTATTCTCATAGTTTAAGGGAAGACAAATAGTGTATACACTGACGTCATTGTGATCGATTCCGAGTCATTTCACCAAGAGTCTCCAACCATTGGTTACGATTGCCACACGGACCCCAACCAAGTAGTCTGTATCTACCAACATGGCTCAGATTAGAAGTTAGTAATTTCGTGGACTGATGCCACGTTTTGGTTTGGCCTCCCCTAACTTCCAGTCGTCTCCAACATTAGTCAGAATTGCGCGTCGTGGTAATCAGTGTTCAGGTATACGCAACACATGGGCCAGCCATCTCAGTCGATGAAGATTAACAACCCCATCAACCAATTTACCATCATCACTCCCTAGTACCCTGCGTCTAACCTCACTATTACTTACCCGGTGATCTCAGTAGATGCCAGCAATATTACTAAGGCATCTATGGTCAAATACTTGTAGCTTACGATTATCTTCAACTCTTAATGGCCACGTTTCGCAGCCGTAAAGTAAAACAGAACAAACTGCTGCACAATATACTCTTCCATTAATTGGTAGATGGATATCTTGCCTTCGCCATAGGTGAAGTAATTTGGCAAAAGTCAGACGAGCTTTTCGAATCCGTGCTGAGATTTCGTCAGACACCAACCCATTAGCGCTGATCAGACTTCCAAGATAAGGGATGTTGTCAACGCGTTCGACTACTTCACTCCCTATCCTTAGTTCAGGTGTTGATGCAGACCAGGCCTGAAGCAACAGCTTGCATTCAGAGGGAGAGAAGTGCATTCCAAACACAAATAAAGTATGACTCAAGGTTAAATATATGAATGTGTTACATGATGTTCAATTTCTTGTGGAGATCGTGTAATGTTGTAGTTTACATCAAGAACTGACCTTGGTTAGATAAAGATTAAAACCAGGATAGACAGGAAAATTATTTCATTCTGTTACGGGAATCCATAGGAGTGTGCAGTCACGACCCACTACGGATCAAATCCAAAACTTTCATATCTTGAGCCAAGTGCTTAACCTTTAGATCACTGAATTAGTATCAAATGGTTTAGATTTATAACTTTGATTTGGGATATTATGTAACCATCATACAATACCATTAATGTATTACTCCAGACATAACTGAAATCCAATAGCCTAAAGGTTAAAATGATTGTTACGAAACCTGACTTTAATAAACATGAGGATACACAGTGCTGAGGAGTCCCACATTAGAACCAGTGTTTCCTGGTTTTTAATGGTTGAATAGGTGAAATTACTCCATAATGTAAACTACAAGATTATCAACTGATTAACTACTTATTACACCTTTCATTCCCTACAACAACTGAGTATAATACGGAATGATAAAGTGTAGTTAGAACTGTTAAAAGCATCAAGTTATATATTACAAGACCAATCACAGTTTTACATTCAACTTACTTAGTTCATTGTGATTCTGGTTGGTTTCATTATTCTTGTAATCACTTGTTAAATTATTAATGCCATCATTCTCATCGATATGATTACCTCCATTTAGACCATTTATATGATCTTTATTATTATTATCCACATCGGGACCCGTTAATGTCAGTGTACTACTACTTGTATGACTTGATAAAACACAATTTCCACTTTGTGCACTATCCACAGAATGAATCGAATGAGAACGTGGACATTGATTAGATATTATCGATGGTACATTAGATTCGATGGACGACGTGATAATTGTTGTTGATGATGGCGGTATAGATGAAGTGTCTTGATGACGTATTCTTTGTACACGTTGCAGAGCGCCACCTGATAAAAGTATTATAAGCATTTAACAAGTACATATTTAAAAGATAGAAGCATTTGTATAAAGTGTTTTTAATCAGTGATTAGTTGCTATTCATATTGAACTGAACATTTGTATGATTAGTTTTATTTCCAAGATGTATATTTTTCGATTATTTATTTATTTGAAAACAAAAATATTGGTATAAAAGGGCACCAAATACATATTTGCCACATAAGCCACTTGATTTATGTGTAGGCTGTGATACCTCCCTGGTGTTCAAACCGAAGCAGGTAGTTTTCTTAAGGGACAACATCCAGAGCCTTCAACCTGAAGGTCTAATCCACAAGGTAGTGGAGCAATGTCGGGAGATACAGTCCCATGGTAACCGGTAACCAACGATTAGTTCATACTCCATTTGTTCCCTCAGGATATTGGAGACCATCTGCACCATTGGTTTGGAATCAGGGTTTTCTAACTCCCCTAGATGGATTCTCTATATCCACCAACCCGGTTAAAGCTCCAAAAAGTCGCTTTTTGTCCTCTCAATTTCAAAAACAATACGCCAGTGGCGAGAAGGTAATGAGTAGAACTTACCTGGTAGTGGGTGTATACGCGTGGCCATATGAGAGTATTTCGAGGAGAGCTGACTCTCCACACTCTCGATTATATCAGGGCATTTGGAGACATCGTAAACTATACCAACCATCATGGTGATATAGTTTGAATTTCTAGTTAATCAGATTCGAGATAAACAATTTATGGAAGCTCGTAAGTACACGCAAGTATTCATTAAAGAAAGCTTACATGCAGTAATATATAAATAATGTTAAGATGAATCTTGATAGAGCTGTTAAAACAACACCAAATAAATCCGGTCACAATTACAGAAAACAATATACAGTTTGATTACTACAGGTCTTATTCAAGTCTTAATGAAGCTGAAAAATATCTAAAATATACTTTCATGATCCATTTGATTATACAGTTCATTGATTTGCAATACACATTCTGGATTCATTTCACAAAAATATTGGACAGTCGTCACATTAAACCAACTCAATAAATGGCCTAGTGTTTTAGAAAATTTATAAAATAAACAGATAATAGATAGCATCTCTGTGCTAATATGATGTGGTAACTCGAACTGATGTACGTACGTACGAAGTTCCACGTTGTTACTGACTGACTGACTGAGTTGAGTTCATGAATCAATTAAAGCTAGGCCATCATGGAAAATCTGGAAGCACTGGAAGACCGTTTCGCCCTAGTATGGGACTCCTCAGTAGTGTGCATCCACGATCCTGCACGTCACACTCGAACCGAGGACCTGTCAGTCTCATGTACAAACACTTAACCTCTAGACCATTGAGTCGGCGTTCAACGGCGTTAATGTCTAATTTCAAACAATCCACGAAATTGCGCTACCGTCCATCAATGTCTTCAGTGAGTTGAATAAATATAAGTCAGTAACAGACAAAATGAATACAACATAGTTAGTGGAATTAACGAGATCATAAATACTGCTAAAATGTACCGATCTATTTTATTAATCACATGATATCCATTTATTATTTATTTCATTTTATTTCAACACATGGATATTGGTACAAGAGAGCGCCAACATATATGTGCCACACAAAACAATGAGAATTCGAAGAGAAATAGAAAAAAAACTAAGGAGCGCAAAAGAAAAAGAGAACAATAACGAAGAGATTGGTGTAAGGTAGTGTGGTATTAACGAGGGAACGGAAAGGTACAATCAGAAGAAATCTTTCAGGTAAGGGAGACACAACCACTTTTTATGAAGAAAGTTAAAGAAGGTTACAGCAGGATCGCCACTGGCTTCTATTCTGAGCAATATCTGATAACGTCTCTAGCCACTGTGTAGCACCATCTCTCAGACCCCAACCAGAGAGTCGTGAAGGACCAACACAAGCCAGTCCTTTGATTTGTAACGCTTCAAGAGTTGGAGTTCCTTGCGGACTTCCTCCTCATTTGGTGGATCAGTCGTCACCGGCCATGGAGGGCAGGACAGTCTGACCGATGTTGCCGGAGCAGCAGGCCAGTTGAACTGCCCTTCGAAAAATTCTGCCCATCGTCCAAGACGTCGATGGATGTTAGTGATTGGCATCCCATCATCCTCGCAGATTGTTTCACTCACACCAGACTTCTTGCTGCCAGTGGCTCGGATGAGCTGGAAGAGCTTCCGGTAGTTACCAGATGCAGCTGCTGCTTCCAGCTCATTAGCACGCATCGACCACCAGGCTTCTCGGTCCTTACGCAAGCTTTGCCCAATTTCCTTACGTAACATCCTTCGTTTATGGTCAAACTCACGGTCACCCGGAGTAGACCGACGGGCTTCAATGAGTTGTAAGGAACCAGAAGAAACCCAGTGCTTAAAAGCGGGACGTTTCGCAAACCCACAACTGACTGTTCCCGCCATTTTCATGGCGTCATGCAATTGCAACCAATGCTCATCTATACTTTTCGGTGGAGTGGTAGCTAGCCTAGAGGCTAGCTCGGTTCGATACTTACTTGCAACAGAAGTTGCAACCAGCTTGCTAACATCAATCCGTTGATGGCGGTCACTTCGTTGTCCACTGAAAAGTAAGGCAAGATTGGCGCAGACCAAGGCATGGTCAGAGTCCAGATAGGTACTCCAAAAGGAGCGGCAGTCTTGTACACAACCACGCCAGCGGTAGCTGATCGCGATGTGATCAATCTGAGTCCAGGCTTGAGATGCAGAGGGAGGACGCCAGGTGGCACATCGGCGATGACTGTGCCGAAAGTTAGTGCTAGCCAGAAACAGGTTGTGGTCTGTGCAAAGTTGCAGTAGACGGTCCCCGTTATCTGACCTGCGACCAACGAGTCCCCATCGGCCACCTAAACGACTCTCTTCTGTGCCTAGACGCCCGACCTGAGCATTCAAGTCTCCGGCTAGTACTACAATATCTGTCGAACGCACTTTCTGGAGAAGAACTGATAACTGGTGGTAAAACTCATCCTTGATTGCATCCGGGCTGCAATCTGTCGGGGCATAGGCGGAGATGACGAAAAGACATCGTTTCTCACGCCGATTTCTTCTCACTTTGATGGAACTTTCTAATCTAACAGCACATAACCGACTGTTAATGGGGATCCAATCGACTAGTGCTGCCTCAGCTCTAGCGCTTAGTGCGACACCAACGCCAGCAAGACCAGACGAAGATGCCACAGGGTCCCCGGATAAGCGCACGTAAAACAAGCTTTTCGAAGCGACAGATGGAGATCGAATTTGTAGTACTTCGCCAGAGTCTTGAATACGGGTCTCGGATAGACAACAAACATCAATATTAAGACTTTCCAAAGACATAGCCAGCCCTATCTGTTGTCCGACCTGCATAAATGTGCGAACGTTGAAGGCAGCCAGTTTGAATGGTGCACGTGGTTTCAGAAAAACTGCTTCAGTCCTCGTATTCGGTGGTAACATACAATTTTCAACCGGACAGTGACTCGAGAACGTTTAGATACAGTCGGATTTCCACCAAAGACGAGCCGCTGTATAAGTATAAAAGAGGGTGAATAATGTGGAAAATAATAATAATAATAATAATAATAATAATAATAATAATAATAATAATAATAATAATAATAATAATAATAATAATAATAATAATAATAATAATAATGACAATAATTGTAATGATAATAATTTGAATCAATCGATTGTTTTTCGAAGCAAGAAAGGTAATTTCCATAGACATAAAGAGTTCATCATTTGTGTGTGGGCTGTGATACTGCCCGGGTGCCCAAACCGAAGCAGGTGGTTATCTTAGGGGGCCACTCCCCGAGCCTTTGACCTAAAGGTCTAACCCACAAGGCAGTGGAGCATCGTAAGGAGATGCAGTCCCATGGTAGCCGGTGACCAACGATTGGTTCATACGCCATTTGTTCCCGCAGGATACTGGAGCCCATGTGCACCATTGGTTTGTGATCCGGTTAAAGCGCCGGACATTCGCTTTTCGTCCTCTCATTTTCGTAAACAACACCCCCGCCACGAGAAGGCAATGAGTAGGACTTCCCTGGCAGAGGCTGTATACGCGCGGCCGTGTGAGAGTATTTCGAGAGGGAGAGCGGACTCTCCCCGCCCTCGGCCGTACCAGGGCATTACAGCAGTGTTGCCTATTACTCATATATGAAACAATGAATCACTCTAATTCCTACGACGCAAAGTAAAAACATAGAAAACTGGTACAAGTATAAACTTATTTCGATAGAAATAGCTTTTCGGTAAATTTTAAAAGCAGATTGGTTACTTTATTACTTATTCAAGTATATTAATTGGAATTCATTAGAAGTAGTCTTCTCAAAACAGTTCACTTAAATATAGAATGTAACACAAGTTCCTTTATTAAGTGAAGAATTTCGACCAAATAAAGCTTTTATTCTCAACCAATAACATACATGAGATTCAGTCTTCTATGAAAATGAAAGATGTACAATTGTACTATGGCAATTACTAACTGAAAGGGTCTGCTTCTTCTACAGTTGCTCTATTATCTAATCGATTAAACCTTCGATTAAAGATTACTGAAGAGGAAACTTCAAGTAAAAAGGCCTTTTACTTCGGGTTTGTGCAGTTAGGTAATATCAATCACGCCGTAAACATAAAAAGGATTAATTATGATCACTTACCTTGATTAACTCCAGCAATTTGATCTAATATATGCTTTTGTACTTTGCCATCTTTAGTTAAATAAGCAGCATTAGCAGTAGTAGTAGTAGAAGCGCCAGTTGCAGAACCGCTGTTTGTTGACCGACCATCACTTTGATCACTTGATAGAGAAGATTTTCTACCACTACTACCAGTCTGTGAAAATGAATGACTACTACTAGTTATGGATAAATAAGAATCATATGATCCATTGTCAGAATTCATTGTGTTCTGTTGTTGTTGTTGTTGTCGTGAATGATTGTTATTATTAATTGTTTCTAATGAATAATCACTAAGCATACTTTGTGGTCGATAATATGATATACTGTTAATATGACTAGTTATATTGCCTGAAATATTGGATTTATTTAATTTATTTGATTTATCAATAGAATGTTGACGACGAGATGTATTCAATGTACTAGAATTACTATGACCATCAGTCAGTTGTAAAGATTCTTCATAATCTCGACGTACTGCAGCTGCAATAACAGCTGTTTGTAGAGCACCACCTTTTTTTAAAATAATGAAAGACAAGCAAAATATTGTGTTTTTAATTTAAAGCTGATGTTTCATTATAAAGTATTGATAGTTGGAGAAGCACTGAAACTGGATACAGTTCAAGTTAGTGTTGTATCCGACGAAGATTAAAGGGATGGTAACGGACAGGATTAATTTAAGGCCTATTATTATACATATTAAGTGATAGTTTCCCATACTCACAGCTCCTTTTTGGCTTGATCATTACTTACTTACTTACGCCTGTTACTCTCAATGGAGTACAGACCACCGACCAGCATTCTACAACCCACTCTGCCCTCGGCCATCTTTTCCAGTCCTATCCAATTTTTGTTCATTTTTCTCATATCTGTTTCCATTTCTCGGTGTAGTGTGTTCTTCCGTTTTCCTCTTTTCCTTTGGCTTTGAAAATTCCATATGAGGGCTTATCTTGTGATGCAGTTGTGTGCTTTCCTCAATGTGCGTCCTATCCACTTTCAGAGCTTCTTCCTGATCTCTTCCCCCGCTGGGATCTGATTTGGCTTAATTATGTATGAATGTTATTTCCTATTTTATAATGTGATGCGGTCTGATATGCCTAGTATAAAAATTACGTCTAGTTGAAATATATCATATAGTGGAGGATGATTACTCTGCTCTGGACTCAATGGGGAGATTAGGAAGACAAGCTACCGAATCGAGGACAAGTAAGAGCTTTTCGTTGACTCAGGATTATTAATACTGGAATGGATTTCGGTTGGTGTTTATGTCATGTGAATATTGTCAATAGTTGTAAGTCGTAACAGTCAGCACTTATAGCTTCACAAATGTGCCTACATTTTAAGCATTAATGTTTTATGATCAGCATGATTATAACCCACGTCATGCAATCAACTCAAAATATGAAAAAAAGAGATTTTTATGACAGAAGAGCTTAAAACTGAATGGAATTTAGTCGTTTATTGGTTTCAATTAATTGCGGTGGTGATTGGAAGTAGTCGACAGGATACCCTAGATCTACGTTTTGTGCTCATTTATAACTCGTCAGCAAGGTGTACCTAAAATCTAGAGCAAGCACATATTCCTTGATTGAATTGACACTGTATGACTTAGATTTACAGTCAAAGACTTTACCACTAGGAGATCCGGGTTACGAATAACCTCTTATAAGACTGAGATATATTTACAAATGATTGAATTCTGAGAAGTCACAACTACAAAATACGTCAAGTCCTTTACAATTGACTGATCACTGGGCGGTGATCAATGTCATGTGTGTCAAGTCCTTATTAGTGCAGATCGATTGCTATCGAACATGTTGCAATGTGGCCACCAGTCGAGGTGACTCGACACTGCGTGCACTATTGTGCCATTAGATGGTGATTGCAGGTAGTCGACAGGAAGGTTGGTCGTGGCCCAGATGGCTCTGTGGTAACGTCTCTGACTGTGGACCTGGTGACACAGGATCGAATCCGTCAGAGAGCGCCAGTTCCATCAAGATTACACGTATACCTTGCCGACGAGTGCCAAGTAGCAGGAAACACGGATCCAGGGTTTCCTGCCGACTACCTCCAACCACCATCTAATGTCAAGTCCTTCGTCGTAGAGTACAACAAAGGAAGAACGAGAGCAATGGATTATATTAGTAGCCATAATCCTTCTTATTCCTAGGAAACATGACGCTACGAATGCATAGAACAACATCTAACGACGTTGAAAACAAGATAGACAGTAAAATAATCCTGAGCTTCATACACACGTATTGCTAATGCAAACATGACACTTAGAGTTAGTTCTTATTACCTGTAAACAACTGGAAAATTTCGCATTAATAGCTATAATGTTAGGATTATATACTCTTGTTAGGTCCCAATAACCATAATGAATGGTAACTTTGGGATCCATTTATGGACCAATACTATACGTATATTTTTATTGTATATTTGTTAAATAACCAAACTATTCATATTCCTCTTATTATAAGCTTTATTTTGAACTATGAACTGTCATTATACGTTTTACCATTCTTGAATTATGCTCTATCTATTAGTGACTGTCTCCCACATTCACAGCCACATTTGGCTAAATCTTGTACAAATGTTACTTTCCATTTTATGGTACGTTGCGGTCTGCTTGATTTGTATATAAACCCCGTATGCTTGAAATAAATTACTCATATCGCAGAGGCTGAGATTGGTGTTCTGGGCTTAACTGGCTGGGCTAGACGGAAAGCATGACCAATCAGGACTGTAGGCTGCTCGTACGCGTTTTACGCGTCATTGATCCGATCGATAAGTCACTGCTCCCTAGTTGGCGGTATCACTACTTATCCATTAACAGGGCTTACAGACCATAAGTTATAACAACCCTGAATATAAATTTTAGTCACATAACTATACAATTATAGAGTCCAATAATAGAGTACACTGAAATCAAACAAGTCCTATCAGTTGTCACATTGATTTAAAGCAATTAGTTCAATTTGATAAATTTCAATAGATGTAATAAGAAAAGGAAAGATTATTAGAACTATGTGATGATAAATTCACTTGGTGTTGTTTTACTTGTATCTTTCTATTGCTATTTAGGACTGCAAAAAAACACACCAAGTGAATTTGTACTTCACCCCATTGCACAAGCAAATGGCTATCAGGACTCAATAGCTAAGTGGATAACGAGATGGCGTTTGAAGCGAGCGGTATTGGGTTCGAGTCCTGAGGTGGACATCAACTCTGGGATGCAGGCACATCCAGCTGACGAGTCCCAATTAGGACGAAACGTGTGTTAAACTGGATTCCACTGCTAGCCACTATCCATCTGTGCTTAGAAAGTATGTGATGATAGATTAGTGTAATACATTTCGAACAATCTGATCACACATATACTTATAAAAACATTTATATATTAAAAGATTAATATTTGAACGAAGAATATTCTTTTCGATAAATTCTCTTCACGTTAGTGTTTTCTACACACCCAATGGTGACACCTAGGCTAAAAGACGCATTACCTAGAACGACCAGTTCATTTTGTATTTAACAGTTCGACTGCTTCTGTGGAGCAATTGATATTGGTCGAAGTTCTAGGAATTTACATTTTCGTACTCGTGAACACCTCCAGTGTGGCTAAACAAAGGTTTGATAGAGAAAGTGAACAGCTCGATATTGGCTCATTTAGTACAAACTGATCATAGTGCCAGTGTAGTGAACAAGAACACGGGTGGGGACAATCGAATGTATTTAACACAACAATTACATACTATCTCAATAAAGCCTGAATACCATATAGTAAATTGTCAATTTGCAAAATATTCATGCATCAAACCAAACTGGACTGTTTCTGTTGCAAACACCAATCCATTGTCTCCCATTCCATTGTTCATGCGTTTTCTTACAAATTCCATTGTGTTCTCGCTCTTCCTTTCTTGATCTTCCCCATTTTCTGCTGCCAGACATCACGTTCTTTTAACTCACGTTATATACTATTCATATCAATATAAGTAGCTCACACCACACCAGTATAAACCAATCCTTTTCAATTATTTATCGGGTCAGTAACTTTTTGCCAAAACTTGTCATGAATGGCTTCCATGAACACCCAATGTCCGGCCTTCATGTTTTGTAATATTATAAACGGCTACTGGACTGTTGTACGTGGGAATGTGCATCACAATCACGAGTGCAATTCCCTGATGTACCAAAGTAATTCATGGGTGCGCAGGTTAACGGAGGCCGAGTTTGAAACTGTGAGACCGCTGCTAATAAAATTAATCAAATTACCTCCTCCGTCTGATCTGCTGTGACGAACCGCTAGATGTTATACGGCCATGTCTCCAACACACAAATTTAATATACGAGTTTCCATCTCTGCACAAATGCGAATCTCGAACTACATAATGACAGTAAGTTGATTTTTCATAATTTGTGATAGCGGACTTCAACGCTTCAAGCGATGGGAACGCAACGAGAAACAATGTTGTCAAAAAGACTTCCTCCGTTTCTGTTACGTGAGAAATAACAGCGCTTGTACTCGGCACGTTACTCTCCTCCATAATGATGATTAAAATGTAATTCGTCGACAAGTACTGATGTTTTATAACAATTTGACAAGACATAACTAACCAAATAAAACGAACTTTAAAACTAGCCATTTCATTGGTCGAAACGGGATGAAAAATATTGTAATTTTGGGATTGAAAAAATTTTTTAAGGGTGAGGGTGTTAAAAAAAATTGCTGTGGGGATAATGAAAACCAATTGGCCTTAATGTTGGCCAGGGGAGGAGGAGTGGTTGAAGATATTTCTTCTGTACACATAGCTTCAGCCGTTTGAAGGACTTTAGGTTTGACAAGTTTTGGCAAAAAGTTACTGACCCGATAAATAATTGAAAAGGATTGGTTTATACTGGTGTGGTGTGAGCTACTTATATTGATATGAATAGTATATAACGTGAGTTAAAAGAACGTGATGTCTGGCAGCAGAAAATGGGGAAGATCAAGAAAGGAAGAGCGAGAACACAATGGAATTTGTAAGAAAACGCATGAACAATGGAATGGGAGACAATGGATTGGTGTTTGCAACAGAAACAGTCCAGTTTGGTTTGATGCATGAATATTTTGCAAATTGACAATTTACTATATGGTATTCAGGCTTTATTGAGATAGTATGTAATTGTTGTGTTAAATACATTCGATTGTCCCCACCCGTGTTCTTGTTCACTACACTGGCACTATGATCAGTTTGTACTAAATGAGCCAATATCGAGCTGTTCACTTTCTCTATCAAACCTTTGTTTAGCCACACTGGGAGGTGTTCACGAGTACGAAAATGTAAATTCCTAGAACTTCGACCAATATCAATTGCTCCACAGAAGCAGTCGAACTGTTAAATACAAAATGAACTGGTCGTTCTAGGTAATGCGTCTTTTAGCCTAGGTGTCACCATTGGGTGTGTAGAAAACACTAACGTGAAGAGAATTTATCGAAAAGAATATTCTTCGTTCAAATATTAATCTTTTAATATATAAATGTTTTTATAAGTATATGTGTGATCAGATTGTTCGAAATGTATTACACTAATCTATCATCACATACTTTCTAAGCACAGATGGATAGTGGCTAGCAGTGGAATCCAGTTTAACACACGTTTCGTCCTATTTGGGACTCGTCAGCTGGATGTACCTGCATCCCAGAGTTGATGTCCACCTCAGGACTCGAACCCAATACCGCTCGCTTCAAACGCCATCTCGTTATCCACTTAGCTATTGAGTCCTGATAGCCATTTGCTTGTGCAATGGGGTGAAGTACAAATTCACTTGGTGTGTTTTTTTGCAGTCCTAAATAGCAATAGAAAGATACAAGTAAAACAACACCAAGTGAATTTATCATCACATAGTTCTAATAATCTTTCCTTTTCTTATTACATCTATTGAAATTTATCAAATTGAACTAATTGCTTTAAATCAATGTGACAACTGATAGGACTTGTTTGATTTCAGTGTACTCTATTATTGGACTCTATAATTGTATAGTTATGTGACTAAAATTTATATTCAGGGTTGTTATAACTTATGGTCTGTAAGCCCTGTTAATGGATAAGTAGTGATACCGCCAACTAGGGAGCAGTGACTTATCGATCGGATCAATGACGCGTAAAACGCGTACGAGCAGCCTACAGTCCTGATTGGTCATGCTTTCCGTCTAGCCCAGCCAGTTAAGCCCAGAACACCAATCTCAGCCTCTGCGATATGAGTCATTTATTTCAAGCATACGGGGTTTATATACAAATCAAGCAGACCGCAACGTACCATAAAATGGAAAGTAACATTTGTACAAGATTTAGCCAAATGTGGCTGTGAATGTGGGAGACAGTCACTAATAGATAGAGCATAATTCAAGAATGGTAAAACGTATAATGACAGTTCATAGTTCAAAATAAAGCTTATAATAAGAGGAATATGAATAGTTTGGTTATTTAACAAATATACAATAAAAATATACGTATAGTATTGGTCCATAAATGGATCCCAAAGTTACCATTCATTATGGTTATTGGGACCTAACAAGAGTATATAATCCTAACATTATAGCTATTAATGCGAAATTTTCCAGTCGTTTAAAGGTTTTTCACTACTCAAATATTAGTTACAAAATGTTCAATGTGGCGAAAAATATGGATCACCCAAGGTGTTGCACTATGTCGACAGAAGAAGATGAAATTACGACGAATCATAGAATGTAAATCGGTGTAATAGTTGTATCAGTGACGGTGAAAAAAAATCTAAGCGTTGAGAATATGATTTGGGATGATATGAAAAGGTAATTGTCAGTGAAAAAGTGGAACTCAAAATCTTGGAGACAATAGGAATCTACACCATTGTGATCCCTTGTCTCAAACTGTTGATTATCGAGTAAACTGAAATCAGGGATTTTACACCTCCTACACATAGCTCAGTTCAATGGTAAAGATTAAAGTGATAATAAGTGCAGCAGTTCTACTAGAAACTAATTATTACTTTAAAAATATAATAGTGGAATTAAAATGAATTCTTGAAAAAAAAAAGATGGGTTCCATCAAGATAACGAACTCATTTTATTGATGAATCAATATCAAAATGATTTGAATAACATTAATAGTATTAAACACTTTACCTGGAGGTCCAAATGAATCCCAATGTTCCAACACTAAACGAATCAATGGAAGATATAATGTACAAATTCTAGCTTGAATTACTTTAGAATTACGATAACGAGGATCAAGTGTATGTTTAATTAATAGATTACGTAATATTGTAATAGGTTGTTTATAATGTTGACTTGATGTTGATTTAAGTATTGCCCAACTTCCAGTATTTATACAACCAGATAATAAACAACTAAGTTGATTCAATAGAATTCCAATTGGAAAATGTTGTTGACAAAATTGATCAGTTAACGATAATTCAAGACCAACATCTAAGGATTCATTTAAATAAATACAGAAATGAAGGGAAAGCAAAGAATTGAATGAATGGTATAAACATTATATATAATAGGATTCTATAACTTGCTACAACAAACCAATCGATTTGATAAAATAACATTATAATAATTCACTTAGTGTTCTTCTACTTGTATCTTCCCATTGTTATTTAAAAACTGCAACGGATCAGTCTCATGTTGGCATATGTGCATTCTGTGCGGATTGCCTTGATATAGCCCTAAGTCGCAAGCTTTTTTTTTTTAAAGCAAAGCTGGATAGTGCTTAGCAGTGGAATCTAGTTTGATGAGCGTTTCAGGACTCAGTAGCTAAGTGGATAATATGATGGCGTTTGAAGTCAACAGTATTGCGTTCGAGTCACGGTATGAACATCAACTCTGAGATCCAGGTACATCCAGCTGACGAGTCCCAAACAGGACGAAACGCGTGTTAAACTGGATTCCATTGCTAGCCACTATCCATCTTTGTTTAACATCACAACACTTAATTTCTAAATGGATATAGTTATCAGATTTTCAGGAATGTTTGAATAACTAACATTCAGTTAATGAACAAGAAAGGTATATAAATTAACAACGAAAACTATGTCTAAAGTTCTATGGTCATAGAAACAGAATTCATAGATCATCATCATTGATTAAACATTTACATTATCTATATTCTTGGATTATTACAACACAGAGCATATTTCACAAAAACATTTTTGGAATATTATGCAACTAGTACTGATCACTCCTTACTGTATGAAATTAAAGTATATTACAACTACAGTTATTATGATAGATAATCGATACTATGAAAACATTTAACAGTTAATGATCTTTGATATGACCGATTTAATGAGTACAATCTAAAAATTGATTGAATGATTTATGCTGATTAGTTCGACGACTAAATCGATTAGCCAATAAGAGTATTCAGACTATGTAACAGTGTGAAATACAAAATCTCAAGTGGAAAAAAATATCCTATCGCATTGATCAATAACATCAAAGTGTTGACTTCTAAAAAGACTACATTCTATCAATAGTAAAATTTCTTATAAACAAAGATGGATAGTGGCTAACAGTGGAATACAGTTTGATGCAAATTTCGTCCCATTTGCGACTCATCATCTGGAATGTATGGTTTGCTTCAAACACAATCGCGTTATCCACTTAGCTAATAATGGGTTCACGTTCCAGAGTGAGCACCAACTCTAAGATGTAGGTACGTCCAGTTGACAAGTTCTAAATAGGACGAAACGTGCGCCCTGGATTCCACTGCTAGCCGCTATCCATCTTAGCTTATAACGCTTGTAAATTAAGGCAATACGCACAGTATGCACATATGCTAATAAGAGATTGACTAATCAACTGCAATCCTAAACATCGATGAGAAGATTCAAGTAAACAATATCTAGTGAATAAAAATCTTTATATCAAAAGGCAACAATGACATTGTTGATTGCTTTAATTTTCTAACTATTGACAAGTATAATGGGATCATATAGTCATTGATTTACAGTGTGATATACAGCAATAATATGATGAATTTATTTAGTGATAACGGATCAATAAAATAAAACCAATTACTCCACAAATTACAAAGTTTATTATTATTACGGATGGTGATAGTGATATAGAGAACCAATCAGAAGTAACCTAATGAAAGGGTCAATCAATGAGAATCAGAAGTCACTTAAAGGTCAATCGCATTTAATTAGGTCAATGGGTCAACTTCCCAAGGATAAGGTGATATATATGAATATGTGTGTATTTTATTCGGTAGTCAAACACATTTTCTTGTTCAAGCAGTCAGATGGGGGGGGGTTAGCACTTAGTACAACATGTATCAGTATCAAATTTTGGACATAGCACGTCACAACAGACAGTAACAATTGAAGTTATAAGATAGCTGTTTAACACAAACAAACAAACAACACCCGAACAGAAACTCAGATGTTATAACTAAAGAGTATAATGTGAATTATGTATAATGAAATGAATGATTGTCAGAATTGTGCTATGAATAGTGCAAATAATAGACAATTATACACCAAAAAAAGATGGATTTTATTGATATACAATACAAATTAATCAAAAGATTGAACAATCAGGTAACAAACAGATTAACACAAAATGAAACTCATTTAAGATCATGAACCGAGTAATGTTAGAATACTATGGAAAACCTGGAAGCACTGAACGGCCGTTTCGTTCTATTGCCGGACTCAGCACTGAGCATTCAGTCCCGACCGTTGGATGCCGGCCCAGTGGTCTAGAGGTTCAGCGTTCGTGTGCGAGATCGGAGGCCCTGGGTTCAAATCCTGCAAGTGGGACCGTGGATGCGCACAGCTGAGGAGTCAAGCAATAGGACGAAACAGCCGTTCAGTGCTTTCAGGTTTTCCATGGTGTTCTAGCATTAATCGGCTCATGATCTCAATCAAAAACTTAATAATCTCCACAACCCTAAACTGAGAATCCCTAAGTGCTTTACAATTACCATAATTCTCTGTTACACTTGAAATTCAAGAAAATAAAATAAAACAGAGAGCGTAACGTGTAGAAAACGTTTTAAGTACATAAATGGAAAACAAATGGATTTATATGACAATATATGATAGTGATAGTTTAGAAGCTTTTAAAATACATGCTAAAATTGTTAACGATGTTGATAATTCAATGAGAAAAAGGATAACATAGCCTATCGTCTTCTAGAATTCTTTTGCAAGCTTCTGATTAGTTAGGTAAATCAAAACTTTCTCCAAGAAGCTTACAACATTAACAATCATAATTGAACTAGAAATAACGGGGAATATTGGATAGATTGATTTGTTCGAAAATTTTGCAATTGAATTAATTAAAGACTTATGTATATACGGTAAAGAAGTAAAAATTGTACCAAAGAATAATCATAGAAAAAAGAAAATTATATCACTGAGTATCAACTTTGACTTTCATAAACAGATACATTCAAACACCCACGATCGTTGTTGCTATCTTGACGTGGTGGTCGGGCATACCTATCGTGATGAACCATTCAAGCTATACTGGTTGGAACAATTTTTCTAAAGGTCATACAATGCCAGATAGGTCGGTTGAAAAGCGGTAAGACTAAAAGGAGCAAACCGAAAGTCCGAAGGTGAAGTCGTACTGTTGACTGTACAGGTGTTTCCTTCAGACAACCAGCATAACAGCAATACTGCCTTCCTAAAAGGGTGGGTGGGTTAGAAAAGGTCGACCCTTAAAATTTATACCTCGCCTTATCCCATACATATCCGTCTCCGGCAGTAAGATCTCAACAAGTACAGAGCTAACACGAAAATTACTCACGAAGAGGTCGCGTGTGACCGACCTCAAGCAGTTTTTCTTTGGGCATTGCGGTCATGCTATCAAGTCACTAACACTACCTCTAATCCAATTTCCTTCTTAGGTACCTCCTGAAGAACCCTTCTACGGTATGGGCAACCAAGAAGTGATGACAGCCCTCATACCTTTAACAACACTCAAGACCATTAAATTCATAATCAATCGACTGACACTCGAACACACAGGTTATTACATAATATACCTTTCAAAATTAATGCTGATATACAGTGTATAAAATTTGAAATTCATTTTTTGCTAAATCTTTCATACACCAAAAAATTTAATCACACAATATTTTGGAGTGTTAAGATAAAGACTATTTCAATGTAACTAGGTGAAAGTTGGTTGTAATCGGTACAAAATTATGTTGTATCAAGCAATGACCTTAATACATCATATTGAATCATATTTTCTTGATACGCTAAAGAAATGTCACAGTTTATCTTTTTTTTTATTAGATTGATGTTATAATAATTTCTCATTGAGTCAAATATGATACTTCTGTCATTTTTACGTTATAAAGATTAACTACTTATTGTTTATTAAGTAATGTAAAGCATTTATATTAAATTTGAGAAGCTGTAGAATATGTTTCAGTAGTTGATTTTTTCTGAAACCAATCTACGCATGATTAAACTAAACCTATATATTTATTTTTGTTCATCTTCTATCGATTTTCATTCATTAAATGTAACAAATAATGAATTTTCGGTTGTTTTATAACATCAACTTTATTTCTAGGTACAGAAGTTCCACGTTGTTGATACATGGAATATCAATTTCTTTCGATGTAGCGACTCATACAAACGAAAATTAATAGAAACACGGCTAAGATTATACGGATTTTCAGTAGTTGAGATCATGAATCAATTGAAGCTAGACGACCATGGAAAACCTGGAACCACTGGACGGCCGTTTCATCCTAATGTGGGACTCCTCAGCAGTGTGCATCCACGATCCAGCCTTGCGAGATTCGAAACCAGGTGTCGCGTGCGAATGCTCAACCTCTAGACCACTAAGCCGGCATCCAACGGTGTTATTGTCTAACTTCAACTTCGAATCTCGTGAGGTGGGATCGTGGATACGCACTGCCACTGATGGGTTTCACAATAGGACGAAACGCCCGTTCAGTGCTTTTAGGTTTTCCATGGTGGTCTAACTTCAATCGAATCATGATCTCAACTACTGAAATTACTGAAATCTCCACAAAAGCCCTTCTGATATACTGATTTTGTTAATTTGAATGTTATTATGATCATGATTTGTTACCCAACACGAAAATTATTCAATATGAGCATGCTATAAATGGTTGTTTTCTCTATAGTGGATATACTCACAACCACACATGCGGTCATACTAAAAAAATCGATTTTCAAAGTATATCATACAATTAAATACATATTTTTACCCTTGAATCATTATGAAAACCAATGACTAAGTGCACACTAACAACTAATTTGGCTACGTGCTATACTTTTCTGAAAGGATAGGTAACATAATTTGACTAAGTTAACACGTACATATTAAAACACTTAGATTTGAGCTATGTTGCTTGTGAAATAACTACTGATATAACCAGGTAGCTTAAAACAACAAAAATGGAGGTAAAGAGGTTTAAATCTAATATTTAATTATCTAAAACCGATTACTTTCACTACTGTGCTATCACTCTCTACTTAACTACCAAAGTTGTCCGAGTAAGGTAGGAATGTCCAGATGACTGATTTAAATTCAAGTACATTTTAAAGAATTAATCCTCTGCTATCTTTTCTACAATATAAAAAATATACATATCCAGAATTGACAAACATACTGTAAGTGAATAGTTGTAGGAAGCTCTTGAATAGATTTTTAATTCAAGGATTAAATAAACATAGAAAAGTGACATAACTAACTAGCAATCATTAAATGTTATGTTAATGATTGCTAGATAAAAATTCAGTGTTGTCTTGCTCCCAAATGCCCTGGTACGGCCGATAGTACGGAGAGTCAGCTCTCCCTCATATGGCCACGCGCATACAACCACTGCCATACAATTCCTACTCACTGCCTTCTCGTGCCATTACCATTGTTTACCGGATTGACAACACGAAAAGCGAATATCCGGCGCTTTAATCGGATTGGTGGATACGGAGAGTCCACCTACTAGGAGAGTTAGAAAACCCTGATTCCAAACCAATGGTGAACATGGACTGGCTCCAGGATCCTAAGGAAACAAATGGTGTATGAACCTGTTGTGGGTCACCGGCTACAATAGAACCGCATCTCCTAAAGATGTTCCATTATCTTATGACCCAGACCTTCAGATTGAAGGTTTAGGAAGTGGCTCTCTAAGAAAATCACCTAGGCAACAGGGCAGTACCCCTAACACCCTACAACATCATATCACAAGATAAATTACCTTAAACAAAAACAAATTCTCATTTCAAGTAATGAGAGGAAATAAAGAGTATTTCGCTTATATCCATATACAAAATACAATGTAACATTTGATTGTAGAAAGAATATATTTTCAAAGTTCAATGAACTTATTCAATGTTCTAGTACATTAAACATAAAATATGGGTACGTGTGTATGTTTGCATGTGCGTGTGTGTGTGTGTGTGTGAAGTGCCTAAATCTAAAGTACTATTATCTCATTAAATATCATGCATGTATAAAAACAATCCACCGAAGCGGACACACAAACACACACAAGAAGTGAGTACAATTATAATCATAGTTATTAGTATATAATAATCATAAAAACTAATGCAATGCAGTGCATATATGTATATATATACATGGAAATAATCAAGTATACATAGGATAGCAGTACACATAGTGATTCAAACAAAATTACATACCTTGACTATGCTCAATATTTACAGTATACAGTCTGCTTACAGAATATTGTTCAGCTATTATATACAATGAGTAAATTATAGAAGTGATAATTGTTTATAGGTCATTTGAAAAATGAAAATAACTTAATAGAGTAAGGATTCAGTAGTTTTCTTTCTGTCGAGATTGCCAATAGCCTGCTTTAATATCTGAGCTACCTATTCCTGTCATTTAGATAGTTCAACAAGTTATCTGTTTTCTTGGTTTGTTTTATCAACTTACATTACCTATGGCGAAGGTGAGATATCTGTTTATCAGTTAAAGGACTAGTATACTGTGCTGCAGTTTGTTCTGTTCTACTTTACGGCTGCGAAACATGGTCATTAACAGTAAAAGATATTCGTAAGCTACTAGCATTCAACGATTATAATCCAGTGAAATAAATTTGGAAAGAAAAAAAAAGAAAGGGACATGAAGAATTCAGAAGATTAGGGTTTAGGAGAACACAAAGAGTGTATACACCTGCTCACACCACTGCGAACGATTTTGAATCATGTCATTTAAGGTCTCTAACCATCAGTTGTTATCGTCCGCGTACTCGAATCATTTGTTCTAGCGGTGCAAGGTGGTAAAGAGACGTGAGAAGGGTTAGTCGTGGATATAAGAGATTTATTTGGAGATGTAGGAGGGATTTGAATGTGACCAACTTGGTCTCGTGCGCTGTTAAGGGTGTGAGGGCTGATATCACTTCCCGGTTGCCCGCACCGCGGAAGGGTATTTCTTGAGAAACCTGAAAGGAAGTTGGATTAATGTTAGTCTTAACGACCGCAAACCCCAGGGACAACTGCTTGAGGCCGGTCGCGCACGGCCTTTTTGTGGGAGGTCTTTAATGTGTTAGCTCCGTTCTTCAAAGGGCATTACAGCCGGAGACGGAAATCCGTGAGGTAAGGTGAGGTGTGACATTTTTAGGGTCGACCTTTTCTAACCCCATCCCTCCTTGTGAGAAGGCAGCATCGCTGTCATGCTGATTGTCCGAGGGAAACACTTTACTGCTGTCACATCCCTCTACAGTCAGCAGTACGACTTCGCCCTCAGATCTTGAGTTGCTGCTTTTAGTCTTACCGTTCTCCAATCGACCTCCCTGGCATGGTAGAACCTACAGGAACATATGTTCCGGCCAAGGTAGCAGCTACGATCGAGACTTCCTAGTGGTGCGCATCCACGATCTCGCCTCGCGAGATCTATCAGTCTCGCGTGCGAGCGCTTAACCACAGTAGGACGAAACGGCTATCCAGTACTTTCAGGTTTTCCATGGTGGTCTAGCTTCAATTGACTCATGATCTCAACTATTAAAATTACTATAATATACACGAAACCCCCTTCTGATATTAGAACGAATAGTTTGACGAAAATTGGGCGCCAAGTATAAAGAAAATTATAATTAAAATAAACTAAGTGATTGAAATTTAAAATAATTTCAACGTTTCGTTCAGCAAACTTGTCTAGACTTCATTAGGATAATAATATCAAAATCAAAGATTTGATTATTTAACGTTATAAATTCCTTGATAATTTTGATTATTCTAATCTGAAGAACTTCAGACAAGTTTCCTGGACGAAATGTTGGAATTATTTTAAATTCCAATCACTTGATTTATTTCAAATATAATTCTAACATATAACGCATATATTACTTACATTATATTATACATAATGATATCTAATACTTCATTTTATGATTAAAAATTTTACGCATCCTAGTAACCAAATATTTGGTAGGTTTTAATTAACTTTTAAACAAAAGTTAAAAGTGCCCCCAAGTGAATGAAAGTAGGAAGAGTTAGCTCTCTCTCTCCGAATGCTGTTACATGGCCACGTACATACAACCACTCTCAGGGAAGTCTTACTCAATGCCTTCTTGCCACTGGGTTGTTGTTTACGAAATTGAGAAGACGAAATGTGAATGTCCGACGATTTAACCGGGTTAGTGGACACAGAGAGTTCACCTAGGTGGGTTAGAAACCCTGATTCCAAACCAATGGTGTAAGTGAGCTCCAGTATCCTAAGGAAACAAACACCGTATCAACCAATCGGTGGTCCCCGGCTACTATAAGATTGCATTTCCTGACGTTGCCCCACTGCCTTGTGGTTTAGACTTTTAGGTTGAAGGCTGGGGGTGTGGCCTCCTAAAAAAAACCCACCTGCTTCGGTTAGGGCACCCAGACAGTATCCCAACCCTCACACAAATCGAATGATTGATGTGGCGCATATCTGCTTGGTGCCTAATTGTACTAATGTTTATGTGTTTAAATAAATATATAAATAAAAATCTATCATTGAATTTTGAATTGTACGCAAAAACTAAACACTCACTACAAACTATGAAAGAAGGTAGATAGGAAAGTGAACTTACTTAAACCATCGGATATATTTAACATGGGTAAATTCAATGGAATAAAATGTTCATGTTCACAAATACAACGTAATAATTCAAATCGTAATTCATTTAATTGATCAATTTTATCAGCGGACTAAAACAAAGGATAGAATTTTTGTTAAAAAAAACACAGACGGATTAGGGGGGGTAAGAATCATAATCACATTAATGAAAAGACAAAATATGCATCAAATATATCAGTACACTACTAGAAGTAATAGTCTGTTAATGTAGAAGCAACATATAGTGATTAACCAACCAAACGAAATAAAATTTATGTTTAAACAACCATGAAACTTAGATTCATGGAGTCCTACCAATGTTAAAATAAACATATCAGTGAAACTCAATTTACACTAAAGATTTAGGAATACATGATTGCTCGGCACTTCCACATTGTAACAACCAGTTGCCACACTTTAGCCCCCAAATGCCCTGGAATGGCCGAGAGTGGGGTGGATCCGCTCTCCCTCTCGAAATGCTCTCACACGGCCACGCGTATATAGCCTCTGCCAGGGAAGTCCTACTCACTGCCTTCTCGCACCACGGGTGTTGTTTACGAAATTGAGAGGACGAAAAGCGAATGTCCGACACTTTAACCGGATCCCAAACCAATGGTGCACATGGGCTCCAGTGTCCTGATAAAACAAATGGTGTATGAACCAATCGTTAGTCACCGGCTACCATGGGACTGCATCTCCTCATGATGCCCCACTGCCTTGTGGGTCAGACCTCTAGGTCACAGGCTCGGGGTGTGGCCCTTTAAGAAAACCAGCTGCTTCGGTCTGGGCACCCACCGTGATTGGTCCGTCCACAAATTATAGTCTCGCCATGAATATTTACAATACGGAAGTTGTGGAGAACGTTTCATTTCACTAAAATCATGAACCAATCCAAGTTGGACCACCAGTGAAACTTGGAAGCACAGGGCAACCAATTCGTTTTAGTATAAGCTAATTTGGGTAGCTTGTGAAGTAGTTATCTACCAAAGATATTGTAAGATGGTCGCGCATTAATGTGGATTGACTAATGTTGATCATTAACATCGTCGGATGCCGGCTCAATGGTATAGTGGTTAAATATCCACACAAGAGATCGAAGAACCTGAGCTCGAGCCCCGCGTGTAAAATCATGGAAGCGTACTCTTAAGGAGTCTTATACTAAACCAAAATAGCCATCCGGGATCCTACTTGAAAATATTTAACGATGCTGTGTTTTAAAGCATCACCTCTAATATATAGTCACCAACTTCATGTTGAAGACAGCCTTGAGAACCTTTTCACCTGACCGCTAGTTATACAATTCAACCTTCTTAATCAAAATAGTTGAAATGGGGTTCGGACCTAAAACCATATGGTTCCAACTCTAATTACAAAGTCAGTATTATATTGAGCTCATCTGCAATTTATACACTGTTTACTGAACAAGAATGTGTTATTTGAGTGAAAGAACGTGAAACTGTAAACCAATTAATCACATTTGTATTCTTGAAATGTTAGGTGGTTGTAGGAAGTTGATAGGAAACCTTGGAAATAGCTTTCACGTTCGTTGGTATTCTTCACCAAGATGTACCTGAAATCTGGAAGAAATTAACGACCACTTATGAATTGGAATCTGAGTATTGTGGATGTTTGATCGCCAGAAATCTCTTGGTCAGAGTCTCACATTTGTAAATTTATTATGCGAATTTGAATTTCACATTTTCGCGCTCATTTTTACCTTCGTTTCGCATTTGGACCTTAAATGACACTGGTTTGTTTCCTCTATTGGTACGCTATTTTGTAACATTTTTCAAAGATACTTTTGTATTTTATATATCTATGCACGAGTTGTGTGCTTTTCGTTCGTTTTTTCCGAGCTATTTGTGAGATATATATATTTTATCCAGCCGAATATGATTTTCTCCGGATAGTTAGCAAAACTGGGGCTCATTGTAATACATTAGCTTGTCCTGTTGTTACGTTGCTAACTTCGTTCCGTTCGCCGGTCCCAGGTAAAATCATCATCCCTCTCAAACATAACACCGAGTTAGACAAATCCGCAGTTTGAAATGTCACCAACGAGTTATTCGGATAATGAGTGACCTCCTGAAGGATTACGATATTTACAACTGATTGGTTATTTTGGGCATTATTTACCAACATTGGAACTGCGTAAAAAGATAACAGATGGTCAATTTAGATATACCAATGTATGATGAAGCATAGTAACTTTGGATTAGCATCAAATGCATTGTCACAAATAGATGGATTGAATCCGAAAAGTCAAGTAGACTAACAGACCGAGATGTTGTTTGATGTGTATTAATCTAAGTAATTTAACGTACAATTCTCAATGTCTAGTTAATTTCTCATTAAGTATACATACACACACACACACACACGTCAACTTACCATTCTTGGTGATATTTCAAGGAACATTAACAAATCACGAACACGTTTAAAAACATAACCTCTATCCATTAAATTGAATAAATGACATAAAAATTGTCCAATTGCTGAGATTACATCAATTCCATTAAAATCAATTACATTATTATTGGTATGATGTGGATTAGATTTAACACTGTTAGAATATTGTTTAAGTTGAATAGATTCAGAACGAGGTGAAGTTTTTCGTGTTACCGATTGATTGATATATTTACTTGCTTGTGAATTTGTTAGAGAATTGAATGGTTCCATTTTTGTTAATGATCCATTAAGTGATGCAATAACTTGATTATAAGTGGTAGTATCTAATTCATCAGTTTTATTAGATTGATTACATGTTATTGATGTGGTTTTTGTAGTACCAAGAGAT